ATTTAGAATATTTCCCTAAAGAATTTAGAAACATACAAATAGCAGGTTTTCGAGTTTAAAATTTAAAAAAGCTGGAAAAAATGTATAAATTAATTTTTAATGAAGAAGAATATCCACCGCTGATACCATTGATGTGATCAATCAAAAAACTGCTACGATTGGATAGACAGTTAAAAATCCAAGAAATTGCCATATAACTTGATCTCCAAAAAGACTAATGTGCGTCACATTGTCCATGAGAAATCAAATTTTCATAATGTTTGTAAGAGTGTAATGCATGTTATTGTGTACTTTGATAAAAAATGTGTTGTGTATATTCAAGATAACATTTTTAAATTACATTACCTACATGGAATACTTTATAAGATTTAGTGCACTATGTTTTATTACTAAATAAAGTCAAAGTGAACAAATACTATGCCATTGGAGATTAACAAAAAAAATGAATACAATTATTTTAACATACAGAATATTGTCATAAATATGAAAAATAAATAACAAGACGTTTTTACAGTTTTGATAAGTGGCAGTTGGTGGTTTGTTTCTTTGTTATGGGGACACCATTATCTATCTTCATAATTTATTATTTAAAATTGTAAAAAAAAAAAAGAAAATTGCTTTAGTAGTTAATAATCAAAAATATAACAATAAAATAAATATATTTTGTTATTAGTAATCTTTTTTTTTTTAATAGTATTATTATAAACATAATAAAAAATAAAAAGGACGGACATACTTCACACGTGGGTGCAACCACTGTTGTAGGTGGAAAGTTGGGAAGGTAGGATACAAACGGAAATGTAATGTATATCTGTAAGCAATGATAAATTTGATCTGTCAACAATATATTTGTCACATTATGATTACAACAATGTGCATTTCCATGAAAACAATGATTGTTTAAAAAAAATAAAAATTTGTTTGCACTAAGCCAGTAAATGTTTAGTAGGGCATTGTAATAGTACTTTGGCTTCATATTTGGATGCACTTAATTGATGAAGTATTAAAGTACTGTTAGATATAATATAAGCGTTACATACAAAATAAAAGTTAGGGATAATGAATGAAATTATTTTATTTATAGGTAATTTTTTGCGAGGACTCACATTTATTGTATCAATCTTGCTAACGAGCAATATATCAAAATTACTTAGGTAACTTAGAATTAACATTGTGATGTTTAGGTTAAAATTAGAGTTTAAAGAGTTTAAACATTTGTAACAAGATTTAAAAATAATATTTTTGATAATATTTAAGAGCAAAAAGCTATATGGTATGGTGTCTGCACTCGAAAATATATTCTAATTTAAATGTTGTTAATTACATGTATTTAAATTAATGTATAATTTCAATTCTAAGTTACATAATTTTGTTTTATTGCCCATAAGTTGGACTGGAATAGTAAATACGATATCACGTACTTTAAAAGGTATTATTTTCACCATTAAAGTGTATTTTTTGTCATTTACAAAATAATTGTTTGTATTTATTCTTAAGGGAATTTAAATTAACGATATGGTGGACAAGTGCCGGGAATAGCTCTTACATCACTACACTACATTTTCCCACAGAAACACCACGTTCGCAGAGATGGTCCATCCACCTATCATCCACCTACCATGTTTTTTCCAGGCCACTGACTTTTCTGTCTACTTGCAGTTCATTTATTGGACTATGATGAAATCACTTTTTCCGAAACCATGGAAGGAAAAAGGAAACAATGATTTCACCATATAATTACTTATGGACATTATTAAGACATTAATAAGTAGATGTACCTAAGTATGAATAAGGTATGTAATTTCAGGAGTGCGTATACCTATATTAACCTGTTTTTAAAATATTAAGTGCCAATTAATTAAATCAAATCAGTATTACTTTTTTTTATTGTAGGAAGTAAACATTTGTTTTTTTTTTTTAAATAAAATCGTTTTGAAATTATTTTTTTCATAATTGTATAATTATTAAATTATATAGTAAAATATATTAATACATGTCAATCAATAGAGCTTATCACAATATTTCGTTTACAAAATATCAAATAAATAATATATATATATATATATATATATATATATATATATATATATATTATATATATTTGTCAAGATGAATAACTTAGATACCTATATAATTTTATGCAGTAGAAAACATTTTGATTCATAAATTAACCTAATACAATTGAATATCATTGAAAACATAATAATTATATCTAAAATAAATTGTAATATTACGAATAAATAAATAAATGTAGGTAACATAATAATCTTTACAAAAATGTTATAATGGTTTACAATATACATACACAATAATCTTAATTTTTTAAATACTTTTTGATTATTTCAATTATTATTAAAATATAAATAGTATAATACACGTGTAGGTTTATCTACCTACGTAAAATATTAAATTAATTTAAGTTTAAACCCAGTATTCCAGAATTTAAAACTTTTTATTTTATTGTTTTCACATAGAAAAAAAACTATACAATTAATACAGTAGCTCAGTAGTATATTAAGTATAATTTCGTATGACTGTCATTTTTTAATCTAAATGTATGGTACACATAATATATATACTCGTAATACGAGTCTCGTATCTACGTTCGTATATATCTATGTCTACGATCAGACTTCAAAAAAATGTTCACTAATCATTTTGCTTGGCACGTTTTTTTATTCGTTTTTTCAGAAGTTTATCACCACATGGATACTTCTTTGGATCGGTCGACGACTACTACTTGCCCGGACGCGGGTCTATAATTATAATAATAATATAGATTAATTATACCTTAGCTGGGGCCACTGAGGGGAAAAAAACGAAGTAAAATAGTGTTTTGTTTTTTTTTCTGGTTACCTTAGAGCCGGTGTCGATTTTTTCAGTATAGATAGCCTGATTTTGTCGCGGTTGTTGAACGCGACTGCCATGTTGGACGATTGGCTAGTCATCGAGTCTTGCGATATGCTCCTGTTGAACTTTAGACCCTGTACCGCGGGTCGGTTATACGGGAATCTCCACGGGGAATTCGGGGGTGGTGGGTCCAACTCGAACCCGTGGTTGTCCGTGCCTGCAAGCTTCATGTGATTATTTACGTCGTCGTCTTTCTTGGACGATAGTCGTCTAATAAAACAAAAACAAAAAAAACACGCAAGCACAAAACGTTATCAATTAATCATGTTGGGGTTTCGTGTTTTTATCATCTGAATACCTTAGTATCCGACGGCCGAGTCCCTCGGGCTCTTCCAAGCTCTTGTTGTTGCCCACCCGCTTCTTCCGGTGGATACTGTCTTCGATTATAATATGCCGATCGTACGGTGTGTCAAAGTCCACCTCTAGAATGGTCGAGAACTTGTGCGGGTACATGCAGTCGATCATGACTATTATCATACCCACAGCTATGCACAACAGACCTGTAAAGCGTAAAGAAAAAAAAAATGTAAGCTAATATTTTACAACCTTTTGCATGTATAGAGGTATACAAGTATATTAGGCTGTTTTGATTTTTAACTGTTTTTTTTTTTTTCGTATTTAGACTGGAAATTGCTTCCTTGTGGTCAAACTTACCCCCCCGAAAAATGTTCAGAACTTGCTCACCGCATATTTAGTTTTCCCATTTAAATAAAATAGGAAAGTAACAATACTTTCAATTAAATCGCAATTTAATCATTAAGTTTGAAAGTTACGAGGTTGTACATAGTTTTTTCTTAAAGATCACAAGAAAATGCATAAGATTCATTGGAATCAAGTTCAATTTTACTGTTATAAGAATAGCTTATTTGTTTTTATCCATAAAAATTCTTAGATTTCTGTTATCTTAAAGTTTTAGTTCATTATAGTCTATGAAGCTGATCTATAATCAAGGGCCGATAGCAAAGTCTTTTCATAATTTACAAACTAGCTATTTTATAATAGTAAAATTTCATTTGATTCCAAGTGAATCTTAAGTCTTTTTTTGTGATCTTTAAGAGAATATTATGTATAACCTCGCAACTTTTGAACTTAATGGGTAAATATGATTTAATTGAAAGTATTGTTACTTTCCTATATGTTATTCAAGATTAAAATATAAATATGCAATGAACAAGTTCTAAAAATTTTTTTTGGACTCAAATTTTGTTTAGATAAGTTTAAGACCATAAGGAAGCAATTTCAAGTCTTATTCGAAAAAAAAAGAAGTTAAAAATCAAAAAAGCCTAGTATACGAGTAAATATTATTTATATAATTATGGTCTAGTATTAAAGGAACGTAACAACTAAAATTTATATTTTGATTATTAGCTTATAATATTTAACTTTTAAAATAGTTTTAAGTAGTAAAACGATGTATCTCCAATGATACTGAATGGATTTTTACAATAAATGTATTACCAGTAACAAAAAAATATTAATATTAAATAAGCGTATTATATTTTACGTAGGTTTAATGGTTTTAATTTAGGAATTGGTTGATACGTTCCTTTAATAATAGACCTAGACTATTACGTATTATATAAGCCTGCCAAAAATCAACATTTTTCATTTTTGATTGTAGGCGCCAGACATCATAATTTTAAAATTAAAGCTTTAAATCGTCCAGAAGCCTATTTGTCTATAAAACTGGATTTTTTCGAATTGTGGCAATCCAGAGTACCCATAGTGTGCAATTTCATTATGTAACAACGAACCAGTGAATAGTGTCATCCAGAAACACCAGCCGAGCTTGAACAATAAAAACTTGTCGTCTTGAAACCGTATGATTAGAGGAGTCCACGGCAGCATACAATGGTAGGCTACGGTGGCTCCAGCCATAAAACTTCCCACGGCTATCATGGTGTACGCTCCGTATCTCGGTACGACTATCAGCAGCAGGTTCATTAGGAACCACAACACGAACGACGTCCTATAATAACGATGCCATTTTATTTCTAGTCAAACAGTACCTTGAGTCGTAAAAATATTATAAGCGTTTACCACAAGAATATGGTTCCGTAATATCCTGCGGCTCTGTATTGACCTCCCCAAGCGAACCCTTCTTGTCCCAGACTAAAGTATTCGGCCACAGTCAGTATGGGGAACGGCAGACCTCGGTATAGAGCGGCTTGGTAACTTTCGCCCATCTCGTGAGCGCCCAGCCAAGAGAAACGTTCGTTGAAACTGATGTCTTCCAGTGGCACTGAGGCGTTATCGCTCGGCAAAGCTGTACAAATTACGTGTTTAAAATTTTAACCGACAGCGAAATATTATATTTACCATGAAGGGTTATATTTATGTGACCCAGTCCGACGTAAGCCCCGAGTTCCGCGGTGATCAGTTCCCTGGAAAGGGCCCGGTAAGTGCTCGTGATCACGGTCTCGGCCACATGCCAACTGGAGCCCAATATTGATACTATATAGGTAATAATAATAATAATAATAATAATAATAAACAAATAAACAATACAGTTTTGGAAAATTAATAATGCTAATTGTTAGTAATTAAAATAGAGCGACAATATCGTATGCCCGATATAAAATTTGTTATACAACGTATGGTTTTCCGGGAGACCTCGAAAAAAAAAAAGCGAAAGCGCGCGTTCCAAAATTCTACAGTAGGTCACAAAATCACTGAACCGTAAAGCTACCGCTGAATCCTATAGATCCTTATTATACCGAACCTTGCTACGGCCCTGAGGGCCATCATTTAACCTAATTCCTAATTAGTTGTTTTATATTGTTTTTGTAAAATTATTATTTAAAGTAAATACAAATGCATATTATTATGATACACAAATATATTAGAAAACCGTCAGTTTTCTCCAGAACTAATATAATATTGTAACATTAACCCACAAACTGGGAATAGTTAAGAAATATGAATATTGTTATTTTGCGGAAAAAAAAATTTCATAAATTACTATTAAGTTTAAGTACGTAGGTTAAAATTTAACCGTTAGGTAGATAGCTACACAAACGGTTAGTTCCAAGACCTACCTATCTATCTTATAATTTTAAACTATATATACTATTATATTTTTGAAAACTTTAAAGTAAATTTTTATTTTGTAAATTATTCTACAGTTAGGTAAGAATATCGATACGGTTAATATTTTATAAATTACAAATACTCTGATCAATGACACATGAACAATGAACACATACATATAGGTTTAGTTTTTGTTAATAATTTTATTTTTTACAAATCTTGAAAACAAGTAACTATATATAAATAAAATTATTTTAAAAGCACGTTGCATTTTACGTACCTAGGTCACATTTGAAATTGAGACCTTGATTAGTTATATTTTCGATGATTTTATAATTAATTGTATAAAAGGCAATATTTTGTGGGTTACCTATACAATATGTATTGTTAACACGGTATAAACATTATTAATATCAGATCAAAAAAGGTAAATTAGCTAAACTCTAATAAGTAAAAAAAAATAATAATAATAATAAATAAATATATATATAAGTTAAAGTTAATTATTCAAATTCAATAAAAAAAAGCGCAAACAAATTTTAAATGTTCAAAGATAAATGATCGCTTAAATGACATCTATCCTTGAGATCTTGTAAATCGTTTATTTTATTTTATATATTTTAATAATAATTATAAGATTTTAACGATTTTTTCTATCCTTGAACGTGTGTTTTTGAATTAATTATTATCTACCTATATTCATTTAATAAACAAAATTTGATTTATTTGTATAAACAAGTTATTTGAAGTGTAAAAATCTTTAAGGTGAAAACAAAATTCCCGATAGGCATTCGTCAAAAAAATCCATACACATGTTTTAAAATTAACATACACAATATACCTTTGAAATTAATTTTCAGCTCCCTCCGTACAAGAAAATGTGTTCCCTTTATCAGAGGCTCCATTGAGTAGCTCTGAAGAATTATTACAATTAGTACTTGCAGAAGACCGAGCGGGTGAATTTTTATGAGTTGATTGAATATACACGTACATTTATCGATTAATTTGTTAAATTTATTTTTGAAAAAATAAATAAGCGAATAACAAAATAATAAAGAAGTGACAATGAAATGTCATAACAATCAACATTTTTTTTTATATTTTCTATTAGTTCCTTAAAAAATATCAAAGAATTTTTTTCTACGTAGCATTATTTGTGTGTCGGGGATTTTCGGGGTGGGGGGAAGAGAATCAAAAATATCTCTAAATTACTTTTAGGTTTCTAGATACAAGTTTAAAACACTTTGTATCTCTGTTGTGTCCATCCGTCCGTACTATTAGTTACTATAGTATGTATAGTTACGGTTGTTGATTTGGTTAACAACGAGATCTATGTTATTCATAATATTATTTATTTAATTATAAATTCTTGCTAGTCAATGTTAAAAATAGGTACCAAAATCTAAGCATGGATACTTTGAGAATTTTAAAAATATCCAACCATTTATAAATTAAGAAATTGTATTTATTTAAATTTCTACACATTATTTTAAACATAATGTTCCAGGTTATCGAATTCTTTTAAAATTGTAAATGAAATTATAGTTTATTGTTTAATATACGTTTAGAAACCGCAGAGTGTGGTTTCCTAACTTGTTAAATGTTGTATTAACATGGGATACTATTAGGTACCTATAATAAAAGAACAACCTGTTGGCAACAGTGCCATCGCCATAGTTCTGTCGCTACGTTGCGATAATTCGAACGTTTCCAACAGGACACTAAGACGCGTAATTTATAGTCACTCTGTTTCAGCCTTTTATTGGATTTTCCCAAAATGACCAGGTCCAATGGAATTCTTAAGCTTCAAAACCTTTAAATACTAACTTTCGGAAGAATATTATATAATATACAATGTCGACAAAATACGAACAAATACACTATGCAAAAAAGCATTCGTAAAAATATTAACTAATGGAATATTATGAATCTTCATCGAATAGTGCCGTGAAATTGACGACTTTCTATAATATTCTTGTAAAAATTAAAAATTCTGTACAATATTATATTATTAGTATAGGCACCTAATATAGTATACTCTGCGTATAAACTATAAGAAAAACGCGAGGTGATTAAAAAAATATTTGATTCCTAGTATTTTCTAAATACTTCATACAAACTCTTTACTTATATTATTAGTTAAAATCTAGTTTATATATAATATAATATATCCAACAAAGTTATCGGTTTAGGTATACAGGGTGATCGATCTATCGTGAGACTCATTATCTAAAAATTATTTATTTCGGAATTTGTTTTATACAATTTTTAAGAACCAAGCAGCTTTACAATTTTACATTTATGCTATTTTTTAACACCCCTATTTTTTGGGGTAAAACCATTACCTACTTTTGATTGTTCAAATGGCAACCTATATTAAAAATTCCATTAATAGATGGAATATTAGTTAAAATAAATTTTGGTGCAGACATTTTTGATTTTTGTCAATCTGTTGACGAGCTATTCCACTTTTAATTTTGGATCGGGAGAGGGTTATAGTGGAATGTCATTTATGGGCGGTACGGGATGCGGCGTTTTAATAATGCTTCACTATTCTCTCTCGATCCAAACTTAATACCATAAAGTACCTAAGTAGTGGTTTCGCTAAACAGTTTTCAACCAAAAATAACATACGTGTAAAAATGTAGAGCTGTTTGTTTCTTAAATGTACTATAAACCAAATTCCGAAAAAAATTAATACTTTCCGAAATAATAATACAGTTTTACGATAGATTCAAGTCATCAAGTTCGGGTGCGAGATTTCGTGTATACGACGGCGATGACATTACTATGTTGTATAGTAGATAAAGGCAATGATATAGTAGATTATTTTTTTCAAGTTTAATAGGTAAATATTGTACGGGTTTTTTTTACGTGCTCTCGCGTCTCGCGTGAAACATTTTATTAATATTAAACATTATTGCGCACTAAACATAATATTATATAGAGGCCGAAATCGAGTTCTAAACCATAAAACATAAAAAAAAACCTGTGATAATTGAGCAGAATAAAAAAAAATATTCTGTTTTTCAATACGCATAATATAATAATAATTATATTAGTGATAAATGCTATACAGGTGTTGAAACCCGTTAAATTATTCTGCTGCAGCGAATCGAAATTAATTTGATTTTTGAAATTATACACCTACGTATACGTTATAATAATAATATTAGGCTAAAACGATATTTTAAACCTGACCTTTTTACCCTCGAGAGCCAATTTTCCACCAAGGGTCATATATTATATTCTAATAAATTCCTATTAATTATTTATAAAACCGATTTGTACAGGTATACGTATAGGTTCTTGTATATTATAACATCATCGATAAATATTACTATTGAAAATGTCAAGATTAACAAAATATTACCATATTAATGGGTATACAATGTTCATATCGGTTTTATTTTAAAATATTGAAATTGTATTTGTCCGACGCTATACCTTAATATATATATATATTTATAAGAAATTACCAAATCACTTATTTTGGTTCGTTCAATTTTATTCTCTTAATGTTTCCATTGAGGCTTACAAATTTTCACGGGTCAAAACAAAATAATGCATTATCCATTAGGTACCGCTAGTTTGCCGGCCGCAGTTTTAAGTAATGCATATCATGAGTACATAAATAAATACGTTTCATAAGAGTCATAATAATAGTATATTGTCATCTATATCATTAAATTATGGAAGTAAACCGAACCCGTACCATGCGATGACGTTGGGAATAGGCACTCATAAACTATTATTGTATTATTAGAATATTGCCAAATTGATGATATATTATAAAATTACAAGAAAAAAGGGATGATACATAAAGTTATTTAATTTGTATATGTAACACCGGTAAACGACCATTTCCTCAGCCCCTTAAGTCAAAAAATTTACATTTTTTATTGTACATTACGTTTGTAAAAATACAATTTTCGTTGGTAAGGAAAACCAAAAAAAAAATTATTCGTATTTCAAAATTGGGAGGACTAAATAACTATAATATGATGACTTATAATAATGATTTTTATTAGAAATTTTTTACTGTACCTAAAGGTACAAACAAAAATAGGTGAATTTCCACGATAAATAGAAATATAATATATTGCATAATATCACATTTAATCAACCAAGTTAGGGATTTCATGTCAAATAAATATACGATTAGATTAGAATTATTGTTGTTAAGCGATTGATTATAGTGCAAATAACTTTTTTTGGTTTTCTTTACAAACAAACATTTTATTTTTACAAACCTTTAAAAACGACTTACAAACGTAACGTAAAAAAAAAAAAGGTAAATTTTTTGACTTGAGAGGACTAGGGAAATGAACGTCAACGGTATACCATTGCTAAAAAGATATGATTCTGAGTGAAGTTCAGTGATACATGTTTTGAAATGCCGTAATTTTGATGATTTTAGTCAAATTTTGATCCATTGATTCTCATAAAAAAACTACTCCATTACGCTCATCAGTTTTTTGATCACTAAATAAATCTCATAATGGACATTGTGTCAAATTGTCAAGCATTTATGTTTGCTCAAACAATTTCATCCACATAATACCTGTCAAATAGAAACTAAAACAAATAGCCTATAAATAGCTCAACATTTGTCTAGAAAAGGATCATATCTCGTATCCCTAATATATTATATAGGGTAATATATAGGGAAAATCAGAATTCAATTTTTTTGTTAATCAATTAGATCGAACACTCATTAAAAAAGGTTTTTGACAATTTTCGACTAAAGCAAGATTTATTTTTTGGTAGAAAATATAAATTATAAAAGTTAAAAATAATTAAATCTGCAACACCATATGTTATAAATACTGTAAATATTTTCGCGTTTTTCTGATAATTTTGATACCGATTTTTCTCAGTTACTATGATAACTCCTTAAAAAATCAAAAGTTAGAAGGGTTATAAAAAAATAAGCGTAATGTAGTAATATTTTTTTCCTAAAAGTTTTAAGAACAAATTGTTACGATTTTCGTCAAAATTATGGCATTCAAAAACATGTAATGAATTTGTTCAGAATTATATTTTGTTAGTAATAGTTTTTTGTTGCTTCCAGATATTAATTAAATAACTCTATGGATACATAGAGTATCCATCTTCCCTTTCAAACTTCCGATCTACAACAGTGGCGCACCCATAGTTGTAAATTTGATTAAATTTTAAAAGGGGAGGCTATTATTTAGTGATGAATAAAAAAGAAAAATCATTACTTGTATTATTCTATTATACCTGTGTACCGAAACAATAATAAGTCATAGAGGTCACTATAATTTCGAGGGTAATTTTTGGGGAGTTAGAATAAGTATTTATTTATATTTTAATAATTTTAGGAGGGTTATGAATGATTTTCGGGGCTAAGTCCTCTTATACCCCCTCTTTATATCTATAGTATGCACTTATCAGCAATATTAGTTCTTTTTTGCCTTTTTTTATGGTTCAAATTGCATAAATGCATGTATTTTCATAATTGTATTTGATGTTTGTATTGAAAACTACACAAAATTGGTTTAAATCTTTCTGCTTTAGAACCAAAGATACTATATTATTATTATTTGTTTGTTTATTTACTGGCCAACTGATGAACTGACTAATAATTTGATAATTATCGATTTGTTGATTGAATCAATAATTTAATGTTGTAAATAATGTTTCAAAAATTATACGAATCGTAACTTTAATAACAATAATTTCGTTTGAGGTCTACTTTTTAACGGATTTACTAAATTAATTCATTTTTGGAATAGAACAAATACCTAATTATAATTATGATAATGGGTATTATCATAATTTATTATTATATAGTTTACAAAATAATCATCCATTTATTTGAATATTATCACATGTTAATTGTTGTCTAACATGTGTAATATACAAATAGTATATTGAATAAAAAAAAATATAACCAAGTAACTACGTTTGCTCATCAGGCTCATCAGAATTTTTAGATTTTTAAAACGCACTTTGAGTCATTGCAAGGACAACTTTTTTGGCATGTCTTGTTTGTTTATTACGCACTAAATCGATAGAAATGATTAAGTTTTATAGAATATTATTTGTAAGGAATAGGTATGTTATGTAACATCTGAATATTATACAAGCAAGACAAAGTTCAAGGAATTCAACAAGCTCATATTCTGTAAGTTAATATAATATAAGGAATATGTGTTTATGTGAATATAATATTTATTATTAATAAAAAAATATATTGGAAATTTAACGAAAGGGGCTAACGAGAATATGACCACGAAGAACTGGAAATGCTATTCATACGATTTTATAATGTTTTTACGAAAAAATATTACCATTTACTATCTGAAAAAATTACTCCCAAAATTATCTTTATACAGGTGAGGTTCACTTCATTAATTTTTAGAAAGAATAAAAAAATGCTCATAAATACCTAGGATTTTTTCGAAAGCATGTTTTCTCTTTTTATCAACTTACATTCAAGTAGATGAAACTAGTTTATTTTTATTAAAATTTGACGGATAACACAGAATTAAAAATTATGGGAAAAAATTCGAAAATAAATGTATGTACAAAAACATACCAAAATTATTATATTAAATACCGATTGATTTAACATTAACCATATTTAATATTTTACTCACCGAGTTATATGTATAGTATTCGTTAGGTATAAAATATTATTGAAAAAATCGCATCACATAGTATTATATTTAAGTTAAAGTTAAAGTTTAAATGTACTAGGTATTACAAATAAGTAAATTTAGGTACTAAATCAAAAATAAGATAAAATATTAGACACGATTTGAATATATAGGTTAATTCAGCTGTAAAAGACTATCTGCAGTGAACCCTGTATATTATAATATTATACTAATAAATAAATAAAACATTTATAATCATTACATAATAATATTATAGTTTCGAATTGCTTAATATGTTTTATAGCGCTCATCTAATAAGTACTAAAATATTTTTAAAAAATACTCTGGCCAAATAATCGTATAGATACGCGCAAGTGTCTATTTAGTACTATGTAGAAAAGAAGAAACTATAATAGAATGAAGTAAATATCCGTTCATACAAATTATTATTAATACCTAAGTATAACCATCGTCCATCATAATCCATAGCGAAATAACTTTTTGACAGCAGACTACACAATATAAAAAAAACTATCAAAAATATATTACAACATATATAAACATAGGTACATAAATATATTAGAAAAATTTTTTTTTTTTAGTAAATTAACATACCGACAAATAAATGTAAATACAATAATAATGAGTATTTTAAATTCTTATCGAATCAAAGGTGAAATTCATTCATCTTCTACGTCGTCTTCATTCCAACTATTAGGGTCTGCCGAATCTTTCATCCTAAACTTCCATTTGACTCGATCTTCCACATCATCCTAGCAAACACCGACCGTCTTCGCGGTATTATATTCTCAATCACATTCAACCACTTCTTTTTCGGTATTTCTCTTCCCCTCTTTCCTTCTACGTTTAGTTTCATTATCATTCTTACTGCATCTAATTTTTCTCTTCTCATGACATGCTTAAACTATCATAGTCTGTTTTCTCTTATTTTTTCACCATCAGATGAAATTAATTTTGTATATTATGTACAGTGAACACGGAGGTCAGCTTATAACCTAATCGCTATACGTTTCATGTTTAATTAATACATTTTATAACTAGAAAAACATCATTATTTAAGACGCAACGATATACCTACTTGTATATTATATAATATATAAATACTTATGAGTGTAAATTTTCATCACGCAATGTAGTTTAGTCATGGGAAATTACAAAATAATCACTTCAATGCCCACTTGTCACTGTATATTATAGACGACTTTTTCAAGGAGCTGAGAATGCGTCATTTATACAGTGCACAGAACAATAATATTATAAACACTTCCTATTTTAGTGGTCATCAATCTGATGAATTTCGAGCAAACTATTATAATTTGCTCAAGGTGAAACAGACTGGTATTTTTTTTTTTTTTTAATTTTATATTTAATAATAAAAAAGGTCGGTTAGTCAGATCTTGTAGTACATGACGAGGTGTTTTACACGGTTTTGTTAAAAACAAACACGAAAAATCGTACGAAATTTCTTAATTTCTTCGCTAATGTATTACGCATGTTAACATTTAGCTGTACATAAATATTATCTTCTTTCATAGTTATACAATACAAGTAATGCAACATGATGTAAGTTTTCGAGGCACACGCGTCTAGACAAAAAAAAATACATTAAAAAAATGCACGTGCTCCGGAGAAATTTTTTTTTAAATACAAATTGTTACTTTTACGCTTATATACAAAAAATACTACTTAATGAAACTATAAGACATACACAATCTGCACAACAAGCGATGACATTACTCGAAATAGCCCTAGTAATATAGATACCTAGTAAAATTATATTTATGAATTTATTACTACAGTTCTTTAAAAATATATATAGAAAAATCAAATAAATCAAGAACTATATGGTACCTAATTGATTTAGATATTAAAATTAGTTAATTAATATCAAGTGTTTTAGATTATATTGAGACAATTTCCACAACTTTTATTTTTTTTTTTAATATTTTATGATGCAATGTCACTATCAAATAAGTGTATAGGACATAAGTACTTGTTCAGTAATTTAATTGAAATCTTAAAAATCAACATTCTTATTAACTAAATATCGTTTATTGAAATGTATTCTAAAAAGAAAAACTGAAAGTCTTATGATATTAATAACAATTATACCGTAAAAAGACAAAAACTTTATTTTATAAAAAATGTGACATTGGCCTTCTTGACCACGGAATTATAGTGGACGGGCATTGTATCATGTGCATATAGGTAGGTACACATCATATAAATTCGCAATTATTTCATTACCGACGTACTTGTATATACGTGCATAGGTGTAGGTTCTTAACACTTGAGTAAATTGCTAATCGTCTGCCAAAAATGGTAAAAATCATTAAAACGATTTTTAACCAAGACTCGAAAGCACTGAACCGTCGTAAATAATTCGTCGACGGCGAAATAAATCCGTACTAAAGAACCCGCTTTTAAGTACATAATTATTAAACACATACACTTATATATACAAATAGGTTGTTTTATTACAAACCAACGATTACCAATATAGATTTCAAATGAATTCGATTTTGGTTTATTTATTCAAACATTATATTGTAACATTTAGAATCGTTGAATTTAATGTTAAATATGGGGATAGGAGCAGCCACTGTTGTAGGTGAGAAGTTGGAAAGGTAGAATACATAAAATTATTTTATTTATCTGTAACCAACGATAGGTTTACCATTGCTTGTTGAAAGACTTTTCAAAAAGCAGTTTGGTAACATATAACTTGAAGTGCCGTATTTTTTTTTCTGTGATTTTCGTTTAAATTTAATTTCAGAACACTTATTAAAAAAAAGAATCATTCGATAATTTTGGAAATTTTATGACGTCTAGGTTAGTCTAATATAAGTGTTATTACCAAGTTTCAAGTTTCTACGTGTTTTTATAACCGAATAACAGCAAACAATTTAAACTTCTTAAAAGCCTAACAGGGGCTCAAAAGTTTTGGCAATGATACGGTAAGAAAGTATTTTTTTGTGATTTTTCGATTTAATCATTTCTTCTGGTAAAAAACGTCGCCCGTGTTTTTATAAAATAATGAAATCTTGAAATTTTACATTTTCCTTCGTTTTTTCCTACTTAAGTGCTTTTGTTTAAAAAATGGTGGTGTAAATCAAAAAATGACCTCTAAAGTACAATTTAGACAACTTGATTTTTTAGAAAAAGAGCTACACGTAAAAATTGAAACAATTTTTCTAGGAAAAAACGTGTCCACAGACTAGAACGGAGAACAAAGAAAAAAATAAATAAATTGCATTATAAAACCAAAAGCTCCCTCGCTACACTCGGAATCTAAAAAGAGCTGATATTGAAGACGAGTTTCAAATCGTTATATTTCCAGGTGATTCATTTAAATGGGTACACACATAACCTCAGAAAGTATTAACTTTTTCCCGAATTTATTTTCTAGAATATTAAAGAAACAAGCTGATTTACAATTTTATATTTATGTTATTTTTTTGTCACCCTTATTTTTGGGGTTAAAACCATTACCTACTTTTGATTTTCAAATGGCAATCTATATTAAAATATCCATAAATAGACTGAGTATTAGTTAAAATAAATACGAGTATTGACATTTTTGATTTCTGTTATGCCGTTGACGAGATATTCCAATTTTAAGTTTAGGTTGGAGAAGAGTGGTAGTAAATTATTAGCACGTCGCGCGCCGTACCGCCACACAAATTGCACTCCACTACTCTTCAGTGATCGTATAATCATTTTTTTTTCTTCTGTATACTTTCGATACCATAATAATATAATTACTGCCCGAAAGACTTGTATAATGTATAGCAAAAAAAAAAATTAAATAAAACGAAGAAAGCAATAATATAGGGCATATATAGTTTGCCGGCGTGTGCTAACCAGGCCAATGGTAATAATAATAATATGCTCGCAGTAATGATAATATTATGTTGTTGTTTTTTTCTGTCGTCCGTTGCCGTCACGGCGGTCACGCTTGGATGAGTTTGGCCGTAAAGAAATAAAATTAAAAAAAAAAATCGCAAAACTTGTATATTATATACATGCGTATTTTATGTAATTAATGGCGTTCGTCCGTATAGGTTCACACAAATTATTATTAACTCTGATGGTTTTAAGCAAGTAAATTTGATTCTTTTGATTTCGGTTTTTTTTTTTTTTTTGTTATTCAATCGTAATCGGCAATCATTTTAGATTTATTTTAATATGATTTTATAACCACTACTCTTCAAACTTTACACGAGTACTGTTGGATGTTAAAATTGTATTTTCTAACGGTAATCCCATTACGTAAGATTCGCACAGGGGGATTAATGCGCTCGTGGTGCGGACAAGGGAAAACTAATGAGGAGTTAATATTTTTAAAATACGATCACCGAACGGCTGGAAACAGACCGAAATCGATTTTACTCGAAATCCTCGTCATATCGATAGTCGCCCGGATCGTGATAAATAAATCACTCTGTATACGGCTCTATACCGATAAATACGAGTGAATCGACCTTATGTGTGGTGGTTGCTATGCGTTTTGCCAAAGGCGAATATTTTAATTATATCTCGTGCCGACAATTTATTCACATAATATATATATATATATATATATATATATATATACATATATAGGGGGCATTATACGCATTTATAATACACTACGCACGCCGACCGTTCCGACGCCGCCGTGTGATAATAATAATAATAATAATGATAATAAATCGGATAACGCGCGCGCGTGAAAGTCGATATCCACGGAGAAATGAAAAAAAATGAAAACAAAAGGACGGAGGAAAACGAACGATTCCGTCAAAACGCAACACAGTGTGTGTGGACATCGTGGCGATAATAATAATATTATCGTTGCCGGATTACGAAATCGAAAATAATTTCGAACCACGTAGGTGACGAAACGCTAGTATATAATATATATATTTATTATTATTATTATCCTCTCTCGACCGAGACAATTATTATATTGCTGCTGTGACAGCAGCAGCGGCAGCAGCAGCAGCGATGACCCTCCGGGGCGTTTATAAGTTTAATCGTTATGACATCTCGCGTGATGTGACGTGTGATGATGCACATAATATACGACAAAGACGGCATAAAAATCCGAAAAGTGAAAATAGCGAATTCGCGATTGGCCGCAGGCCGTATTGTGGCGACTTTAACGACGCATAGGATATTATACGGAGTAATTTAGTTAATACACAGTACATATATGTAACGACAAACGAAAAACGATTTTTAGCGGAATAGTATAAATCGTGCTTTATTCCTTTGTTGCCCTCGGAAATCCTGCAAAAAACGAAAAAGCTCAAGGGGATGAACAGCTGAAATGGTCGGTACATTTTTCAAATAAAGTACCACTGGCCGCAATTTTTGAGGTACTGCGTGAAATAAATCGGAACATTTCCTTAACCGGAAATGGGTTTTCCGAGAGAAAAAAAAACACACTTCATAATAAACTAATAATCTTATTCGCTATACTAAATTAATATATTCATAATTAAAAATAAAACAAGTGTATAAAATAATCTACTATCAAAATGTTAACCTAATTTAACGCAGATTTACAATGACTTTTCGATTTCGGATTATATACAGAGTAGCAACAGGATAACTGTACCTGTTGCTGTTCATGATGCCGACAAGAATACGAAGTGATTCTCAAATTTAATACCAACACGAATACGTAATGTTATCAATTGATGCCAACAAAATTTTTGTGTGTTTGACAAATTTTAGTGCCTTGCCCAGAATGGGAAAAATGCAATAATTTTTCAGAAATTTACCACGTCGATTTTTTCAATAAACATACATAATATTTTGATTCAGTAATTAATAACGTTGGGAATTGATTATAACAATTTTTTTTAAAATTATATCGTTTAAATTCACATTTTATAAGTATTTTCAACTTTTTTATTTAATTTCGCGAATATTATATATTTATCACTTATCCAATGAGTTAACTTTGGGAAGGGGTGTCCAGTGATGTAGGTATGTATGAACGTACAAAATACAAATAATGGATAGTATATTAAACAAATATTATCCCCCCCTTCAACTTCCTCTCTAAATTTTGTTTTCAGTTACGGTCTTGTAAGTACATATGATATCAATTTCCTTCCTCTTATTTAAATTAGACTCAAATCTTCCACTGGGTCCGAACGTTCATGTACAAAATTCGATAATATAATGTGAGAATGGTCGGAAAACGCAAACCCCGATGTGCTCGGATACTTGCACTTGCAAGCAGATACCCAAACGGTGTCGAAAGTATACAGGCAGCTGCTAAGATATAAAAATACTCGATAATAATGTTAGAGTACTATATGTATTTTAATCAGCTTTGGATGGTAAATTACGTATTTTAATAATCGGTTATGTAAACCACCGTCTGTACATAAGATATTTGTTTACATACGGCGTAGTCGAAACATACACATATTTTATTTGTGACAGTGTTATATCCTCGTATAGAATGCGAAAGTTGATGGAAATAATGGTTTCATTGTTTTTAGTTTTGTTTTGTTATTTTAAGGTTATTCGGTTAATAATATTCGTAGAAACTTGAAATGTTCACAAAAATCTCATACTGGCTTTTTCTAGTCGTAGTAAAAGTTTCAAATATTCATAAAATATTTTTGAGCTGTTTTTATAGGCATTTTACAAATTCTAGTTTATTTACATAAATTTTCTTTGGTAGGTACTATGTGGATACAATTATTGTTTGACCAAATAGACATGCTTGAAAATTTAACACGAGGTTCATTATAAATGGAAAAAAAAACTATCAAATTTTGACGAAAATCGTAAAAATCATGACATTTCAAAACATGTACGATATAACTGAACCTCGGTGAATTCTGTCGATAATTTCACCTAATGAAATATGCGTCACACATGCATACCTATATTACGATATACGCAATTTTCACAATAATTTTTTTCGCTCAGATTTCTTTTACCTCATACATAATAATATTATTATGTGTGTGTAGATAAACACACACACACACACACATATTATATTATACATACATGCGTTTAATTAATTTCATTATTTTTCTGGAATAACATAATATTATACTAACAATATAGTTATAATTTTCAATCCTTGAAACTGTTACGGTGTAAGTATATATCTGCATGATGATGTATATCCTTGAAGATTGACGGGAAAAACAATATTGTTTTTTTTTTGCATCTATTGTTCGCGATAATCAGCGCACACACATACATCGTTTCATAAGCGTAATTACATCTGATTACCGGTGAAAACTGCCATATATTATAAGTAAGTGTCATTATAAGCTACTAGCCTAAGTACCCACCTATATGGAAAGTACTTAAATCCCCAAAATGTCGTTGGTTTTTTTCCCTCACTTGTGTATAAACCACATTGTGTTTATAATTCCGAGATTTTGCCGGAAAATCGTTGAATGAAAACACGGCATTATTGTGCACAGTAAGGCGAATATGAATAATTATCGCATAATAATATGTACCTAATGCGAAGACTTAATTATATATATTTATATTGATTAATCTTACTAACTCGAATTGGACGATTTAAGAGTAATATCAAAAGAGATCATAAGCTAACGTAACACAATATTACATTCCGAATTAGGTGTTTGAAAAAATATTTCCGAAAACAAGCACGTATCGAGTCAGTATCGCATTATCGCATCAATGTATAATATTATATAACATGTGGCCAACGCATTTAAACACATAGTAGTGAACGAATAATAGAACAATCCGAATAATCGAACGTGATAAAACTTTACTCAAAATTCTCACTTTCCAAAAATAATGGAGACTGTAAGATATATTAAGCAATAGGGAACAACGTTCGAAAGCTGAAATCATTTTCCAACGGACTTTAATATATTCTGTTGGTGTCTACAGGGTGTCCTACAAAGGTATACCCATTCCAATATCTGCTGAGATAATAAAGATAATCAAGTTCAATTTTTTTTTTTTGATATTCCTCGCAAGGATAAGAACTACAAATATTTATATTTTAATTATTTTTTTATGTTTCGATAAAACATACTTAAAAAAAATGTTTTTATTTTATTAATTTCAAAAAATTTGATTGAGTTTGTTCTTCTGAAAATTTTGCAGAACTATGTAACAGGCTGAAAAAAAAGTTTTTAGACAATAAAATAATAATAATAATCAATAAGAGAATGTGATTACAACCTGTTGCATAATTATAGGTACTTTTCTCTGAACTTTAGAAAATCATTAAAATCACGAATTTAATAAAAATAAAAAGTTGAAATGTCAACATTTCTAGAAAAATAAACTATATTTAATAGCTATCTACACATTTTTCAAAAATAATAAAATAAAAAATTATATTTTTAAGTTTTTTACCGAAATATAAAAAAATTAATTTAAATATAAATATTTGCAGACCTTATCTCTGTGAGTAGTATAAAAACAGAATTGATTATCTTTATTATTTTCGGTGATATTACAACGGGTATATTTTTGAGAGACATTCTGTATAATATTTTGTAAAACTATTGCAGGTTTGAGTACCTAAACCGAAAATGGCCACAAAAATATCTCAAACATATAAAAAAACATTTTGGACATTTGTTGTCTTAGACACGATTTGAACTATATAATTTTTCTTAATGAGAACCTCATTGAAGACCTCTTCACCGACATGGCTAGTTTTTTTTGCCTGTCTCACGCGTAATATATAACAACAAGGACATTTCACACTTCAACGATCGCGACTTATTGGTTGAGTTTAGGGTATAAGGACCTATTATACTTTTTATAAAGAAGAGGGTATTATAGCAGGAATAATAAACATTTATGCCTTGATCAAATTATTTTTTAAATATTTTAATTTTTTATTATTATACCTATGGGTGTTTTAGTTGAACTTAATTTAAACTATTAACATTTTATTAAGAAACGGCCATATTAAAAAATCATTAGGTGCCTTGGCACAGTAATAACTCTTTTTCATAACATTTATAATAGGTTCGTTTGCTCTGACCAGAGTCGTAATCGTTGAAATGCGGGATGCATTTGTTGCTATTTCTTACGAGCGAGACAGACCTGAAAAAACAAATGTTATAGTCTAAGGCACCTTAACTGTAATAATATAATTTTTTAAATAATTTCAGTAAGATTAAATCGTTATTAATTATTACATGCACAACTTAAACATGTAGAAATCAACCATATCAGTGCGAATTATAAAAAAAAAATATTAAATCTAACTATACATATTTCAATATTTGTATAATATGTATTATATATGTGCAGTAATAAAATATGATTTCTGGGTTAAATGACCAAAATCGACCTGAATCTGTATTATACAGTAGAACGCCTCACGATCGTGATATTGTATAAAGGTGTATAATTTATATTATATGATAAAAGATAATTATTGGTAGTTTTAATGTCATTTATAATGTAATATGATATTACATAACTATATTTAATAAATGTACGTACTTATAATGTATGTATAATATTAATGGTGCATGTTAATGTTTCGACGTCCCTTGGTAAGTTTTACAAAGTAACAGTTATCTGATATAATATAGGTACAGGTGTAGTGGAAAGAGTGGTAATGAAAAAAAAAAAAAAATGTAATTGGTACTAATTACTATTGCGAATATTTGCGGTACTGCAGCGAACGATTTATATACGGCAAGTACGTACCTACCTACGTATTAAATAATACACAACATCATTCGTTAAATAGCAATAATTGGGCGGAATTTGCATTAAAATATAGAAAAAGGTAATTTGATTTCGCTATAAGTACCTATTTAAAAAATTCCTTAAACCATACCCTATTTCGCAATAATATAATGCTGTAGCCGTATAAGCGTCGTTATAACGACGCATAAAAACTAGTGAATAGTTTATACGGACAGGTATACGACGATAAGAGCGCCGAAAATCATTGGATAAATTCGAAATCGGAAAAATCTGTCGGGAATCAAATACAAATATGTAATTATAAATTCATCTCAGATTGCTTAACTCGTTATGTGTTTGTTTGGTTCCGAAAAATTTATGTCGTATATATAATAAAAGTCCTTCGAACAAAATAATAATAATAATAATAATGTTATAATATTTAAAAAAAAAAAAATGTTCCAGAAGCGATTTTTCGTTTTTTATTCCGAAGGTAATTGAGATTTGACAAATCAATCCTCTATTATTATATATTATGATTTTCAACAAATACATCAGTATTATTATTATTATTGGATAATATTTTTCTCTCGATAAAATATCGCCCGCATTTCTTTTACCTCTGTAGCAGTCGGTATTCAGTATTGGTATATTATTGCGAAGGACGAATCGGACAATAATATGCAGACAGAAGAAAATATATAATTTGACAAATGAATGGGACAAAATTAATAGCAACGCTATGGCCTAATGACTAATGAACCAAACCGAAATCCACTTTTTACGAATAGTAAACGCGCATAACCAGAATAATCATTTTTTTTCTGAAAAAATAAAACTAAAAAAAAAAAACCCAGTGAAAACATCACTCTGAAGCGGAAATAATGATTAAAGGTCGACATTAAGTCGAGTAATAAGTCTGCTAGGTAAACTATATTACAATACGACAATAGGGAATTTACTGAAATCACTACAAATTTTAAACATTTAACGTTATTGCGTACATTATAATGATCGAAATCGTGCGACGATTTTCCAGCCTAAAAACAAAAACATAATACATCCGCCATGTTATTATACTTATAATTGTTATTATTATCTGCAACACTATGAAATATACGTAAACGCGATATTTAGTGCAGTGATCGAGAAGGTCGGTTATAATATTAGTATACATGTGATTCAACGATTGCACTTTTTTTTTGGCAAGGCCGAATAGTTTTGGTACTATATCACAATATGTATAGTCGCCGAGGAATGCGTCATGTATAAACGAACGTTTATATTATTATATATTGTAGATATATACGTACACATGTTTACTGCAGTTGAACTAAAATATAGGAAGTAAAAAAAAAGATCGGTATTTAATATTATATCCGGACCGTCAAGGTAGTCGAACTATGGTTTCCTTGACTTTTATACAGTGTAACCGATTGTGGTTTTTATTCCGGACGAATGCCATTGTTGCCCGAAGATACGGTTTGGTTATATATCTATATAATATACACAACATCCGACACGCCGTTGCGTTTGCGTGCACACTGTATAATATTATATTTTAAATGTGCATAATGATAATAATTATAGACCACGAAATTTAAGGGAGATTCACATAGAACAGCGTTATTGGCGTTCCGTTCTCTGAGTTTTTCAATATTTCACGTATCAAAAATATTATAAAATATTAATATAATACATTTATTATTATTATTGATCAGTAGTGCCAATATTTAAAATGACTAAAATCCTAAGTTAAAATGTAATTTGCACATACACACCACAAAAAAAAATTAATAAATATAACTGTATTTAATATTACATAATACGATGAAATGTTCAAGTCCTTATTCTAACCCAACCACTCACAACACTCAAAAAGTGCTGGACGATTTACTTTGTATGATACATACACACGATAAACAATATCGACAATATCGATAGTTTGCGTTTAGTTTCAAAAAAAAATATGACGATTTTTTTACTAAAACGTTTTTGTTTCTTTAAAAGTTGAATTTTATATTTCGAATTTGTTAACTAATTGTACTGGCCTTTTTAATCGTTGTCGAATACCTGTTTAACCGTTCTTGCAGATTATATACACCCGGTTATACAAAAACGAGAAGAATATATTATTATAACCGGACTAATAAATTGTATTATTTTCATATTTATATACCTACCTACACGTATAATTATAAAGATCCAAAGTAATTTGAAATCGTGTTTAAACCGACCAATTGCAGGCAACTACCTATTACAGGATTATAGAACATAGTCAAACGTTAAAAATCGCTCACTCTGTATGTAATTAATGCGGTTTTTTTTAAACAAATACCTAAGGAAATATTGTAACCGCGACAAGGTTGAACGGTCGTTATTTCATGGTCAAGATCCGTAAATCGCAAATAATATAACGTTTACAGAGTTCGTAATGCATTTGTCTGATACGTATAGTAACTGTTATTATATATAATAATAATAACAATAAATCGGTATTCTATTATAACAATAATGTAAGCTGACAATAATTAAAGTTCATATACCTCAGAATAAACATTATTATTTTTTAAATTAATATTTGTTTATTCAAAATACATATTTTTAATTTTTTAAAACATCTCAAGATATCCTTATTGTACACACAACTATAAGAATAGGTGCAAATTCCAAGGGTACCCTTTGTACCCCAAAATCAAAAGAAGCCCCCCTCCGACATATTCCATGAAAAAATATTATTATATCATTAATTTTAATACTTAATACGTTGTAAATAGCTTGTTTCTACTTAATAATTATGCAGGTAAATTTAGTATTTATCTATATTGGCAGACATTGCTTCAAAAAAACTTTTTAGATATGTCTGATTGTTGGATGATTAAAAAAAAATCATTTAAAAAGATTTTTATACAAATAAATGATATAAATTATTTAAAGTATAGGTAGCATTAGTTTTACTCGTTTTTTTTTCTTCGCGGGCGAGCGTAATTTTTTGGTTATGTACTTTATTAAACTATTATGTGGTTCAAAATGGTAAGGTGCGATTTTATTTCACGGACATTTCGATCCACGGGAATAATTTGTTTTAATTCGAACATTTTGTTGTTTGAGAAATAAATGTTCTTTTCAAAGTATTTAATTAATTTTAATCCACATTATAGTAAGTTATATTAAAACAAAAGTATTTGTGTATAAAACACATAAGTATTTATTAAATAATAAATGGTTGGGTATTTGTGATTTATGGAAAATGAGTCCCTCACGGGTAGGTGATGAGTAAGTTTTGGAAGGACTTGAGCACCCCCGAGAGTTCTAAGCGGATTTACACCTATCAGTTGTTCTGATAATCGATACGGATAAATAATTTTAAAAACTTACGCATTATGACGTTTCCAACAAATAAACTCAAGGTGACGGTTATGAAGGTGGTAAACCTCTGGAAAAAAAAATAAAAATAAAATTTCATTACCATCCATACCTGCAGGTAGAAGTGTAAGTATATATTATTATTATATACTATTAGTTGACAAGGTTTAAACTTTCATTCCGGAAGGAATAGGTATAAGACGTGACTGATGCTGCATATACTTATATGCAATAAGTATATTATTGCACCACATGTGTACATAATATTTTTTTATCAAACATAATTTATATATGTGTACCGGAATAACAAGAAAAAAAAAATAGAAAATCCAGGATACGTATTATTTAATTTATTTAATTTGTATTTGTATGCGGTGATAAATCATTGCTAACGAAATACGATTATGAATGAAGTTCGGTTAACGATTTTTTCATATACCATGATTTTTACGATTTTAGTAAAAATTTGAATTACATTTTATTTTATTTTATTTTATTAATTACACAAAAACTAATTACATTTGATGATGAACCTCGTGTTAATTTTTTGAGTATTTCTGTTCAGGCGAATAATTTTATCAATACAAAACCAAATAAAAACTAATGATAAACCAAAATCGAAGATGATGAAACCGTTAATTCCGTAAAGTTTCCAGTTTTACAGTTTTTTCTGGTATTTCTCAAAATAAAACTACTCGAAAAATCAACAAAACGACATTCTAAATGCTAAAAACATTCTAAAAAACAAGATCCGAAATACAACAAAAAAATTGTTTTTTGAAATTTTTTGATTGGAGTAAGATTTCTGGTATAAAATTTGGTTACAGATGTCATAGACAACGAATAAAAAAAATCAAACTTATCATAATAAAGCTAAAACATTCTTCGTTACACTTGGAAACAATTTTTTTAAATTTTTTCAGTACTTATACGAGTACATAATAATTTATTATTTAATAATATATAACAAATTACATTTTGATGTTCAAATATGTATTTTTATGTACTCACTTCTTTACGAACTCCCGGGAAAATTATGAGAAAAGCTGTGAAAATAGTACCGAAAACCAGACAAGTCGTTATCATTTGTACGTCCCCCGTGACAGGCGTACGGTTACTGTAACTGTAAAACACGGGTCCTCCATCAGCCCTGAGCCACTTCATTCTATAAAAAAAACAACACAAAATTAAAATTATTATAACATTGTATGTTCGCAAAGTTGGGAATATTTTTAAATGCACGGTAAAATTACAAATATAAATAGACAGGCATATTCGAACTACGAACAAATTCAGAAATATTATATTTATTATTTATTATAAACATAGATATTCTATATTATTATATGGAGCTGAAACATGGACATTAACTGAAACATCGAGCAGGAAAATTGAGGCATTTGAAATATGATTGTATCGTTGAATTCTAAGTATCCCATGGACAGATCAAGTATCCACCGTGAGAGGACTTCAAAGAACGCAAAAGGAAAAGGAATGACTGATGGCTATAAAATCACGGAAATTAGAATATCTGGGTCATATAATAAGGAATAACCTGCAAAGATGATATTGATTGTTGCAACTTATACTCCAAGGAAAAATAGAAGGTAAAAGAAGTATGGGAAGACGAAGAAAATCGTGATTGAAATATAAAAGATAACGAATATCATAAAATAATAACACGAAAGATAAATAATATTAAATATGATTTTCAATATCCGAAACGAATAGAAACTTCAAGAAGAAGAAGATTATATATATATTCGATATACCGAATTTTAATGAGTATAATCATTACATCTGTATAAAAACATTTTGAGAGTATACATGATTTATATTATATATAATACTTAACAAAAAACGTGTAAATATTATTATATTATATTATTTTGTGATGGATCGCAAATAACGTTTCAAATAAACAAGCATTATGGTCATGGTTAAGCAGATTAACGTAGCGCGTGGAAAAAACCGTGATTCTTTACGAAAAATTCGATATTGTAATGAAAAAAAATGCACCGGTTGAAAATTCACTCGTATAGCGTATACAGGTACCTATATTATGTTGATTTTGTAAAGCAGATCCGCATAGGTTAGGTTATATATAGTAACCAGTTCTGGGTGTGACCAAGGTCGGGGCAAATAATATAATATAAGTGACTTTTGTGGTCGCGTGTGTGGCTGCTGCAGCTACTGTTTATAAGACGCATATAATACTACAGTGGTGCAGTTGATCTTTGCCACACGAATTTTTTGCTCTAGTTCTTTTGTCAACCGTCTGTACAATACAATATGCAGCGCAATAACGACAAATCAGTTCGATAATGGTTAAGTTTATTATTTATTTAATTTCTACACGGGAACTCGTGAAAAATATATAATATAAAAACAAAAAGCTAACAGTCGGGATTGCAGTTAATATACCTATACTCTTATGATGTCTACCCACTCATGCCGCCGAAATACTCATATATAAGGTATATTCGTTAAGCAATTCAAACGTTATCGGGGAAATAATAAAAATCGTGATTTGCGTTCGAATGGATGATTGTTGTTTTGAAACTCACGTTATATACCTACCTTTAATAATTTATTATTCTAGGCCAATATATTTATAATACTCCGGGCGAAATGTCTTCAAGATCTCAAACGGTTTTTTTTACAAAAACCAAAATTTTTTTTTGATTTTTACGATACATTATGTAACTCGTAACTATTAGGTAGATATACATGCACGATAAATAAATTAAAGAATGTATATTTAGGATACATTACATTCCCATGGCCGTTGATTATTTATAGGTTAGGTGTATAGGTAAACAAAACTTACAGCCGTAGGACTTATATGTGTAAATATTATTATTATAAAATATTACAAGTCGCGGCGCATCCAAAGATTGATTTGAAAAATAGGTACCTATCTATAATGGTTGAATGTTGCAATATATCGTCGTCTCAAATAAATTGAAAATGATGTCAAGTATATTACAAAAGATAGGCACGGTGATATTTTATTGGCTTGTATACTTATGATTGTCGATTATCCGGATAATTTTTTTGTGAAATAATAATTATGATGGTAAAAAAAAACGTGCTAGTATTTAAAAATGTAAATAACGTCGTATTATTGCATTAATACCTACGAAAATGAAGCAAATATATTACAACGCCTTCACCTGATTAATTACAAACAAGTATTATACATAATATTGCTGTAGCATGTAACAATGGATTTTGATAGATTGTAAAAATAAAGTTTAATAAATAAATGATCGTGTAGATATCGGTATGGCAATTTAATGTGATTAGTATCGTATAGCAGTAGTATTATAATATTATTAGCCATTTTCAATAACCAATGGAAAAATAAATTCTTAGTTCCGAAAAAAAAAATATGATGAAATCGATTAAACTGATGTTTATATATCTACAAATACAAGATATTTGCGATGGAACTTTAATTGTATACGTAAATTTATTAGAATTATGAAAATGGATTTACTTTGATATTTTGATCATTTTTACGATGCAGGTATAATCAGTCACATCGATTGTAGTTTTAATAATTGATATGTCACTCAGATTATCTTTTCGAATGTAAGATTTACGAAGAGAAGGATGGAGAAGTTTTCCTCTCAAGAGCCAAGAGCCTAGATCAATAATTATTTTTTTTGTTAAAAGTCGTGACGTAAAATGTATAAATACAATTTATGTATTAGTATTTTGTAGTTGTATGTACCCAGGTAACCAAAAAATGAATAAAAATTGCAAATTTTTCCGATTTATTTAAAAAATGACTTTCCCAATGCACCAACTATGATCAAAAATACTACTAGAAAGTTCCTATATTGTTTTCGATTAGAGTAAGATTTCTGGTAGAAAATTGAAGAGATAAATAAAAAAAATAAAAAAAATACATTATGGTATATTGATAAGTATATAAATGATATGGTATAGTTATGATATGATTTTAAGTGGATACATTATCTCGCTTCGTTTAGAATCTAAAAGAATATTTTATAAAGGTCTTGATAATAATAGTTTTCGCCGATGGCCACTGCTCCTTTCCTTTAGACTATAACGAAAACAATACGTTTATTCGTCCGAATATTAATTGTATTTACCTATAAATATTTCGGGAAACTAATATTACATGTTTACATCAGTAATTATACGTGATTTACTAAAATGATATAAGTAAAATAATTAACTATTAATATAGTTATATAACGACGGTGTGCGTAAACCGGAAGAAAAAGAAAGATTTGTAATTAATTTATACTGTCTAAAGGTATATGCTTAGATTGACTAAAAATATCAAATATTATTTAAATTACACCATAATAAAAATAATTATTGTAAACGTATTTCAAGTTCAACAATATAATAGACGTCGTGTATGCACCATGTGTTCTGTTGCAGTGTCGAGACTGTTTGAACCTTTCACTGTTGGAATTTGTTTTATATTATTCCTATACAGAAGTGTTTATTTTTCACCGTCACTTGTTAAATTAAATGTAATATGTATAATGTGTTTGAAATTTTTTTATTACTTGAGCAAGTACTGCTTCAGAAGTTTTAGCATAATAGCATATTAGCAAATATTATTTATTCGGTCGACATAAATAATCAATATATTTGTATCGCAATTGGGTATTGTTATTTCAATAACCGTATTTAAATCTATAAATTAAATATAGAATAACGGCCAAGTATTTTGATTTTTTTCGTATAACTATTCGTATAGAATTTTATTTAAACGTATTCTGTGCACAGCTTTATTAAAGAGATTTGTATACTATATACCTATAAACAAATCAGTGGCGTGCACAGAGAGGGATAGGTGTTATATTCTCTAATTGGTTTAATAATACAACAACTATGAGTACCAATTTTATAATTTAGCCAAGTTGCAAGGAAAGAAAGCTTAATTTACTGAATAAAAATTGTTCTTTTCAATCTGGCTTTTAAATTGATATTGTCAAATTTATTAGGTTAGGTATAAAATAAGAAGATACTACGATTTACCTATTCATAATTATATTATTTGCTACATCCTCTACCATTAAAAACTCCCGGGAACGCCACTGAAATAAATTATTATGCTTCTCGGGCTATCGGCTAATATCCAGTGTATGTAATAAGAAACCAATATAAAGTTATAGTGGTAAAATGTTAATATTGTTAAGTATATCATATTCCACTTCTTCTTTAATGAGCAACTCACATAAGTGCAGATTGTTTTTAAAATTAAATACAAACAAATAAACTTATAAACAAACCAGTCCGAATTATGGTTTGTAGATTCAGTTAATGCATATTTTCATCGATGTTTTACAAATTAAGAATTGTATAACGTTTTTAGCGTTCATACGTAAAATGGCTTTGTATTTATAACGATAGTAATATGTGTATTTCTAAAGTAAAATATTATTATGAAACGCGTAGGTATAGGACCTAAGCATTATATTATAAAAGACATATTTAAAATAATGCGCTAGTAATAATAATAATAAAAAAATAAATAAATAATATCTTAGGTTTGATCTCGATACAATGCAGTTTAATTATCTACCAGTTATTCAAATTACGAGAATTATAAAAAATAAAAGCACTTTCAATTATAGCTACTTATTCTTCGAATGAAAGTTCTATAATAATGTATTATGTTGGTATACTTACACTTTATTAATAATGAGTTTAATTATTGCATCATATAAAATAATATATGGGTACGAAGTAGAATCATAATCATTAATAAATTTTATTACATATAATAAAGAACAAAACAATTGAATCGTTAAAACATAACATTTCATTATCGAATCGATAAATATTACGTAGGCACCGTATAATAACGGGTGATCCATTTAAATGGGTGCCCTCATTATCTCGGAAAGTATTAACTTTTTTCGTAATTTTTTTTCTAGAACATTTAAGAAACGATCAGCTCTACAATTTTATATTTATGCTATTTTTTATCACCCTAATTTTTGGGGGTAAAACCATTACCTACTTTAGATTTTCGAACGGAAACCTATATTAAAATATCCATAAATAGATGGAGTATTAGTCCTATATTATTGCTTTCTTCGTTTAATTTAATTTTTTTTTTTTCTACACGTTACACGACTTTCGAACAGTAATTATAATATAATATATCGAAAGTATACAGAAAAAAAAAAAATGATTATACGAACACTGTGATCATAACATCCACCACCCGCTGATATAAGTGTTCGGTGTAAATTCAGATCTCTATGAATATGTCACATTAAAATACAACAAAAAAAAACCAAATTCGAAAACAACAGAAACCGGTACCATGTAACTATTCCTGTTTGTCTGTTGTTTCGGCCCAATTCAGAAAACTACTCAGGAAAAAAAAAATTTTAAAAAAAAATCACTGTGCACACCCAACGGAACAGACCAGTCAAAATTTGCTACCGGAAACCCACTCCCGAAGTCGATGATCGGTTAAAGATTTCGGGTAATAAAAGTCCAAAAAAAAAAAAAAAAAATCGCACGTACTTATTATTATTTAGTGAAACCCGCATTATACGTTCCACGTGGATACGTTAAAAATCTGAAAAGAAAACTGAAATTTCGGTCAAAGCACAAACCTGACGTTGCCGTTGTCGCACGGGGAAAAATCGGCGATAAACTGGTCCGTTCGGCGACGGCGATCTCGGCTATTTTGTTTTTGGCCGGATCAGTTGGAACTTCGGCACATGTCCGCACGAAAACCAGTCGAGTGTACCCTGTTTTCACACTCGTGAATATTATTTTCAGACGGCGCACCGATTACGCGACGACAACAATACAACAGTTCGTGAACAGTTCGCGAACGATTCGTCGGCACCGCCTACGCATGTTTTACAGTAAGTTGTTATCGGCGAGATATTAGCGAAATATATATATTAAAAAATAATCCGCGAATAAATAGACAAAAAAAAAAAAAAGAAAAAAACTTCGTCACGTGCGGCGGCTGGTCACCGGCGTATTATGTTCGGACGACGCGCGTGCTGATCGGTAACCGGACGGATACTGGTGGCGGATGGCGGATCGGCGTTACGATGCGGTCGTGTGCGCCGATGATAACAACACAATAAAAATGGAAATAACAACAATACCGGTCGCGGTCTGCGAGTGGATTATTATTATTGTGCGAAACTTCGTCGGCGGCTGTTGCTCCGGACGGGACCGCGAAACAGAACGTGCGCTGCGGCGGCGGAGACGGCGGATGTTGTTCGGAGAGACAATCTTTTTTTTTTTATTTATTTATTTTTTTTTTTTTCCTACGATTTTGTACGTTTTTTTTTTCCTCTCCGGAGTGGGATGAGGCCGAGCAAGGTCTCCGGGCCGCGCGGCGGCGGCGGCGTTGGCCTCTAACGCGGTCTCCGCCGGCGCGCGCCCGCGATACGATTATCCGCCTATGATATACGTTTTCCCCGGCCGTCGTCGCTGCACCGCGCACCAAAACTACACCGGGGGGATACGCAATAGTAACACGCGCGCGCCACACTGTTATTGGTTACACTTCCGAGCTTTCGCCCGGGACCGAACCGCGACGCCGCGGTTTGTCGTCGGCCGGTCGCACGCGCAACGAAAAAACCATAACAAATAAAATACGACCGGCGACTGCAGACAAGGTCGACTGGACTTTGCGCAGCACACGGCAATGTTATTAAATCTCGATCGGGTCTCGGCCCGGACATATTTTACAAAGGAGGAAACGCTCGCGCGCGGACCGACAACAATCAGGAAGTACGCGTGCGTTTCGAAAGTTACAAAAATAATAACATACGATAACATAATCCATATATATATATATATACGTAATACGTTTACTTATTATTATTAATTTATCGTTTCGCGCGTATTGTTATACACACTCGCATAGGTCAGGTGCCCGTACACTTTAGATGTGCCTCGGTCGAAAAATCCGTCTGGGCCGAGGTTACAACCGCCGCAGCGCTACACACGAGTATATTGTACATTGTTGTCGAGATTGTTTTTTTTTTTTTAATAAAAAGGTTTTTATCGACAAACCGTCAGTCGGTATATGATATTGTATATTTTTACGTCCGCGTACACGTCTGTTGAAAAAAAAAAAAAATTCCGTCGCAGTTTGTAGATATAATATCTAACATTATCTCGTTATATTATTACGATTCGACGTGTTTTGGGAAATCGATTTTTAACGTACCTATAGCGTGTAAATGATTGTACAAAAATAAAAAACCAACGCTTTCAACAATCGTATATACCTATACACGTGTGTTGTCGTGTTATCGTTTTTGTTTAGAACCACACGGTTGTAACACGGTTGTATTATTACACCGTGATGGCCGTAAGTTTGAAACTATAAAAACAAAAATCACAAAAGATTATAACTAATAATGTATAGGACACGCGATTGAATTTTTTTTCTCGACACACGAGCACATGACACGTTTTAAAATATATGTTTTAAGGAACACAATATTATATTATACGGCGGAATCGGGCAATAGAGTAATATAATATCGCAGTCGATAAACTGCGCATGTACCTAAATGTATTGTTATACTATAATATTACGGTTGTGCGAATTTATAACATCCGATAGATGTAAATATGCGATACGAATTTCATGAAAAAAAAAATAATAATAACATAACAATAAAACGCGGTTGACGATTAGGTACGTAATATTATGTTTATATATATGATGTGAATAACATTAAGTATTCTGTTTATCATCATATTCGTGTGTAAATTTCCATTCGTTAAACAGGACAATATAGTTTATGCGTAAAAATGTGTAAATCCATAAAATCACTTTACGTAATATTATTTATAACGTTAACACATATTATTTTTCAATTTTGTGACGTCCGCTGCACGAAATTAAATACTTTTAGATTCTGAACCAAGCGTATGTGCGTGCGTTTTTTTCTTTTTGTCTGTAATCGACTTTTCTACCAGAAATATTGCTTCAATCAAAAACGACAACAGAACTTTTTTATAGAATTTTGAATCTAGTTGATATATTGAGGCGGTCATTTTTTGATTTTCTAAGTAGCCTTTTAACTTTTTAGCTTTAACACATTATCAGTTTTACTTAATAGTCAACATGAAACGTTAGATTTTATTTTAGTAGTTTTTTAAATCCAAATTTTAACGAAATACGTACAAATTACGGCATTTTAAAATATGTTTAACCAAATTTCATATTTTATTAGTCGTTGCATTCAATTCTAAATTAAATAGCTCTATGTATCCTGCATTCCCAACTTTCTACCTATAACAACGGCACATCCATCAGAAGTATATTTTTGTTTTTTTTTTTTTTAACTTGGTGAAAATGAATTGTCAAAAATTGACATTTTCACCTAATACTTATAGTAGCATTTTCTAGAAATGTGGTTTAATTTTCAAAGTACCTAGAATATACAAATAAAAATTAGTCCGTGGACTAATATCAATATACGCATATAATAACTTTACTAAACTTTGTGTAATAATTTTTATAAAATAATGTGATATTTTACAATGATAATGTTACCTAACACATTATATTTTAATATATACTGTATTCAATTGCGTATGTTTGACACATAAAATTGATTTTAAAATCGTCTTTTAAAAATTTCAAATACACTTCATCAAACGTATAAAACAAAATAGATAAATAATAATTTTAAATGAAAATAAGAACAAAGCAATTGGTCAATTTTAATTTTTTTTTTTTAATTTTGGGACCTATCAATTTTCACGTCAACAAATCTCTACAGCTCTCTTGGTGATCGAACTATAGATTTATTAGCGCCCTCACAATTTATAAAAATACCACATAGTACGTAGGTAGTAATGTTATTTCACGTAGACACAATTTTAAGTTCTATGTGTTGTGGTCTATGCATTTTGTTTTCTGGGTAAATAATTATCTTTCAATTTATGATTTTTATTCAACTATTCATTTTTGAATAATTTAAGCTGATTTGAGCTGAAACTATATCTTATACAAAAGTAACAGTAAGTACTAGTAATATAAAAATAGTACTTATCGATTTGAATTAGTTTGTACACAGTCAATCATTCAACATATTCTCAACTAATTACATAATTTTAAATTTATAATTTTAATATAAAACGAAGGAGTGGCAGAAATATTTCAAAATGTTCAACAGTGTTATACATTTATATCTTATACGTTACATGGTGTAAGTACTAGGTAGGTACCTACCTATTTTTAAATCAATTTTCGATCTAAATAAATTTCGATTAATAAATTGTCCTTGAACGGCTATTAGGATTAACTGAAGAATAATAATATTCTATAATATATATATTTTTTTAAATAAGATAAGTACATTTATCACACTATAAACATTAAAGTGAAAAGAATTCAGTTCAGCGAAGAAACTCAAAATGGAGACACGGTTTTGTCAATTGGTCACGATTATTATCCATTAATATTATTGTACACCGCGAACTGTGCAAACCGAGCAATGTTATAGTCTAACTGTTTCAAGGAGTTTTGCCTTAAATTTATATTAAATAGAGACTGATAAAACTATATTTTATTTAAAATGAATTAATACAAGTAATTTACTTTAAAAATAGGTACCAATTATAAATTATTACATTTTAAATGGGCAATTTGTTTCTCTAAAATAACTGATTACTATAATAGTAGCTACAGGTACATTTATATCCAATTAAGTTTACCGAGCCAACTAAAAAATATCAATATAGAAAAAATTATAATGAATTATCTATAATAATTACATTCACAGTGTATTTATTACTCACTGTTTATGGGTACAAATTTAAAAAAAAAACAATAATAAAAATTCAAGCAAGAAGACAAACGTTGAAAATGTTTTCCTATACATAATTGTATAGATTACTATCGGGTTGTCGCAGTAGGTTCCATTATAAAGGTATTGATAAAACGACATTTTGTTTAAATAAAAATGTGACAAAAAATGTATATTAAAAATAGGTACCTATTTATTTTTAAATACATTTTTTTTTCTACAATCGCAATATTAAGGACTCGAGTATAGTCAATTAAATTTATCAAACCAATTAAAAACACAGTCAATTTGTCTAATAATTAATTATATTCCTTATAAATAATAAATTCAATAGGTAGATACCTAAGTATAATTACACATTGTATTGTATACTATTATTATAAATTTAAAAAAAAAACACCTACAAGAGGACATTTTTACTGATCCCTGTTTTCTTATACCTAATAATTATTATAGATTACCATCAGGTAATTGGTTTTATAATGCCATTTCAACCGCATTTATTGAAGTTTGCTTATTCAACTAAAGACTGGTTTGTTTTTTATTAAGAAAATGTAATAATATTATAATAAGTCGGTTTTTGAACCCTAATTATTGTTGCGTCTGGATCATTTATAAAAGTATATATATAAAAAAAAATCAAAAAAGATTTTAGGCGCATTTATTGTTTATTTTAATAAATACAATTTTTCTATATTTGTTTTATATAGTTTATTCTTTAAATCAATGACTCCGACGTAAGTGCTACCAACCCATTGTGGATATTTTTAATTGCAAAGTGGGAGGGCGTTTAATTAAGGGGCGATTATTCTGTTATAACCGAATAACGTAAAAGTATAAGTATACTTATATTTTTACGACAGTTTTTGACTTATTTCAATAGTAATACAGCTATTGATATTAGATTATTAACTCGATGGAGGTGATAAGAATTATGGAAATCTAGAAAGGGGTGTGGAATGAAAAAAAGAAGTTGGGAAATAGTATTTTACATCAAAAATAAATATATGATACTCTTGGTATGAAACAAACCACGTCGTGTTTGTAGAAAAAAAAAACCGTTAAAAATTATACATACAAAAACCCCGGAGTAAAAGTGTGGAAACCCAACTCGACAAACAATTGGCGAGCTGTTATGAACATGTAATAAAAAAAATAAAAAAATAATAAATATGAAGTATGAATAGGTATAGTGTTTTGTTTGAGAGGTGCTTCAGACAAACAATAATAATAAAAAAAAAAGACATAGACATAAAACTGGTCTAATCGAGACGAAAGAAATACATAATCGTCTACTTATATTATAATATTATTTTTTACGACCTGCAAAATGATTGACAGATTAATTGGTTCAAATACCGTATAATAGTGTGTGCAAATAGTATATCTTTATATATCTTTAAACAAAATTATTTTCACATCGAAAAAAAAGTAATATATTTTCTGCAGAATAAAATCACAGGCAATAAAATTATTGTCTATTTTTCAGGCACAACAATATAACTTTTTAGGCACTTAGATTTTATAATATTATACGAATCACATATTTATATTGCGTGGTTTTAAATTGATGAATTTTTGTGTATCGTATTATATTATTATAAGAGTGATTCTTAATTTATATGATAAAAAAAATTTAAATATTTTTGATCCACGAGGTACTCGCTATTATTTGCATTACTATATGAAAAAAAAAAGAAAGATATAATTTGGTTATTACTCACTCCTTGCTAATACAAGATCTACCGTTTAATATTACTGATGCAGTGTATGGTCTTCTCTCTACTGGTCTTTCAACTGTACTGTCTTATTAATGCCATTCTTCTTTTAGATTCTGAGTGGAGCGAAGAAGCTTATGGTTTTACAAAGATGTTTATTTTTTTTCTGTGGACAACTTTTCTACTAGAGGATTTGCTCCGATTTTTACGTGTAGCATCTTTTCTGAAAGTAAATCGGTGCGGGGAAGTACTTTAAGGTTATTTTTCAATTCCCTCAAGAATTTTCTCATTAAATGCGAAAAACCGAAAAAAAAACACGGGAAAATGTAAGAAATGTAGATATTAGCTAAAAATATTATGGCCTTTTTTCTTGGGGACAACTTTTCTACCGGCATTTTGCTCCAATTTTGAAGGATGGAAATTTTTCTAAAAGGAAATTTCATCGGGAAGGTACTATAAAGAGGTAGTTTTTCGATTTTCTCCAGTTTTCTCAGCAAATGTGAAAAACTGGTAAAAAATATGAGAAAACCGGAAAAGACGTAGGAAAACCGAAGAATCGATACAACATCAAACAAATATTATTAAAGAAAATATATAAAGCCTATTTAATTATTTTACTATAACATGGCATATATATTGTTGGCAAAGCATCACTATCAACTTAACTCCACTAAGATTCGTTTTTTCGTAAGCAATGGTTTATCATTGCTTACAGGTATACATTAAACTACCTATAACAGTGACTGTAACCATCCCTATTATCCTAGGACGTCTTTTTTAATTCCATTTTCCCATCTCATCCTTGGTTTCATGCAAGTATACCTATACAGGTATTTTCCCTGTAGGGCAGTGTTTTCCAAACTGGGGAGCGTGAACGCATTGATGGAGAGACATAAGCAGCCATTACGAAGTAAAATTTGTATTCATTAAATTATTTTTATTGTACAATTTAGGGAAAAAATTAAAAAAGACCGGTAATCGGGTATCGATATAGATTACGTATTTAAGTATAGGGGTGACAGTGGGCAGTTGTCCGGGCAGCTTTAATTTTTATAATGATACAAATTTATAGGAATATTTTTGTTGATGACCTTTTTTTTTATTGCTTATCATATTGTTAAGGAGGGGGGTAGGATTTTTAAAAATCTACAAAATGATCGTAGAATAAAAGAGGTTAGGAACTTGGGTCTTCCTCACTTAACTAAAGATCCCTTCAAACACGACTCATCTGCCACATCAGTCTTCTTATACCGATCATTCTAACTATATCGGACCTTAGGGACTGATTTGAAATTAATCATTATATAATATCATTCATTCATCGGTTTGGAAATCAAATATTCGGCCTTATGTATAATTTAATTTAAAAACATAAATTACAATAATTATTGCATACATAGAATAAAATAGAATAGTGAATACCAGGCCTAAAGTAATAATTTTATATGTTTAGTTCAAAATAATTTAAGTACAAAAAAATTATAAAACAATCGTATTATTTTAGTCGAATATGTATCATATATAAATAATAATATAAATATTTTCACATAGTGAAATTTACTCGTTTCACGGACGGCGATAAGTAGTGTTACGTAAACGGCTGCATCTATGAAAAATCATTTCATATTACTAATTAATAATATTAATAATAGTATATAATGTATAACTTAAAATGTAAATTTCTGTTACTATTACTTAACTTTATATTATATATACATATATATATTTATATATATTTTTTTTTGTAAAAATTTGGAAATAACACAATTATTATATGATTAAGGTCGTCGAAAAATTACGAAATATGATGTGTCGGTACAGTTTTACCTACTGAATATTATGAGGCGGGAACAAGGTCGCATTAGTACATCGGGTATATTATTTACACTCTCCAAGTACATGCGGAAAATATTGAAACACGAACAATGTTTCTTTTTTTTTAGCGTAATCTCAAATATCTTCTTCTGTATAATAACACATATTAGTTTTCATATATAGATAAAAAAAACTTTATTTCAGTAATATATAAGTGAAAAGAAACACAATATTATTATTATATTTTGTTTTGTTTGTTTTCTTAGACGAGAATAAAATTATAAAAACTAATGGATATTATCCGCAGTTTTCGGAAATTTCTATCAAAACCAAACATTGCTAAACGTTCATTGCTACACACTACTAACGGGCAACATAGCAAAATTATGTTACGTATAAAACATATTTAAATGAGTAAAATAAGTTTAAATTGAAATTAGAGTTTACACATAATACACAAATAACAAATTTTAAAAATTGAAATATTTTCGAAGGTGGGTATTAAAAAAAAAAAAATTAAAAAAAAAGTATAACTGTAACTTATTTACTGATAAATGTGGTAAATCCAGATGTTACATCCTTTTAAGACCTTATATAACTATCTGCTGGCGTTTAATATTTTTAAATGAAATTCAAATTCGTGTAGGTATATGACTACAAAGATAAATTGAAAGCAAAATACATATAAAAAATAAGCGTAAACTTTTAAACGATAAAACTTAAAATTAGGAGGTATCTCAAAAATAATGACTATTTTTATTCGAAATATGCATTTGCAATACATAATAGAAAAAAATATAACTTAAAGCTTATAAATAATAAATAATTATATATATTTTATATTTTTATATAAGCACTACTTGGAAATTATCTATTATTATTTTATGTATACCTACCTACTTATAATTTTTAGTTATACCTACCTGCCACACCTACTTAAAATGATTACGTTTTTAGGCAGAAGTAAAACAAAATATATAATTTAACTCAGTTTAAATCACCATGGCTTTTTTTGGGCATACTGCATACATACAGTGTATGTATGTATCTATGTATGCATGTATGTATGTATGCACATCATTTGTAATAATATTACAACCTCCGGTTTTAGATTATAACATATGAAAATTATATGAAAAAAATAGTTTTAATAAAATATACCACAGGTGTTATTAAATCTATAGTAATAAGGTCTAAATTATATGCACGTATATAATAATTAATAAAACAATTCAATCGATATATATATATATTTAATATTAAAACAAAGACAAAAAAATTGTATGTCTTTCGAGAACAAACTACTGAGTATTATTACATGATGATACTATAGACGTAAGAAGAAAAATATGGAAATCCAGAAGATGGCTCATTTTTTTAAAGGTACAGAAAATCTAATGGTTTGGAAATGTAATAAGGAAATCGAAATGAGCAAACCTAAAAGGGATATGCAGTTGAGTGGAAACCTGCAGAGAACTGAGAAGAGATCTAGAGGAAGTACAAAGAAATGATAGATGGGTGGAGTGGAAAAAAAAAAGATTTGAAATAGATAGGTAGGTACACCTTCGCGAGTATAGAAGTAGTGACGCATCTAACCATTAAAGCATCAACTACCTTTTTATTTCACATATTTTTCAACAAAAATATAAAATATCACAAAAAATATGCCCCTAATGGTCTTTTGGGGATGCGTCGCACTCAAAGCACCCATGCTAGTTGTGACACTGAGTGGAAAGCAATGTTGTGGCAAAAACTCTTGAAGAGTTGTGATATATAGAAGAAGAAGTACAATTTAATAAAAGTGTTAATATTTATATTCGTTTAACATTAAGCGCCGTACTTACAATGTACTATAAAGTGTTCGTTAGTGCTAACCGTTGGTTAATTATCAACAGAACTTGGCTGGTTTGCGAGAAAAATAATCTCCGGGCACCGATTAACGCACTGGACATTGCACGAACGGCTCAATGTGTACTTACAACCGAATTATAATTAGACTGAATTTTTATTTGCAAAAATTAATTGCTATACTAAAAAATAGTTTATTGAATTGAGTTGAATAATCATCTAAAAGTTAGATTACAATTCCGTATGTTACTATTCTGTACGGACCTTTTTCACTATTGCGATTGCGTACGTTTTACCTTTCCAAAATTGTTTCAACGTTGCCACCGTTACTCATTTACGTGTAGTTTACGATTCCGTACGCTCATTCTTTACCATCACGATAGCTTATGGTTTATGACGTCACGGTACCACGCTAAATCTAAAAAATGCTACTTGATTTATTTCTCGACATATAATTCGATTCACTTATAAATAAAAACTAAAATTGACAAAACCAAAAAGCAGTTAAAATTAAATATTAAACGTTGCTTAATCATAGAATAACAGTTTTCCCCAATTACCTACAAAAATCAATGGTTAATAATATGCTATGTTCTTATACCTACATTTTGCGATAAAATGCCGTTTGTCCTTAATAAGAACGAAACGAAAGAACGGTTTAAGTAAGTGGTTGTTGATAGACAAAACGTGCTACGCCTGCATTTTAACCAATACCAATAAAACATATGTCAGCTTGGTAACTGGTGAACACAACCACGAACCGAACATAATTCAGAAGATTAAACGTCACATACTATTCACTCCACGGTGTTAACAACTTGTATAACTCGGCAATTGGCATTAATAATGTAGGCATGGTTTGCGTGTAAACTGTTGTGGAACCTGACGTCGTACGCGTTTATACTGTTGCACTCATTTTCTTACAGAATCGTAATATTTAAGAGTTGGATTGTAAAAATGAACCTTTTTATAAAACGTACGGAATAGTATTACAAAAAGGTACACATATACGAAATCTTATATTTACGCATCTAAATATGTCAATATTATATAAAAGTGTATGCATATTGTATACAAATTAGTAAACCGATTATGATATCCTATACAAATTAAAAATAAATAAAACATTAAACAAATCCAAAATCGAAAAAACAGTGTAATTCATCAAGCGATTATTTTAAGTAAGCTTGGATGATAGGTTAGTTTCATTATAAAGTTATGTAATCGGCCGAATTTATACATAAATCGGTTTTCGTCGGTTAGATATCATAACACATGTTCTAATCAAAATTACTATATTTGAGTAGATAAAGTACCTACTAAAAAAAATGTAAGTACTTTATTAGTTACTACTATTACTACTAAAGGTCATACACATAACTTTTTAATGTATAAGTATTTTAGAATTCCGGAAATGTATTTTTTGAAGGCAATAAAACACATTAAAAAGAAAAATATCAAGGAAAAAATCAACAAACTGTTTATATCTACTGGGAATTGTAATTTTTTATTAAGTTTTAGAAGAACATAAATTATATAATAATTAAGTATTGGATAATTTTGTTTTTCTGATTACCGCTACTTCCAGGCGTTTTAGCACGCTATAAGTACTGAGTCGTCAGCAGTGTATATATTGCACTGTGTATAATGTATATATATTATAATTAAAACAAATGTTTTGAAATACACGTACCTATAGAAAAGTCTCAGTGTAATATTATGGGATATAACAAACATATTGTTTACGCACTTTGACATTTCCAACCCCGATCCGGAATATTTAAGTATATTCTTACTGCATACTGCAGCAAATCGTATATTATATTCAATTATGTAAATGTTTCGTTTTACGGCATTTTGTTAAATATACTCTAAATAATAATTTTGCAGTTTCTTGTAAATAATGAATTTTTTCATTAACACCAGTAATTGGTAATTATACTGCGAATAATTGCAGTGACTTGTATAGTTATTCAATACATGCAAAAATATTATGACTCATACAGCGGTATGCGGTACTATAATATTTTAAATCGTGTATTTTAAAGCCAATCTTGGTTCTATTTTTTTTTTTTTTTTTACCCATATTTTACATTTACTTTAAAAGGAGAAATGTGTATTTTTATAATATTTAAGGAGGTACATTCACTCGATCGTATATAACAGTACTAGGTATACATTATGGCTTAAAAACTATAGACTACCTGCATACCATACTGCGTATAGTGTATATTACATAGTAAAACCATATCGTAATTATTATGAGTCTGATAATTGAAGTGAATAAAGGAACTTGGTACCTAGCAATAGTAGTAATAATATCATAAAAGTCTTTAACACCGTAAAAGTTAATATTATTTTTTTATATATATACCCTATACTTACCTACCTATAATAATGTACACTAAACACAAGGATTTAATTCAATGTCATACGCTTACATTATTGTGCTATAGTAAATATAAGTATATATAATATAGTTTAAAATTAAAGGCAATCTAATTTAACGAATATAAATGCCTATAATAATATAATTATATTGTAACAATAAAACATAAAAGAAAATTATTGGTCTAGGAGAGTCATATTCGTACGTGAATTGCATTTTTTTTTTCAAATAATCATGAACCATAATCAACCATAACGTCCATAACGGAATTATAAACCGACGTATACAAATATTTAATGCATAATAATTGTAATACCGTACATTATTCATGCAATATGAATACTATGCATTCAATTATAATGTTATTACGCATGTCTATAAATCTAGATTCTACAATTTTTAATGACAAAACAAAAACATTGAACGACTCAACTGTTTATAAGTAATTTTCTACAGTACACTAGGTAGACTAGGAGTTCACTTAAATATCATATCTTCTATAACTCAAAAGAATTACGTTTAAAAAAATATATTACGAGTAAACGCCTTGTATAACTAATCATTATTCATGTACCTACATCGTCGTTGGTAAAATATACAACATAATATAATATATTCGCAACAAAAACCCCTATCAAATATTAATATCAATATAATCTTTAAATCATTTTACCTTTATGGATAAACTAATAGATGGAAGTGTTTGTACTCCTGAATTTCTGCAGGCTGTTAACTTTCAAATCCTTGTTTTCAATTCCCGCACTGCATGCCTTTTTTCTATTCCTTTTTATTTAACCAGTTACATGTCAAACCGTCCACTTTTTAGAATAATGAAATTAGCCAATGAAACCTATATTTACACTTTTAAATTGTTTTAATGTTTTTGTGTTTTCTATGAATTTCCATGTTTTATTATGTATTTTAACTTCGTTAATTATGATAAGTCTCTGTAATGGAGCAGGTCCTGTATACATACATATAAATAGAATATTTTACTACTTTATGTAGAAAAACTGTATAGTATAGTACTGTATAGTTCGAAATAATTTTTTTCTTCAATACATTTCCTTTAAGAAAATTCGAATCGTAATATTTTCGGTTGTTACATCATGTGCAAATCCTACCCTCTAAAGATGTATAAGTGTACGTGAACGGTTTTTCGATTTCATAAAACTCCTCGATTTATTTCTAAAGACTTTCAAATCACGTAAAATGATAATAACACATCTAAAATGTAGAATATTATTTTTTTGCAATTGTTTGTATTATTATATGGACTATTGTTCCTATTGTTTTAATTTATATTTCGTTACGAATGTAATTTTTAATACAATAACGGAATAAAACTATACAGGTACCTAGTATAGTAAACTCATTGTGAATGTTTGAATAACAATATTACAAACTGAAATGCAAATGTTCGTGGTGTAAGCAGATTTTTACTTGTACCAATTGAAAAAAAATATGATCCTATAAGTTAACATTGTTATTATACCTATGCCAAAAACATTAATATTTTTCTTCTTGATTTTTTATAAAATATGACCCGAGGAAATTATACACCAAAAACTGCAAATTTAATCTATTTTTACCCTTGAACCCAGCATGTATTCACGCCATAAAGATTAATTTGTAATGATTTTTCTTCGTTGTCGTCGTGATATTGATCTATTTTTAATAAGATAACCGATCTACGTATAACACATAATACGAGTATGTTACATTACTTAGTAATGAACGTATCACCGTTTTAAAAACTTATTATTTTAATAACATATTTAAAAAATATTTTAGGTCAGGTAAAAAAATTATTTTGTAAAAATGATTATTATTTTACTTAATAAGTTCCCACATATAACAGTGGCGTATCAATGAGCTGTATCGGTGAAATTGAGTACCATATTTTGGACTCTTGGTGTCAAATTTTAGATTTTAAAACTGTTTATTGTTTATACCATAAAAAATATATTTAAAAAATGATAATAGCGCTGGTGCAATGTTTTAGGAAGGAAGTTAAAAGAGAGGGCATATAGAGTTATCTAATACATTTATATCAGTGGCACCACATGCTTAGATACTTAGGTGCAAGTGTGGTGCACTTGCTATTTCCTCAAAATTATATTTTTATTTTTTCACTTAATCGTTATATTAAATTATTCAATAAAAATACCATCTATTCTTTTTGACTTAGCACTTGAGAAAGTAGTCAGGTTAATGTCATTGAGCCAAGGCATCGAATTTTTGTCGAATAATACGCTCCTTGCATACGGAGCCTAGGAAATGAAAGAGAAGTCGTAACGAGAACCAATGATTTGATTAAAGCACCAAAGTAGGCTAAGAAGTTGGCCGGGATAAAACAAAATACTTAGTCATAGAAGAATAAGAGAAAACTTGGACCTGGTAACAGACAATTATTCCTTTCAACAAATAAAAAATTTCAAACATCTTGGGATGAATATAAATCAACACAATAACATATACAGTGAACTAAAACTATAAGAATATCTGCTACCAACAAGGGCTATTATGCTTCAGAAAAACTACTTAAGTCAAAATTTCTATACAGACGATCAAAGAAATATCTGTATTCAAGTTTCCTAAAACCAGTTATGACATACGCGTGTGAAACATGACCGACTAAGGAGACGAAAATAAAAATAGCTTGTTTTGAAAGAAGAATACACTGAAGGATATACGGGCCTATTAGGGAAAATGAAATGTACAAAAGGAGAACTAATAGAAAAGTAGAACAAATTTACCAAAAATCCAGTATTAATGTATACCTTATGAGTAAGCGAAATTAGTGTGCAGGACATATCTGGAAGTCAAATTCTAAAAAAATGTCTTAGTTGGAAAAATAAATGGGAAAAGACCCAGAGGGTGCCCTAGAGAACAATAGGCAGATAGGGTTAATAAAGATTTAAACATATGCTCACAGGGTATAACCATAGCAGACAGCATGGACAGAACTAGATGAAGGAATATAGCAGAGACAAAGAAAGTTCTTTAAGGACCGTAAGAGCTGGAGAAGAACAAGAATAATAAGATTATCGAGATGCTGTTAAAAAAAATAATTTTAAAAATATTATGTCGTGAACATATTATTGCTCTTAATGTAAAACATGTATGCAATAGGCACATACCAATCGGTGCGTAACACTGTGATAGCATCTTAGATCATAGATTGTATAAGAGCAACACCACGGTTGATGAGTGAAGGGATCACGAAATACAATTCAACTCAGTGCATAATATTACTACTGCGATCCGATTTTTAAAATAAACGTTACCCCTTTTCTATATGCCTTTAATTTTGAGGTTTTTCCATTTGTATTCTGATTTCTGTTTAGAATGGTCAATATTATTTTACAATAAACTAGCTGTCCCGCGCTCAACGTTGTTCGTGTCAATTTTTCATTAATTTTACCATTATTCCCGTTTTGTTTTGTCCGTATCCGTATATTGAACCAAACAAAATAGGTGGAAAGTGAGTCAGTGGCGAACTAATGTTTTTAATCCGTGTTATCATATTATTTACATTACTTACTTACACATACTTTTTTATTCGAGCAAGATTTCTAGTAAAAGTTGTTTAGACACGAAAAAAAACACATCATAGTAAAACCAATACATTCTACACTTCGCTTAGAATCTAAAAACCAAATAATTAAATGCATTTGAACGGTTTTGTGGCTAGAAATAGAAATTGTATATTATTTGGTGTCGTTTTAATGTTTCACGTTTAACTAAAATTCATTTTTTGTGAGCTTTCAATTTAAGGATATTTTGCTGTTGTTTTTTATCTTTACTTGATCAATAGTTGAACAATTATATGCACTCTAACCCGCACCCATTATCATCTTCCGAAGATACAAAACTACAATTTACTTAAAGTGAGTCTACTTATTTTGGTGAACGTTTACCAATTCCAATTATTATCAATTGTACTAATAAATTAGGCAATTAGTTTTTACTACTAAATCACGTCTATATGCTTCTTTTTAACCTTGTTAACATATAATATTGTTATGTAAATACGCGTGCGCGTAATATAATGGTTTGTATCGATCATATAGATTTCTATAATATACTACACAGTCATAATATAGGTAATCGCGGTCAACCGTTTATGATTATACTGATTAGTGATTACTGATTACGTATACTCACGAAACCCGAATGCCGGTATAGGTACCTAAGTATAATAAACTAGTTATAGAAATTCGAAAATATTCGTTCGTGTTTACCGTGGGTTGTCGACAGGTATGTATCATATTATTATAATTTATAATTGAATAATAAATTAACGAAATGTATTATACGTTCGGAACGGTACGTTCAATTCACGCGAGCGTATTAAATAATAATAATAACAACTGACCGACGTTATCAGCTGCAAATAATATTATAATAGATATTCGTATATTATATTATGTTAATCAACACTTATATTATATTAGACTGTGTGTATATTTTAATATTTTATTGCTTTCCCTTCGTGACGTCCATACTAAATACATCGGTACACACGGATCGCCACCGCTTGACCAATCGAAACAGTCGTTTGAACGTGAAAAAAAAGTCGTATTGCAATATTATATTATTACCCGTGCGAATACTTAATATTTAAAAAACATACTCAAACATATTATGAAAACGCTAATTGGTGTGGGTAACTCACTGGTTTAGGAGGGAAGTTGGAAGTTATAGTATTATACAGAGTAACATAATGGACATCAGGTCCGAAAATAAGCACGCAACTATCTTACTCCCTATTCTACTTAAAATATGTTCTTTTTAATATCTGGGGGTAATTATTACTGCAAGTTGAAAACCTATTTTCATGTTTTACGTATCGTCGAGTACACTTTATACATATTATTGAACCTTTATCAACAATTTCTCACGCTCATCTCTCCGAAAAAATTATGTCACAGGTGATAGTTTTTCTCACTATAATTATCTGACATTTACTCGCTATAAAATAGTGACAACCCGTTAAATATATTTTTTTTTTTTATTATTATTATTTTATGTTATAAAACTTCGACGTTAAAACCTGACGTACACCTAATGATAATAAAAAAAAAATTAATACTGCTGAAAGGTGTGCTACTATAATAAGAGGGAAGTTGGGAAGATAGAATGATAAATAGAAAAATTGAATTCATAACTATATACACATTGATAAATCGATGGTAACAAAAAACGATTCTGAGCTTTGTTTGGATATATTTTAAAATGCATATTTTACAATTTCTATTAAAATTTCCTCAAAAATGGCCAGAATGTTTTACATTACATCTGACCTATAATGATCTACCTAAAATCATAATTGATAGAATTAGATGAAAATAGCGTAAAATACACTAAAAATTAAAAAAATACAAAATAAAAGTTGAATAGTTTAGTTCGTTGTTACATAAATACAACTTTGTGCTAAAAAAGTCACGTTTAAAATCAGCTAAAAAAAAGATACGGATATACGATAGCTGGGCCACTAATCACTATTGTAGATGAGAAGTTGGGAAGGTGTACGCAACGATTAATCTTTGCTAACGAAAACAATTCTGAGCGGAGTACGATAACACATATTTTCAAATCCGTAACATTTACGATTTGAAAATAATATATTTTGTAAATTTTCCCTTTTTTCCCGGTTTTTACCATTTATTATGAAAACAGCTCAGCTAGAAAAATCAAAAAAATATCCCCCTAAAGTACCATCCCAGTTAGATTACCTATCAGAAAAAGTGCTATATCTACTTGAAAATTAGAGTGAAATTGCTGGTAGAAAAATTGTCCACAAGAAAAAATAGCTGATACTGGGGACGGGTGCATCCACTACTGTAAGTGGTATACATAAAGTTATTTAATTTATATCTGTAAAAAAAAAAAAAAATACTAAAATACCCACACTTAATATTTTTTTACTTCTAAGTACGACTGAAGAATGAACCTTCTGTCAAATTTTCAAACACTTCTGTTAAGTCTAACAACTATATCCACAAAGTACCTACCAAATAAATATTACGTAAACAAAACTAGCAAAATTAAATTGTCTTTAAATAGATCAAACATTTTACAACGTTTAGAAAAAGCAAATACAAGTATTCCGTTTAAATTTCAAGTCTCTACGAATATTTTTAACTTAATTACATTTAAAAAAAAACAAAATTTAAAATAATTTTAAATAATAAGAGAATTATTTACGAAAATTTTCCTGTTTAACAAATAAGATTTCTTGTTGTTTTTTTATTGAAACAATATTTCTGGTAAAAAACAGAAGCGTAAAAATTTTAGATTAATAAGAAATCATAACGCCGTAAATTTATCAGGTTTCGTTTTACATTTTCTCCGGTTTTTCCTAATTATTAACAAAAGAAAATCAAAAAACGACTTTCCTACTCACCAGTCAAATTAAAAATACAACAAAAAAGATCTCTTGTCAATTTTCCATTGGAGCAATATTTATGGTAGAAAAAATTAGCTGTAAAAATGTTAAATAATAAAATCGTGCTATAATTTGAAGAAAAAAAACCGTATTTTTCGTCTTGCCTAGTTTTTCCAAATTATTATAAAAAGCACTTTAGATATATAAAAACAAAAAGATGTTCTATGATAGTGGTTATATATTAAAAAGGAACAAAACTTTATCATTTCGATTGGAGCAATTTTTCTGGTAGAAAATATAAGTTGCAAAAATAAAAACTATTAAATCGGTAACGTCAAGACGCGCCGTAAATATTTGCCTGTTTACCTATAATTTTCTTTTGGGTTTCGCAATTATTTCGAAAACACCTTGAAAAATCAAAAAATGACCATTATTTAAAGATCTTATCTTCTATCAAGCAGACAACATTTCCTTTCAGAAAAGATATTATATACTCAATGCATCGGAGCAAAATTTCTTTTCAAAAATTTGTTTACAGACAGAAAAAAAAGCACACATTATATAGTAAAACCAATAAATCTTTCGCTACACTCAGAATATAATAGTAGCGTACTATTTTTTTTCTTAAAAAATTCGAATTTCGTAGTATCCTACACTAATAAAAAAAATATCAATGATTATAGAAACTCCTTACAGATTCTGAACGTAGTGAGGGAGCTATTGGTTTTACAATACTGTTTTTTTTTTTTCATTCTAGTCTTTGGACACATTTTTTCCTAGTAAAATTGCTCCGATTTTTACATGTAGAAAATTTTCTGAAAGCTCGAGTTGTTTAGATTTCACTTTAAAAGTCATTTGATTTTCGCTGCCATTTTTAAATAAAAGCACTTAAATGGGAAAAAACGTAGGGAAAAGTACAATTTTACGATTTCATTATTTTATAAAAACACAGACGACGTTTTCTACCAGAAAAAATGACTTAATCGAAAAATCACAAGTTACTTTTTTTGTTGCCTTTTTGATTTACTTTCTTACGATGTCATCGCCAAAGCGTTTGAACTATTTTTGAGCTCTTAAGGAATTTTAATTTTTGGGAATTTTTTTGCTGTAATTCGATTATAAATACACGTAGAGACTTGAAACTTGGTAATAATACTTATATTTGACTTACCTAGATGCAGTAAAATTTTTAAAATCATTGGACGACTTTTATTTGCGAAAAATATTACGGCACTTCCACATCTAATGTATTACAGAACTACACTCGGAATCGTCTCGTCAAGCAATGGTTTATCGTTGCTTACAGATATAAATGAAATAACCTTATTTATCCTACCTTCCCAACTTCTCACCGATAACAGTGGCCGCTCCCATCCAAGTATCAACTCTTTTTTTTTAGAAACTTAGCGACGTTTTAACAGCGCAATTGAATACGACAATACGATAATAATACGATAGGATAATAATACGATACGATATTATACGATACGAATATTATAAACGATGTGAAAACACAACTATATATCATTTCGACAAAGATTACGAAGGCATTGCCCACGTTAACCACGTACTTCTATAAGCCACCACCGATGTTCGCAAACGACCGAAAAGAGTACAATATTATTATAGTAGTCTCAAAAAACTATCGCGTGCGCGCGCTAGATTAATACCTATACGGGCTATACATAATATACGATTATTTTATTAGCAATAGTATACAGAGTGTCCCACGAAGATCTGTAAACATCTCATCCTAGAATTGGACATTACCAAGATATTTATAGATAACCTTCATGGGACACACTTTATACTCTCGCCAATAAAATAATCGTACATATACAGCCCGTATAGCTAATAATCTAGCGCGCGCATCTCCACGTATTCGAGTTTACTAATAATAACCGTAAGTTTTGTAACCGCGAATGCTGCTCAGATAAATGTATAAGTTATACGTATAATTATTATAATATACGTATCTACCTGATATTTTACGATTCCCCCGTGTCCGCTATAATAATTTACTCATACTAAATAGCTGAGAGTTAACGAACTAAGTTTTCCTTTTATAATAAAAAAATAATACCAGATTTTTTTTTCCACGTGCACTTTTATTTATTATTATTTTAACGTAACTACTACGACGACATAGTTTGCACAACATCTCCTTTTTTGCATATACCTAGCGGTTATTGTTATATCGGTGTAATTAAAGCTAATAATTGCGTATAATCGTGTATTAGGTACATACACAGTACACACGTATGGATATTATTTAGTGGTGTACTGATGAGCGTCCGTCAACATTATGTGCCTCTACTGTCACGGGGTGGGCGATTCGATTTTTATTATTATTATTATCGTTCAGTTTCTATGATAACAACAATTTTTGCGTTTTATAGTTATTGATAAAGGAAAAATGTTTCACGAGTTAATACCGCATATAAGTTTACCGACACAATTTAACAAATCGCTTCCCACTACTCTGTGAAGAAATCGGTAAGGTATACGTTTTACGTATATCTTATGGTCGCAGTGGCGGCGCCATAACTTTTTCATTAGGTAGGCCAAGCTAAGGCCAACATATTTTAGGGAGGACCAACATTTTTCTTGATGCCTATCTATCAATTCATGGAGAGATACACCGCATGGCTGTGACTTGGCGGTCAAGCAGGCTTAGAATATTTCTACATTGGAAAATTATTTATAATAGTTAATTCATAATTTCCGTAGTAGATCTTTCAAAATTCCCAAAAACCTATACGAAATATAAAATATTAATAATCTTCAATTATTATTTATGATTGACATTTGTCGTTATTTAAAATATACGTTAAGTATATGAGGGTACATTGACGCCCATGAGAAGACAGGACGGGGCACTCGCATCCCTAAAATAAATATTAGTTACTACATTTATATGACAAAATAACATTAAATCTTTATCTAACATATATATGCTATAATTATTATATATATTTTGAGAATTTTTTTATATTGCCCCTCCTCTGAAATTTAATCTATGGACGCCTATGAGAGGGGTTGTAATATATCGATGCCTCACTCACCGATAAAAATATAATGTGGCTGTTCAGTTGCGAATCTATGAACGGTTTATGCAATGTTAACCCAAAGTTCATTTTTTCCCAGTTCCCAGTTTTTTTTTTTTTTGAAAAAGGTACGTCTCGAAATCACAAGTTGACCCGTAGCAGATTTCCTCAATTCCGGAAGCACGGCACTGTGGGCTTAAATCGCTGCAAGAATCTAAAAGAATAGACGAAGGGTCAAAATAAAAGTTAAATTTAAGGGTCATTGCGCATATATCCTCTTCAGAGCGATGTAACGTGCGAAGACGATGTCGTCTCTTCGGACGATGTTTTACTCGTATAAAATAGGCAGTGATGCGATTTTTGATTAACATCACAAACAAAATACTGTTGCACGATCTGCAACGCCGTATCCTTGGTCACGAATATAATATTGTATCCCACGTGAGTGAAGAAAAAAAAACCGGTAAAAGATGAAAATATCGTACATGTATATGCACATTATACACATAGTATACCTAAATATATACCTATAATATTCATATTATAGCTGTACAAATGCAACAAATAACAATAATAATAACAGCGACGCGAGGTATACCTATTCGTATAATATTGTCAAGGTCGGCGAGATATTCCGCGCGGTAGTAAAATAATATTGTTGTGGTAACTGGTAAGTACCTATAGGTGTATCCATCGCCGTAACCTGTAACTTCGCGCACATCGGACTCGGGTGGCCGTCGTCGCGTCGGCGGCGGGTGAAGGACTGACCCCTGTCGCACGCGACTGTATATTATTATTATTATTATATAGGTATCTACTTACCTACCTACTCGCACGCTCAGGTGCCTATGCATTATATATAGGCAAGAACGGGAGTAATATGGTTATTTTATTTTTAATATTATATTTTATGCTTAGACGCAATTAGTGAGATTTGTAAAATAGGGGGAGAATAAAAAAAAAAAAACGTGACCAGAAAGGTTTAGACGCCGCAATCTGCGGCACAAAAGAAACGGTTCGCGGGTGATTTGATTCGTGTTGAGGTATATTATATTACCTATACGAGTATTATTATAATATTATTGGTAGAGGTACCCTATAGCCATTAGTCAGACGATCGGGAAGAAATTAGATCGTGTGATTATTACATTAGATATGGTAGTTATTATTATTAAACTCGTACGGGCCTTCGCGTCCTTCGCTTCTCCGAGACATATACCCATTGTATAGTGTCCGTGTGCAGTATATATATAATGGGGTCTGGTACGAAACGTCGACAATCAGAATATCCACAAGTAAAAATATCGACAAATACAAAATGTTGACCGATCATTATACCGACAAGTACAAAATGTCAACAAGTCGATACACATCGAAAAGTACAAAATATTGAAGAAAAAAAAATTTAATTTTATAATTTAACGTTAATATGTGAACGGATAAAAGTATAAAGATACTGCATACCCATAGGTGTTATTTATATACACAAATAACTATAAAATAAATAGTACTTCCCGTACGGAGATATTCCGCAATATTCCACCGGTTATATTCAGTTCATGCTCCAGTTGGACATGATACGAAATCGCGAATTTTACCTCTGGTTTTTGCTCTCTTGAGTAGTAAGTCTAAACAATTATATTCGTACGTTTCAAGATTTACAATACTATGCATCGAAAAATAATATAGTTTTACAGCCTGACTATATTTTAACTGATTATGAACAAGCAGCTATTTGTGCAGTTAAACAAGAGTTCACAAAGTCGATTATGTCTCTTTCATTTGAGACAAAGTATGCGGCGAAAAGTTCAGTCCGTTGTTCACAATACAACATTATAATTTTATTTTATTTCATGGTTCATACATATTATTTTTATTTATAATTCATATCCAATTATATTTATTTAATTTATATAATTCATATCCTATAATATTTTTTTTTATTCACATAATTCATATTCATATATATATTTATTTATTTTATTTTAATTTGTCGAAGTATTGACCTGTCGACATTTTGTACTTGTTGATGTTTCGACCGTCAACAATTTAATTTGTCGATATTTTGATTCTCGACGTTTCAACCGGCTCCCAAAAAAAAAACGTAAAATATCAAAAACCTGCTCAAAGCCTAATAAATAATATGTAAGACATAAGACAAATAGATATAAATATACGTATATTTTTTTTTCCAATGAATTTAATCAACGAATTTTTTCTAACATAAAATAATAATAGTATAGCCGCACAACAACATAATATGTGGATCGGTTTTTGTTCATTCTTTCTTTCAGATTACGTTTTCGAATCTTTCTCACACTGAATCCCCTACAGCCACCGGACCACCGCTGGGATTTATTACACAACGTCTCGCACCGTATAGTCAGCTAATAGTACCATCGTCATCACTGTGTTATTGTTATTCCTTGTTCCGGAAATTCTTTTTTCTGTCTACGTCAAGCATAATCGGGCTTAAAAAATATATGTAATGTAGAGGATTACCGGGATGAATGTGAGAAGAGTACTAACGGCGGGGCAGGAATTATCAGTCCATTAATAATAACCAATAAAAAATAAGTTTCTAAGGTCACAGACGCGAATGATGATCCTCACCTTTGGATTTAAAGTATATTTAGGTATTTAGGTTAGGTCGGGCTACAAATCAAATTGGGTAATTTATTGTCATATTATCTATAGATAGATTTGTCGTATGGGAATTGGCACTTTGTTAATCCTACATGTGTTCTGTGTAAAATGTAAACAAACTGCTTCCTCGCTGCGAGGTTCTCGCATCTGTTATCACTTTAGGCACCGCGAAAATATAGCGATGTCCTCAGTAAGTTGTGGTGATATCCCCCATCAGGCCATGTGTATCTATATGGGTTAGGTACTTATGCAACTGGAAATATAACAAACTCGAGGATTGAATTATTGTGGAATAATTCTTATTGTGGTATCTTCGATAAATTTGTCAGTTCACCACGTCACTGTCATCACTGTCCCGTGTTCAGCGGAGGTTAATTTCATTTCATATTGGCACTGACCGCGCCGAGATCAATATCGTTCCGGGCGTATTACTGCATCGATCATAATATTAAACGGAACGCGTGCGTTTTTATATAAACTACGATTACATAAGTGCATATAAGTATGCAAGTATACACGTATGGTATTTTATTGTTGTATATACCTATAGATAGATATACAACTGGTTTGCGCCGTTGTCGTCGCGCCGGCGTTCACAATGCGGCAAAAATATTATATTATGATATAATAATACGCTAGTATTTTGTCGGAGTTGTCGATCGTCGTGTCCGATAAAAAAATATATTATATATGGCCGACTATAGCTGTTGCCGTTGACTAGTCCGTCATATATAAATTGGTGCCTACTGCCTATAACCACGGTAACGTCGGTAACGGTGGTAACGTTTCGAAAAATTCGCGCGGTACCGCGACCGGTTATATTAGAATGCGCGCGCACGATAGATACACCGCCGTTTGCGAAGGGGTCACGAGTTTAGAAAAAATAATGAAAACTGCCCGAACGAATATTAATTTAGGTTTAAAATTTTAACGATGTCGTGTTTGCTCGAAAGGAACGCACTGGAAAAACATGTGCAATACTACCAACTGCAGGTCATCAATTTTACGTCTTGTGAGTTGTATGAGTTAGGTATAGTTAGGTGGTAATGTGGTATACATATGTTTTATTATTTTGTAAACATAACAAACTCAAAAAACAAAAAGCAGGTATTTTGTGGATATTCTGTATTCTGTATTGTCGCTATGTACTTCATAAGATCAGATTCCTGATTAAACGATTTGATGGCCGAAATCTGAAATCGTATACAAGTAATTCATAAGGTGGAGTTGGATGGTATTTGGTTACCAAAGCAAGTAGCCGATATACAGTTTTCGACCGAAAAACTTGTTTTAATTAAAAACTCCATGTGAGCATAATTCTTGTGAAAATCGCTGTTGCGTTATTATTTTTCCTGATTTTGCATAATTATTAAGAAAAATACAAGGTAAATCAAAAAAGGACACAATTTACTATCAGAAATCACCCCTAAAATTGATAATCAGAGCAAGATTTCTAGTGTAAAAGTTGTTCACAGTCAGATAAATTATTCACACATCTTAGTAAAACAAATAGGTACATTTTAAAAATATTTTAAACCTTATATTATTATTATGTTAAATTTATACACTACCTAATCTAAGTGTACCTATATTATCGTAAATAGTGTAATAAATTCAAACGAGCGAGAGAAAATTGGTTGATTTTCTTCTAAGAAATACAATAAAAGCAAAAAACTTTATTTAAAAGTCAGTATTGGCTAAAAAAAATTCTTTAACTTTGAATTGCTTACCAATATTTTAATTTAATTAATAGGTACTAGAATGCATTTTGAATTTTCGAATGTTTTCGAAGATGTGCAGTGTTGCAGCAGTGAGCATATAATTATAATACCTATGTAACTATTGGAATTCGTGTAATTTGTCATGTTCACATTCTATTGTAATTTCAAACGCTGGAGCAACACATAGTTATGTCGCGTCAGTAAGTTCGAAAGAACTGCCGTGGTAATAACAGCACTACGTGACAACGATTTATCACAATATATACAGGGTGTTTGTCCTCGCCATTCGCCAATGACATTGTATCTTTTCGAACGTCTTCCGCAATTTTGACTACCTCCAAATTATTATTGCAGTAGAACATAAAAATCAAACACGAATGTCATCAGTAGAGATCGGATTTATACTCTCTTGCAGTCTCTTCAAATCCACATAAAAGGGCTTCAAACTTAAAAAAAGTACTTAAAAATATTTAAAAAGGCAAAGAAGATAGAGGAGTTAAAAAGACCTCTTCTAAGAGCTTTGACTTATAAAATAAAATTGACAAATACTACAAAAATAGTTAATATAAAGTCTTTTTTTTATATCAGGGGGGATAAGGAGGATGTTTCCTCTCCATTAAGTTATTTTTCTTAAATATTTATAACATAAGTGATTTTTTAAGCATGCTTAGCACTCACTCCATTTTTATGATTAAATTATGCATAAATTCAAATTCTGATGTTTGGAATTTTTAAGCGTAGCGGAAGATGACATTTTTGAACATTTAATTTTTTCACAACACTTAAGGAGTATCCTGTGACAATACTAAGTTTGGTTTTTCTAATGAAAACCTATAAGTTATAATGCAAATTGTCAATCAGATTAATTGTCTGAAAATGTTGACGTATTTTAATCAAAATTTAAACAAATAATGCCCGACCTATTCTACTTTAAATACTAAAATATAATTAATTTAGGTTCTTATTTGAAAAACATTGTTGTTATTACCACAGGATACTCCTTAAAATAACTCCACAACATTTAGTGTCATGAAAAATCTAAGTGTGCAAAAATATCGTTGTCCCCTCAAAATTCCAAAAAATATAATTTGAACTCAACCATGCAAATGAGGTGAGCTGTAAGTATGGTTAAAAATAATCATGTATATTATATTATATCTTTGATTTATTTGACATATAAAAAGATTGTGTAAATAGTAATAGTTCTTAAAAATTATCCTTATCCCCCCCCCCCATGACAAATCATTTGACCGTCACTGTTTAATATGTACAATTTTATTATTTATTTTTAAGTTCTTTTTGTCATGGATTTATTTTTTATGTTTTTAAGCATTTTTTTGTGGATTTTAAGAGTATATAATTTTTGACTCTAGTCATCAGAAGAGATGATCGAATATCTGCGACTGATTTTACCAGGATTGTTCTTTTGTATGTATACAGTGAACTCTCGTTATGTCGAATCTTAAGGAAACAGGAAAAAATTGGAGATATCGAAAAATTCCAAACATTGAGTTTTATAAAAAAAAATAATAAACTACTAAATAATTTGAATGCTTTAAATACTAATACTACATCAGGCGTGGATTCAGGATTTCTTATTAGGGGGGGGGGGCATCGAATATCACCAGATTATCAGTGTTTATGTTTAAAAATGTTTGACATCAAGATAATCATTAGATGGTCAATGATATTTCTTCCTTCGATTATCAAGTATCTTTGTGTAGAGCAAATTGAATCTAATTAGTATATTGAGAAAGTCTTTAAATTTTATTTGGTTTTAAGTAGATAAAATTATTTTAACCAAGCAGAAATGCTTGAAAATTGAACACCGAGGTTATAATAAAATGTACATAGTAGTAAAAGATAATCGAATGTAAAGTAAAAGTTTTTTTCAAAAAAAAGCGTTTTAAATTGATAATGATAATCACAAAAATCATGGCATTTCAAAACATGTTCAACCAAACTTCGCTCAGGATCGTTTTTGTTAGCAATGATTTATCGCTATATGCAGCTATAAATTAAATAACACTACGTATTATTCTATACCTACTTTCCCAACTTTTTTTTTCCGTTTCTGCAGACGGTTTTTGCTCGAGTTCAATCGCAATAATATTTTGAACGCACGCGCATTATTATTATTATTATTATTATTATGTTGTAAGCGTCTAAAATATTTATAATAATGTATGATGTAGTTGTGTATACATAATAATAGTAATAACATGTCGTCACGACGATTTATTGAATTGGATTAGGTTGTGACTTTTAGTTTCGCACGAATCAATGTTTAGTGAAAAAATGAATGATTGAAAGACTACGCGCGTCCTTAAAAGGATACCGCAGCAGTGTCCTGCTGTAGCCGTTTCAAAAATATACATATGTATAATAATATATTAATATATTATATATTACAGGTAGCGTATAAGCACCTACATATATTATATTTTTATTGTCTAACGTATCATTACTTTAATCGTACAGTTGCGTACATAGAAATAATAGCGTGTGAAAGCTATATTTATAAGAAATATTATACATCGTTAAAATATTATCGACATAGGCATACACGGTTTTAGGGTCCCTCTAATATATTATGGACAATACTTATAGACAGAAAAACGAAATATTTAATATATTTCGAATTTAACGACTATTATAGCCTGTAGTGTTGGGCTTTATAATTAGATTATCTAATATTTTTGAGCTCAAAACTTCTTTGAAGTTTCTTCATTGTACATTTGTACCTTAGTTCTTCCTATTTTGGAATATGGTAACGTAATTTGAGACCCGCATACAGCCGATAACGCTCTCCGTACCGAGAGAGTCCAGCGTAGGTTTTTTCGTTTCGCCTGTATTTTTTTACCCATCGCTTGTCCTCCTCACGACTATTCCCCAGTTGCTTCCCATCTTGGTTTACCTCCTTTATCAGGGCGTCGACGCTATCTTGGGAGCAAATTCCTCTCTGGTCGTTTAGCTGGTGACGTTGATTCTCCTACTTTGCTTTCCCTAAATAGTTTTAAAGTCCCCAACGTCTTTCTCGCTTTACTTCTACGTTCCACGTTCTCTTCAGTACCATTCATTATTTAAGAAATGAGCCCATTAGGCATATGCTGTCTAACGTTAATACAGATCCCTCCTTTAGCTTTGATGTCTAATTTAATTTTTATTTGTGCACACTGTTCTGAACAGATGTCCCGTACTAATTTTTGTTTTTGTTTTTTTCTCTTTTTGCATTATTTTATCTGTATCCATGTTTTAACTATCATTCAATTGTACTTATTTCTCTTCTTTTTTTTTCTCTCTTGATATTCAATAATCATAGTATTTTATGTAGGACTTTTCCGTATATGTCATAATAAATAAATAAATAATAAATATAGGGTTGATTCTTTTATTGCATATGAACCGTCAGCGATTATATGTACACAAAAATATCGAATAAATTTAATTTTGGGTTGTTTTATATATATATATATATATATATGTAGGTTTTATTAGATAAAATAATTTAGAATATTCTCAAAATTTGTCCCAATTTTATATATAATATAAAAATATCGTGAAATAATACATAATAAAAAAAATTATACATTATTCGGTTTCAAAAATACAACGGGTTGCTGTAAAAGTCCACGTAATCAGGTTTAATACGATAAATAATGGAAACATTTTACGATGCTGTTATTTTCTACCAGGGCCATCCAGAGGGGGGGGGGGCACGGGATCATTTGCCTCGGGTCTCACTTTTGAAATAATTTAGGGGCCCTCTTACAGTCCATTTGTATAATAATTAATAATAACAGAATTTCGACCATTTCTAAACAAAAGACAAAAATGTCCCGATTAAAACTTTATTATATAATACAACAAAAATTATTTTCATTGAGTCAGTCACATAATATATGCAATACTCATATTATAATCTATGTAATATTACGGCTCAATTGCGATAACGAAACTTGATTTGCCACACTAAGTGACGGTGCAGACGATATTTTTAGGCGAAACCCGATAGCCAATACATTGTAGAATAGTCAACTTTAACTACAGACTACAGCCCGCATGGCCTCACGTCTGAAGCCGCTTTAATAAATATTACTCGACGATGTACCATAGTATCACTAAGTTGACAGTATAGTATAACCCACTAAACTTACTAAAATACCAAAAAGTAACACCAGTAAGCCAGTAACATCAATATCAGTAGGTAAGTATTAATTGATTAAAATATTTTTTTTTTTTTTATTAAAATGATTAATTTTTACTATTTTTATTGGTTTTTAAAGTAGTATAACTGCGTATTGAGTCTATAATATGTACCTATACTTAAAAAATAATATTAAAATCGTTAGATCAGTTAAAATTTTAATCATACCTATAATTAAACAGTTATACCTATGCAAATCAATATACGAGATTTTATTTACTGTATTTTGAGCTTTATATAATTGTATTATTTATAAATTATAAGCATATTTTTCAACATTTCTGTGGTTTACTGCATAAGGTAATAATTCTATTTATTGTAATTATTGTCAAAATAAACTGTTGTTAAAGGATATTTCGATGATAAAAATACATTTATTATTTTAAATGCACAATATAATGTATTTAACTATTTTATAAATGTAAATTTTAATAGTGTTATTTTTAAGTTTAGAAAAATAAACTATTATTTTTTATCATTGCCCAGTATTTTATATTTAATAAAAATAACTACATTGAAATTATTATATTAGTTGGTATGTAAGGAGGATCACCATTTAATGTGTAAAAAATAAATCATTTGAAAGAAAATAATTAGCAATAAACATAATAGTTCTTATTTTTAAACTTTGCGTCTTAAATCATTAAATTTATTTCCTAATAATTTATTTAAAACGAATTAATTAAATTGATATATTTTATGTACACTACTTATTATTTTATAACATGCAAGTACCTATTTTCCATGAACATTTATAATTATCTAAGGATAAATTGAATTTTTTAGTATTTTTTATGCAGTACATGAATTTAAATGAGCTTAGTTGTTTAAGTTTTGGAAAAATAAATTTACAAGAATTTTGTTAATTTCAGTAAGTATTTTTTCATCATTATGAATGTATTATGATGGTCGAAAGGACCCCGCATTCATTTGTCCTTGACCCCAAAAACCTTTGGGACAGCCCTGTTTTCTACATTAATTCAGAAAATGTATTTACTCGAAAACATTTGTTGAGACGATTGTCTCAGGGAAAATTATTGGGTTTGTTGGATGATGGGTTGGTGAGCAGGCATGTAGATGGATAAGTAGATAAAGTATACTGAGTTAATCAATTTAAGTGGGTACACTCATTATCTTGGAAAATATTTCTGAATTATTTGAAAGATTGTTTAAATTTTTAATACCATCAACGCGTTAACCGAAATTAAAAATTTCAACACCAAATTGTTTTTAAAATAATATCTACTTCAATTTATGGAATTTTTAATACAATTTATCATTTGAAAATCAAAATTAAGTAATCGCTTCTTCCCAAAATTAATGACTATTTAACGTTTTAGAGCGGCTTGTTTCTTAAATTTAAAAATATAAAATGAAATTTGAAAGAGGTTAATACTTTAAGAGATAACGAATGTACCCACTAAAAAGATCATCGGTATAGTTATGCATAGTCGAGTCGTATACTATTTATTTATATTGTGGGTGGGGGTAGGGTTTAAAAATAAATTTCGCCTCACATAATAGTCATTACTATGAATACATAATAGATAATTTGCTGGTTCGTGACAATACATTTTTAGAAAACCATTCTGTGTATAATATGTACGTGAATATGGGTATCGCTGGTGCTACGTATAAAATGACGTAGGTATTCAATTTAATATTATATTGTATACAACTGTAAGTAGTTTTATTATAAACTATCACTGCCACTGCAGGTTTCGTTTGCCGAAATACAACTAAAACGAAAAATCGTTTGGATTGAAATATTATATCTATATAGGTACGAGATAAAGCATATTTTATTATCCGCTTTAATAATTAACGATAATAATATTAGATGTTGAATGAAATAAGTACTCGTCGTACAGGATATGCCACGGACAAATACAATAAATTTTGTATTGTTTAATATTTTTTAATTTTCTTTTTTGTATAATAATTACTAGAGTCTTACACTATGATTTTAAAAATTAAAAAAAAAAAAACATTTCCATTTAATAAACATTTATTTTGAAATCAAACTTAGGTGTTGCAAAATGTTTACTATTGGTGAGTCGTTAATTTCCTACAATTTTTTTTTTAATTTTTTTAATTATTTAGATTGATTTAATTGTCAATTCTAGTTATGTAATATCAATTGATTCATCAATTTCGTCCATGAAAAATAATTTTTTTTAAACTTCAAAAATTAACATTACTAAACATTTGTAAAACCAAAGTTTTGTTTCGAAATAAATGTATAAAATTTCTATCTTGGATGTTGAAAACAATTTGTTTTTTAAAATTTAAATATTGTATTCTAAGTTAAAACTTATAAAATAGAAGAACCATAGCGCAGCACTAGTAATTATTACAAAATATTGAAAAGAACAAAAGTTATTGTATTTGTCAATCTCCGTGGGACACCCCATATAAATAATATGTAAGTTGTACGCCGCGTTGTCGTACACAGCCCAATGCGATTGCGAACGATTACGTGACTCGACAATAAAAAAATCGTGAAGCACGCTATTTTAAACGGTCGTATAATATTATTTCGACTTTATATACTTCTTAATTCGTATAGGTAGATATGTTATACAGTTCCTCAGGCGCACCGCGCAAACGTCTGTCAGTGTCACGACGAACTAGAGTATATGTATCTTCCGAAATGCTCACACAATATAATACTATACACCTATATATATAATATTATTGTTATGCAAATGCCTAATATATTTTTAATATGCACCTGTCGCACCATCACCACCTGCAGCCAATGTCCATTTTTATGTCTATCGAATATACCTATGCATGTTCTTTTTTTTTCTTTAATAATCCCACGCAGTGGTGTATAATTAAATCTATGTCATTGAGGAAGTTTTAATATCTGTCACAAGAACACAATATTTATAGAATTTTTTTTTATAAGTAAATAATATTTACTTAAAAATATTAATATTTAATGTACATAAATATTATTTTATAATACTCTGTTAAGAGAACAAAAATATTAATACGTCTAAACTCCTTGGCTTTGGAACTTATTCGTTTTAAACATCCTCTAAAATCTGGATCGTGGTAAGCATATTGTAGGTTGTAATGAGTTGTTTCCCGCGGTCAATTATGGTCAAAAATTTCAAATATCGTTTATGGAAATTGAGCCAATAACATACGTACAATGGTTTTTTTATTGGATTTAGTATTTACATATGATAACATTTTAATAACATTATAATAACATTGGGGTTTACTTAAAATGCAGTAGAATTGAATTAGGTCTTCACGGAACAAAGAACTAATTTTTTAGGGTGAGTGGAGGGAGTCCTCTCAAGAAGATATTAGACAATTTAATTCGCCCTCGAAGGTATATCAAATTTTACTCACCACGCCACACTGTAATCTGGACGACTGGATCTATCAAATAGGCTTTTATTAGCACTGCCAACATTCCTAATCCATTAAATAAATTCTATAACCCTATATAACAGTATTATTGTCTTTAATCAGTGACACAACACGTATATATTTTTGGAGGAGGGGAAAGGGAGGGACTGAGGAAGTATGTGTTTTAAAAAATTCTAACTGATCACGGGTTAATCATTGTTTCAGGTGGGTAGGTGAGAAAGAAGTGCCGTAGCCAAGATTTTTTTTTCCGAAGGACCTCAGTTTTTGATAGCCAAATCTTATAGTCAAAAATTAAATTCGCACCGCACTGCTGACAATGGCATGTACTAATAAATTAAGTAAGATAATACAATAAATTTATTTTAAAAAAAAAACACATTTACGACTCTCAACGAAAAAAGAAGAATCATATGGATAAACAAGAGAAGGATATGAATGAACGAAAAACTCGCAAAATTAAAATGTCTATAAATAGTTCAAAAATGACTAAAATGTTTTGAAAATTTTGTTACCACTAGAAAAGTAAATACATGTTGTATGTTTAAATTTTAAGTATCTACAAATAATTTCAACTGAATGACAACAGAAAACAAAATTGAAAATAATACAATCTGTAAATTGTTTTACGAGTTCAGTTATGTATGTTTTGATATTTACAATTTGAAAGTAATAAATAATACATAAATTAAATTTGTCCGTGGTTTTCTTTTTTTTCCCCCATTTTTGCCATGTATTTATCTCATGAAAATAATATTTCCTTTCAGAAAAGGTACAACACTTGCAATTTGAAGTAAGATTTCTGGTAGAAAAATTTTTTACAGATAAAAAAAAATAAACATTACTATAAAACCAATACATTCCTTTCTTCGCTCAGAATCTAAAATTAGAAAATATTAAATACCTATAAATAGCTGAAAAATCACCAAAATGTTTTAAAAATTTGATCACATCTTGAAAAGGTAAAGATAAATTTGCTGTCATAATTATTAAAGTAGAGACAAATATTTTAAAATGAATTACAACTAAAAAAAAACAAAATTGAAAACATTGAAACCATTCTTTTCATAAACTTCTACGTTTTTTTCCCCGGTTTTATTCAATTATTAAGACAACTCAATAAAGGATGCTCACACATCCACCCAAAAAAAAAGCTAATTTTTAATACAAATTATTTTATTGAAAAATACTCCTGATAAACTATTTTTTGACATAATCACCAAACAATCGCACTTATTTATAATAATTTATCGTACCTATAATATGTTTTTTGTTATTTTTTTTTTAATAAAATACAATTTTTTAGAAATTCGGATTTGGAGGGACGCGAGCCTTAATGTCTCCCCTGGAATCATTAAAATAATTACTTCATGTTTTAAAATTATAGAAATACGATAAAAAAAAAGTAAGGGATTCGACACACAGATCCTCCATTGATTATGCCATTGATTCTCGTCTTGCATCACAATACCGTTCTATCTTTACAACAGAGGTCAGAGCGGATAAAATAAAAAAAAAATGGTTAGTAAAAATAATAATAACATTTTGTTAAAAACAAACTGACCAATTATTTTCACATTCCGATTGCTGCAACGAGTGTCAGCAGCCGTGCAGTCACTTGTATATATTATAGCAAATAAGAGGGCCCAGCCGCTATACATTTGACATGATGTTTTACTTGCACTCACAAATCGGTACCTGCGTGACGTGCGCGGCCCGTGGGCGTACGTCGTTTACTCGTGTATAAAAATTTCGTAAAAAAATACCATTTTCATAATATATTTTATAAAATATACTACGATTTAAATGTATGTATATCTAATGGATTTTACATTATGATTGATGATCGTTGGTCGGTGATTTTTTTTTTACTTTTCTTAAATGTTAACGGTTATTATTATTTTACGTAAGATCGCCCACGGGAAGGACGGTTAGATCCTCAGTTTATGATAATATTATAATTATAATATGTATGTAAATATTTGTAAATATATAATTGACATTTTTTCATAATATCTACTATCAGTTTTAATTTTTAAAAAAAAATGTATTTAGTCGATTTTTGTCGAACTTTATTTAAACTTTATTTAACTTTTTTTCGGACTAATGCTTCAATAAGTTTTCCTCGCGCTTTTTTACAACATAATTAATATGTATAAATAAGGACGTTTAAGGAACTTTTGAAATTACAGTTCATCACGTTATTTGAAGACATATTATACAAAACTATAAAACATATAGGCGGAAATTCATTCACATTTTTGAAGGGACGCGAATTTTTGTATAAGACATGTAAGTCATGGGACTTTATTTTATTAAATAATTAGTTAAACTAAGTCTGATTCTGTGTTAGCTTCACATTCAACACTAGTGGGTACATGCTAAGAAAAAATAGTTTTTGGTCTATGTCTTCATCATGTTGAACCATTGAAATTAAAGGTAAATAAACAATATAGTTACAATTAAATTCCCATTTATACAAAAAAACGGGTCAAAATTTGATATTAAAATTCTTATAAAAAAAAATGTGTTACATCAAACTCAACTTTTTCTTGTTGACCACGAAATACAACTTATAAGAAACTTTCTATTAAATTATTAAGCATTTCAGATTGGTCTAACAATTTTATCCACAGAGTACCTATCAAATAAATATTATTTAAAAAAAACTCGTAAAATTAAAATGTCTAATAGCTTAAAAATTACTCAAATGTTTTGAAAATTTTACCACATCTATAAAAGACAAATATAAGATTCCTGTCAAAATGTCAAAACAAAATATTTTTAACAGAATTACAACAAAAAAAAATCAAAATCGAAAATAATAAAAGCATCATTTTCGTAAATTATCCCATTTTTCCTATGTTTTTCCGATTTTTCCCATTTATTATGAAAACTCTGAGGAAAATTAAAAATTGACCTTAGAGAAAATTCAAGTTTTACACTTGAAAATCGGAGCATCTTGTAGGCATAAAAAAATAAAAAAGTAAACATCATTGTAAAACTAAAACATTCCTCACTTTGTTTAGAATCTTAAACTAAAATACATACTCTATTTTTAATAAAAAAGTTTGATAGAAATATTATATACGTCTGAACAATTTTGAATATTCAACTTTAATACAAAAATATGTTGGGGGCTAATAATATAATATATGAGAGGCTTATCCCCAAAAGCCTCCTCATTTCCGTCTATCCTCTATAATAACTGTAGTTTATATAACACCTAAGTTAACTATAAATCGTCTGTATTGTAAATACACTAAAACGTCGTACAATCAATACAAATTGAAATTTGATCAATAATAATATTACAATATTGCTGCTTATTTGTTTGTTTTTTATTTTTTCGTATTTTTTTTAAGTTTACATTTATTAAATTAATAATTTGTATGAATCGTATTATTTAGGTATTAATATTAGGTATCATTTGTCACGCTCAAACAAAATGTTATAAGTTTATAACGGACACTATTTATAAGTAACTTTTTGTGAAATATGATGTATGAATTTTAAACAAAACAAAAGTAAATTACTTACTTGGTGATTTTTGTGTATATATTTTCCGTGATCGTCACATGATGTTACTCGATTCGACCATAATCGTTTTCCCAACGAAATCACAACGCGGCTGCGATTATCACAAATACCGAAAGTTTCGCGAACACGGTGAAGATCGATGCATTTCTGTTTGGAAAAACTTTCCAAATAAAAACTTACGAATACATAATAATAAAATATCAGAAAAAAAACGATTACCGAACACGGTTTTTGTCGTTTTGCCGGTCCGTGAGTCATCGGGACACTGCTGAGACGGCGGTGGCGGCAACGTCCAACCGGGAAGTGAAGACGAAAGGCGGGTCCGTCCACACTCTCTTTCGACCGGTGAAAGTGGTTTGCAGGCAGATGTATCGTATAAGTACGTACAATAATTATACCGGACAGTCGGCAAGCAGAAACACAGCTGATTGGTTTAATATTACATATAATATATTATTCTGTATTTTATCGAATGGATTATATTTATTAAACAACTATACAGGGTGATTTTTTTGTTATAAATCAGCCATTATCTCAGAGTATTCTAAATGAATTTGATTTTTGTCTTTTCTAATCATTATGGAATCGTTTAAGCTTTATTTTAAACCCATTTATAATTTTTTATCCTTAATCCATATACCTTAAATAAGTACATACTTTTAATTTTCAAATTCACCCTCCTTTTGAACACAGATTTGAATAGAGAATATTTTTTAGAAATTTTGATATGCAGAACATCAAGTTTAGAGTTTAAAGTTTAGACCGGAGGAGTTTAGAAGGGTAATAAATTGCCTATTTATAACCCTTCGAAGGAATTTGATATATTGTTTTATATACTTAATATGATTATTATATAGATATTTTTAATTTCATATCAAACAAAATTTGCTTAAATTTTATTTTATAGGTTTTATAACTATTTGATTATATAATTGCAATAAGGTATAGCAAATTATTTATACTATATTTATTAATAAATAATTAATATGTACTAATAAATATATGCATTAATTATTTGAATAAACGAAAATTTAACATTATTATTGCAATGATTATTTGATACTCTGATAAAACATCAATAAAATGATTCATTCGCTTCATTCAGAATCTAAAAAAAAACGCATCATCTTTCCTTCAAACATTGTCCTCTTTTTATTTTATAATAGGTGCTTCTTTTACTCTAAAACCAAAATTGAGAGAGTTTTACGCAGTCTGTGTAAGGTAGATTTTTCTATAATGCCCATTAGTTGGACTGAGATAGCACATGCGGGTATAGCATAATCTTCTTAATCTAAACAGTACAAATTACAAAATAGAAATAATCTTATTTTGAACCATGGATAAAATGAACTTCTTTTTATCCTTGGTTTAAACGTAATCTGAAAATACCATCAGTAAGAAAATGATAGACTATCTTTTTCTCTCTTCCACATTCCGAATAGCCATTGCTAATGTGGTGGTGTCCCACGGTATTAGGAAAATCCATTAGGCTAAACAGACAACGGTATCCTTATCACTTATTATTTATGTATGACATATGCGTATATATTATAAATGACACGCCTACGATAATTTTAAGAGAGGCTCGGTCCCCGGAATTGTGTCCATATTGAGACCAATATTATTAAACCGCTGGTAATCAGAAAATAAATCCACGGAAAAAAAAGCCATTAAATAATAAGCCACGGGAAAAATAAGCTACGGAAAAAGAGACGATCTGTATACTTTATAATTTTAATATTAGATTCTGAGTAGAGCGAGAAATGTATTGGTTTTACAATGATATATATTTTTTATTTTTTTTATGTGAACACTTTTTCTACCAGAATGCATATTCCGATTATCGAGTAATAAATAGCACCTTTTCTGAAAGGAAATATTCTCTGGGTAGTACTTTAAAGAGGTCATTTTTTGAAATTCTCATTAATATTTGAGATAATGAAAAAACCTCGATCTTTAGGTTAAAAAAGATTAAGATTAATACTAAGGTTGTCATTGGCAACCATTTTTATTTATTTTTTGTTATTAAGTTTTTATTATTTTAATATTTTTTAAACAATCATTGTTGAACAATCATATTTTCATAATATTATTATAATTACATGTATTGTATTTTTGACAGAGCAACACTATCAACTGAATTCAACTCATAATCGGTTTTTCGTTAGCAATGGTTTATCTTTGTTTACAGATATACATTAAATTCCCAACTTTCCACCTACAACAGTGGTTGTGCCCACGTGCGAAGTATTTCCTTCTATTTTAGATTCCGAGCGTAGCGAGAGGAGCTAATGATTTTACAATGCTGTTTATTTCTTTTTTTTCTTTGTTCTCCGTTCTAATCAGTGAACACGTTTTTTCCGAGTAAACTTATTCCGATGTATAAGTGTAGCACCTTTTTTGAAAGCTCAAGTTGTCTAGATTGTATTTTGAAGGTAATTTTTTGATTTTCGCCGCCATTTTTAAACAAAAGCACTTAAGTGGGAAAAAACGTAAGAAAACGTACAATTTCACGATTTCATTATTTTATAAAAACATGGCCGATGTTTTCTACCAGAAAATATTTAATCTTAGAATCACAAATCACCTATTTTGTTGCCTTTTTAATTCATTTTCTTACGGTATCATTGCTAAAACTTTTGAACTATAAAGGAATTTTAATTTTTGGGAGTTTTTTTGCTGTAAATCGGTAATAAATACACCTATAGACTTGAAACTTGGTAATAATACTTATATTGAACTTACCTAGATGTGGTGAAATTTCCAAACTCATCGGACGACTTTATTTTTTTTAATAATCGTTTTGAAATCAAATTTAAACGAAAATCGCAAAAAAAAATTACGACACATCAAATTATATATTACCGAACTGCGCTCGAAATCGTTTTTTGTCAAGCAATGGTTTATCATTACTTACAGATACAAATAAAATAACCTTATGTATCCTACCTTGCCAATTTCTCACCTACAACAGTGGCCGCTCTTTTTTGTTCTTTAACGTCATATTTTTATATTTTTACATCGTTTTTTTCATATTATAGAACATTTTTTTGTAATTTTTGTACACTGTTCGACATTTATACGTGCGCGAGTTTTTCCAAATTTTCCACCCGAAAAGTTACTAAACTTGTAGAAACTTGACGGAACTATCCTTTATTACCTATTCTTAAAACAGACATCATAGTGTCTACGGTTTAAAATATATTATATTTTTCTTTTAACTTATAAAGTTATAACATCAATATGATTTTAACTTATATTTATGCTATGCAAAGGTAAAAAAATAATTTTAAATTTTTATCAGAACTAAAAATTATAGCCCATGACCACGATTTAATATAATATATAGGATACCGAATGGAAAGGTCTTATCAATGTTTTTCTAAGTTTTCGATATTCTGTATATCTTAATTCACGCTCGTGATCTTTCCATTCTTCCATTATCCACGACCATAAATTCCTATAGGTATCAGGGTGAAAGGTCTATGATGTGTACTTGGTACAGAAATACATTATCTGTTGTGCAAGTTGTTTGAAGATGATAAGAAACTTATAGCATTGCCAATCTTCAGTTACACCAACGTTACTCAATAAAATATCTCAGCTATTTAAAGTATATGAAGTACTAATTATATTATTTAAAAACTATGTAAACAAATTTAAAGATGCGCCAAATTTCACAATAAATTTGTGTACCTAAATATTATTATCTTTCGCTTTTTTTTTTTTTCAAGTCTGATAGTCTGATAAGGAATCACAAACGTCGTGATAGAATTACTGTGTCCGATAGCTAATACCCATGGTGTCCGAGTCAAATAACCAATATGTGGTTCCCGTTTCCCGTAGATTCCTGTTTATCATAATTTATAATGCTGGAATTTATTCAAAAATATGGAAACATAAATTTTACGATTTTGTAAAATTAAAAAATTTAACAGTTGGTTCTTGGGTAACGTTAATCAATCATCAATGGTGATTGATTTTCGTTTGAACATTAATGTGAACAATTTTAAACCAATGGTGAATTCTGAACGTGAATCGTCTCAATATTAAAGATCCCATCATCGTGAAATCATAATATGGCCCACAATTCATATGTAAGTACCTACCTTTAGTTATGGTATCGTTAATCCTTCCAATCTCTTTATCTTGTGTGGTTTATACCCATTTTTGTAATCTCAGTTCTTTATGTTCTATATACATTCTTACGTAAATTAAACTTTCCCTGATCTTATTTTTTAAACATTTTAAATACCTAAGCTTTTAATTTTATTTTTTTTATACATAACGCTCGACATATAACATAACAATACAATTTAAATTAACAGCAAATAAAATAAAACAAACCAAAATTAACACACCTAAGTATAATAGAATGGGAGTTATTTGCATCCCTTGTTATCTGGCCTCAAGTTTCTCTAACCATTTTACCACCACTGGTCCACATTCGTGCAGCACATTTGCCAGGCTTTAAAACTTATTTATTCAGCTAACCTCCTGGCTTTTAACTTAATACTCAGATTTGTTCATAGGTATTCAATTAAAAATGAAATTATGGAAACTAAAATACTCAATAAACATTAAAAAGAAGATTATATTTTGCACAAAATGTAATATTTTTAGGTTATCTTTATACAAATAGTTTTCAACTAAAATTTAATTGAGGTTGGTTCACCATTTATGGCTAATATCTCTGCTGTAACAACTCATTTTAATTTCATTCAAAAATAGTGTCATTTTATATTCTATATGGTTATTGTTGTTATCATGTACATTAATTTACTTACTAGTTGGTATCGATTATTACAAAAACAGGTAGCATAGGATGGTTGTTGAGCAGGAAAATGCAATTTTAAAATATTAATACTAATTCTTCATTCCATAATCTTCTTTAGGCTTTAGACCTACCAATTATTGACATTTATACTCTATTGTAAAATAGTGAAATACTAGATAGTATAGTCAAAAACAAATAAATAGCTTTGTGTCACCAATAATCCAATTATCTGCTTGAAAAATTTCATAAGTATAACAAAATTAGTGATGACCTTTAATTATTTTAAATATCAAAAGCCTGAAATTAAATATGAATATCTGAAATAAATTGTATGAATTTTTGTAAAACTGAACATTTTTGAATACCTATAACTTACTTTAGGAAACCGGTATTAATTAAAATCCTGTCAGAGACTTAAGGAATATCAGGAGTTCTTTAAACTGGTAGTTTTTTTCCGAAATTGGGACAAATAGCAGCTTTACATTTGCTAATAGGTACCTAATGGCTCTTTTAATGGAGAGTTAAAGGAGAATGTCTATTTACATTACCATAAATGATAATTTTAGAATTGGCAACTATTATATAGCTACTTTTCTTACTACGCTATACAGTGTAAATTATATATTAACTGATTAGAATTTAGAACATTGGAAATACAACTAGATGTCAACTAGGCCAATACCAAATAAAACAATGCATTTTAATTGTATACATTTTCTTAAAAGCAATCTCATAATAAAAAATAAGATAATATATATATTTTCTTTAATTGGTATACTATATCTGCAACATAGCCAAATATCAATCAAAACTACACCATATTCAAGGAAATTATTTTAATTTCTCAATTAGAGTAATCAAATGTGAACATAGTGAAGGTTACCTTGATTATTTTTATAAAAAGTATGTATACTTATGAAATATATGATGTAAAATAAAATAATATACGAAGAAAACATAGCTTAGAGTATTAAATTGTGTACTTAGGACTAATTTTCATTTAAAAATCATTTTTTTAACTATTGTTATATTAATATATTTAATAATACAGTAGTTCACAAACTGTGCAGTCTGGTGCCCTGAGAAAATATAAGGAACGCCGCAGAATACAAATAAAACAATTTATTGGAATTTTTTATTTTTTTTTTATTGATATGAATAAGTCACACCTCTTAAACATTCATTATATTAAGTTTAATTTTTCACTTTCATTACAATTTTTTATGTTAGTTTAATGTTAATTAGTTTAATGTTAATTTTGTATTTCTGTTCTTTGCGGTTTTCATAGCAGAGGCGGTTCTGACTGACTGGTTCAAAAAGACATGTCAGCTAAAAAGTTAGAAAACTATTATAATAATATTACTATTAATAGTATTAATTTAAATATGTTATTTATTGCATAATATTTGTGAAACAGTACCTAATTTATTTTTATTTTTTTTTATAGGCTGATATTGAATATGTACACCAGTTAGTGTACGACTTAAAAATGAATGAACTACAATTAATTTTAGATTCCGTTAAACAGAATAAATCTGGAAATAAGCAAGTATTACGCAAGCGTACATTAAATTTATTGTCTGCTTCTTCTTCAAAAACAAAAAATTTGAGGCAAAAAATTATACAAGTCTATGGATCTAGAACTCAACAACCAACTCTGCATTTCAATCAACTATCATTACAGCAACATACTTCACGAGTACACCGCCAACCATCAATTTATGATCAAGGCTCTCCTAGTTTTAATAATTGTATACAAGGTCCTATAAACAATATTCTATATAATAAAACTGTCAAATTTGAACACTTACCTTTCTATAATTCAATGCAAACATTATTGGAGCCTATGTACTGTCAAACTAATATTGATTCAGCCAACTTTACTGGTCTTTATTATTTAACAGATCATCTTAGACATTCTATTATGAAGACATGGAACATATCTAAACAAGCATATAAATTACAAATCATTTTAAGATTTGTACAAATTGAACTCAAGGAAAATGTTACAGAACGTTTGCCATACAACATAACAGTTTCTGTGAACGGTCAGGAATGTAAATTACCTGCATTGAACATCCCAACAAAAGCTGGTATTACCCCATGGCGAAATAATGTTCCTATAGACATAACTCAGCAAACAGATTTAAGAAATTGTTTACAAAATGAATTAAAAATTACATGGTCACAAGAGCCGTATGAATATATGGCTAGTGTTTATGTAGCTGAAAAATTGACTTCAGACGAACTTCTTATAAAACTTAAAGAAAAACCAATACGCAAATGTGAAAATACTAAAGAACTAATAACAAAATCTATGGAAAGTGATATTGATATGGGTATAGACTCAATGTTCGCTACACTTCTGGACCCATTGAGTAAAACAAGAATGAAACTACCTGCCCGAGGTATGCATTGTATACATCTTCAATGTTTTGACGCAATACAGTTTTTGCAAATGAACGAACAAAAGCAAACATGGGCATGCCCATTGTGTAAGAAAAAAGTTAAATTCGAAGACCTCGAAGTTGATGAATTTTTTTTACATATTCTTCAGAATCCAAATTTAAGTAAAACATGTGAGAATGTAATTTTATTAAAAGACGGATCATGGTCTGAGAAAAAAAATAGAGAGTTCTCAAATAGTTCTGTATCAAACACTCCAGCTAAAAAACCAGTTGAAGTTTACACATTGTCAGATTCTGATGAGGATTCTGATGGCAAAGACAAGCATTCTATAAAACGTAAAAAGTATATTCCACCACAAAACAATCATCCTTTAATTAAAGCTGAATATGCTCTAGCAGAAACTGAAAATCGAACAAAATTAAATAATAAAAACTCTTCTGAAAATGATCTTGTATTGGACCTGAGTATTAAAAATGGTCCAATAGCATCGACAAGTGGACATAATTCATCAAACATTAAGGTAAATGGGCATAGTGTTCCAACAACTGGATCTTCATCAATATTCAATGATTTGTATCTACCAAGTATAACAATTACACAAACTAATAGCAATAATAGTAAAGCCAGTTGTTCTGAAACTAGTAGGAATAATAACCCCCAAGAAAAAGATAAATCACGATCTGTGCTATGTGTTATAACATTAGATTAATCTATGTTATTATATCTAATAATACTAGTATAAGGTATAACATAATTTCAATTTAATATAATTATTGTACAAATATAAAAATGAATTATTACTATGAACAGCTAAGCAATTTTTATACATTTAATTAAAATCCATGTTTTGTTTATTTTTTTCATTATATTTCTATGTTGTATAATATTATAATTTATAACTAATAGTATTATATGTCTGTTTATAATAAAACTAGTTATTTTACATCAAAATTTGATTAGTTTTCTTTTAAATCTCTTCTGTGCAAATAACATAGTTTTCAAATTTGACCTTGTAGAAATAAAATAAAAAAGGCAGGATAGTTTGATACTTAAATTAAAATAAACCATGGACAAAATAGTTAAAGTCAAAATATTTGTACAAATTTGTAATTATTCTATGCAATTCTAATTAAGAATAAAGTAAAAAAAAAGTATAGTAAACATCTAGATTTTGTTTTTAAATATAATAGGTATATAATATTAAATAGGTAAACATTTAGATTTTGTTTTTAAATATAATAGGTATATAATATTAAATAGGTAAACATCTAGATTTTGTTTTTAAATATAATAATAAATAGGAAATAGCATATTAATATGATCAATATAAAATATATAAGTACATAAATATGCTCAAAAACTACAAAAAATGTATATATTACATAATGTAAACATAAAGGTTGGTTTTTTCTAAGTTGAATGACCACATTATTTTTCCATAATAATTGGTACTCTTAACTTGACAATTATAATAAACTATTTATACCATTTGATTTTACTACATTTTTATTTTCAGATTTTCTTTCTTTTAAAGTATTATACTATGTTCACGTTGCAAGCAGAGCATCTTTAACGTCCTTATCTGATAATATAAACACTTCAAATGGATTATTAAAATGTTAGTTATTTGATCCAGAATAATGTGATAATTTGTTAAATTTTGTTTTGGCCCATGAGAAAAATGCTATTTTACATATAATTTGTATACTGAAGAATATTAAAAAATATTCATCCACTGTTTTCAAATTTTTTGTTTACAAGCACTTTATACGTTTTGCAGAATGCTCATCTTCATGATCGGAATCCTCGTTGGAATCCTTGTCGGGATCCTCGTTGGAATCCTTGTCGGGATCCTCGTCAGAATCTGACAAAGCGAATACTTCATCTTGGTTATTAGTTGGACTACTTGATACAGAACTATTTGAGAATTCACTATTATTTTTCTCAGACCATGATCCATCATTTAATAAAATTACATTCTCACATGTCTCACCGAGATCTGGACTCTCAAGAATGTTTAAAAAAAATTCATCGATTTCAATATCTTCAAATTTAACTTTTTTCTTACACAATGGGCATGTCCATGTTTGCTTGTGTTCATTCATTTGTAAAAATTGTAAAGCGTCAAAACATTGAAGATGTATACAATGCACACCTCGGGCAGGTAGTTTCATTCTCATTTTACTCAATGGGTCCTGAAGTGTAGCAAACATAGAGATTACTTCCATATCAATATCACTTTCCATAGATTTTTTAATGAGATCTTTAGTAATTTTACATTCCCGTAAAGGTTTTTCTTTGAGTTTTTCAACTAGTTCGTCTGGAGTTACTTTCTCAACTAAATAAATACCAAACAAATACTCATTTGGATCTGCGATAAATTGCATTTGTATATGATTCCATGCAGAAATATCATCTTTTAAAAATATTTCACGCGTAATATCCATATAGAAATTACAACGACAAGTAGTTTCACAAAAATTTAATGGTGCCAGTAACTTGGGTAATTTAGGTCTTCTATCATTAACAAAAATTGTTAAGTTGTAAGGTACACGGTCTGTTATGTTACGTTCAATAGTATAATGTTCATATTTAATTTCTTCAAAAATTAATATTACTTGAATTTTATATTTTTGTTTTGCAGCATCCCATGAATTAATGATAGAATTTAAAGCATTCTCAGATAAACTAAATCGACTTGCGAAGGGCGCTAAATGATATAAAACTGGCACAAAGTAAATAGGGTTCATTAAAGTTTCCATTACTTTGAAGAATGGAATAGTATCTTCAAAAGTAGTTTGAAAAGGTATCATTAAACCGTCCATTGTATAGATGCTGCAGGTAAAACTTAAATGTTTTTGAATTTCTTTATAAGTGGCTGTAAAATATATTGTTGAAGATTTTTTTTGTATCGAGTTGCATAATTTTCTGTACCAGAGGTATTATAATTTTAAGGACAGTGAGCTTCTTTACTAAATATCCACTTAATTGTTGTTTGTTAAGATATTATGTTGTTTTGAATATCCAAAATGTCTTTTATTTTAGGAATTCTTAATTCATACACTACTTTGTGGATAGATTTATAATCAGTCTAAAAATAAATACAAAAAAAAACATGTAAGTAAAATATATACAGGATGATCAGCATTTTTTCAGAATTTGTTTTAGAACACTTATTAAGAAACAAGCAGCTCTAAAATGTTGCATATAATTTTATTTATTATTGCCCTTATTTTTAGTTATTAAACCACTACCTACTGTTGATAACTTCAAATAACAACATGTATTCAAAATTCCACAAATAAATGAAGTTTTAGATTTTGGTAATAACATTAGGTAAAGAAATATTATAAGTAATAAAACTATAGAAATAATGTATACTCAATTTTTCTATGCCAGGTACATTAAAATTAAATTTTCAACTGAGTAAATCAATATTAAAATAAATCTCCATTTCAATACAGAAGTTATAAGCAATAACACATACAAAGTGAAATATTGCTACATTTAACTTAATCATTTTCAAATATGTAATTGTAATAACTACCAATTTAGTAAAAAAGAAATTATTTGAGTGTTAGATACCATAGTTATACATTCAATAAGAAATTATAAATAATACCTGAACTATATCTAAGAAAGCTAAGGTGTCATTTGAATATAAACCATCAGGAAAAAGACACAGAGGCAGGTCAAGAAAGTGAAGAATGGATGGATGGATGCATCAAGATCTAGAGAAATTAGAGGTAACAGATTGGGAGAAGAAGTCCAGGATCGTGACTACTGAGAGTTGTTGACTGTAGTAGCCAAAACATTTACAAATTTGTGAGATTACATTTTTATGATACCTAAGTAAACAAATGCAAAATAAATAAATGTAGTATATGGGTACTTCTTTTAAACACACATTTTAACTAGAAATTATACTCGGTGCTCTATTCAAAATTCTTGTTCTATGGAATTATATTAATATATATTAAATAATCATAATGTATACTATTTATATTGTTCTGTCCAGGAACTATTATTTTTATTATTGAAACATTTCAAAGTAAATTTATTAATATCTCATCAGTCAATATTGTAGAAACTGTGAAATTGGTTATCTGTTTTTCTTATTAATGTTTGTAAATATAAGTTTCTCAAACTGATCCTTGTGGAATTTTTGACATTTTTTTCTTGAGTTATTTTAGGAAAATAATTGCCAATATTAAATGTTAAACCACGTTAAGCATTTTTTCGTTAAACAAGAGTATGATATTTAAGTGTATTAAAAATGTAAAAATATGTAAATATTTATGTTATTTTTGCCAAAATATGTAATAAAAATAATGAAATATAAAACATAAAAATTTGAATTTTAAATTAATTTTTAATTTTAATCATACAGAAATATTCTATATATAGGTTTAGTAAATAAAATAAAATTGGATTTAGGTTAAATTGTTTTTATTTTATTTATTCATCTTCATCTTCTTGAAAAACAATGTACATTTGTATATTATCAAATTTAAATGTATGGTGGTTAGGTCTCAAAATTGATTTGTAGTGACCAAAGACGCGGTCAACGTCAAATTTTTTTTGGAATTTCATATTTGATTTATGCAGATAGTAAAAATTCAATATCTAATGAAATGTTTTCGTTTGTATTTAGAAAAATAATTTAAATACCTTTTAATATTTCAATAATGGTTAGTATCAATATTTCTGATAAATTTAATAGGTACGTAACCTATATATGAATTTCCAAAATATTTACCAAATATGTACTTTTTAGTAAAATATTTAAAAATATGTAAAATAAAAGTTTTATTTTATTCAGGGTGTTATGAAACTTATTTATTTTTAATCAGAATTAAAATATATTTACATTTGATAACATTATATATTTACATAAAAATCCACGCTCTACATATAAAATATATAGGAATGTATATTGGCAGAGATCTCTACAAGAACTATTGAACTATTTTGTAAATGTGATAATTATGTACGGTAATAAACAATATTTATTATATAGGTCACTCACGTTATCTCAAAGTTATGAAAAATAATATTTAACACAATATTAGGAATGATACCTATATTGTTACATTAAAATAAGGCGAAAAATGCTGTTTTAATTCAAACAGTTTTGTCAACATCATATAACATACTAATAGACCAATAAACAAAGCTAAGTATAAAAATGTATTTTTCGACAAAACTGTTATCTGTCATTGATTTTCAATGGTGACTAAATTTTTAATTTAGTCAAATTGGCAAGACTTCATTAATATAACAAAATAGATATTTGTATACTTTAAAACTGTTGTAAACAACACTAAAACCAGTATTGTTGTAAACATACCCGTTTTATTGTTGTTGCTATTGTCATAAGATAACCTAGTTTAAATCAATACCCACGGTTTACGCCGTGCCAATAATTTGAATATTAATGGCGTCACCCTATTGGATTAATGACGAAAATCAAAAAGTTGACTTTAGATCGCCCATCTATTACAACTTTTTCAACACGCTAAAGCTTCGGCCTAATAAACATAATAGTATAATAATTATTAAAATTCTTACTTCTCTGTATCCTTTGACAAACAAAAACTTTAAATTAGTAATTAACTAAACGAGTAATCTATTTGCGAAAACTGTCATAAACTAACAGATGACAAAAATTATTCTTAGTATTGATGAAAATCGTTTGCACGTCCAAACGTTCAAGATAAAAATGTATTATAGATAAGTATGGAGAGCTAGAAAACCACAGAGTAGTATTACTCTGTAACGCCACCAAACTCTTATTGATCTCAGGAACAGCTGCTTAACTAACTTAGTGCGCTCTCTGTCCGTGAAAATAATGTTATATTACAATATTATATTAAATTATTATATTCCCGCCTAATTTAAAAGCACACAGCCATTACGATCACGACTACACAACCATATCTGAACTAAAGGTGTAATTATTATTTTTATAGTTTGAAAAAAAAAATGTTTATACAAGTTCAAAAATATTTTTACATTATAATAGGTATTGTGTTTTACACAAAAAATCATGTCATGTTGTTTATCTGTTTTCTCATCAGAAAATATACAGTAATTATTTGATTGGTTTATTATTTTGTATTGATCATAGAGAATTGTATTTTCTTTAATTGTTTAATAATAAAGCTAAATATTCTGAAAAAAAAAAATTCAGATTTGTTAAAAGCGTCTAAAGCTTCTCATAGGCGCAGTTACAATTAAGTCCGAGTTCCTCGAAATTATACATATACATCACCAATATAAATAGTAATGATTGTTATGAATAAAATATAATAAATATATTTATTGTATGAATTTTGTACTTCAGTTAAGGAAGTTTGAAGTTCGTCGTATTGGCATTGTCGGTGTACTTAAAGGTCTAGTGGTTACTCGCACGCTCGGACTGGTATAATTGAAAATAACCTTAGATTTTTAGTGCAATACCACGTCGGGTAGGTAACAGGGAAAAAATTGATTGGGGTGAGCCTTACGACAAAAATAAAATGTTTAAATCACATACGGAGGTTGAACATGTATTTTTCTATAAAAAAAAGTATTATGCCGGTCAATTGTAAATAAATAAATATGAAACTAAGTATTTTAGCAAAACTCGTAATAACGACGAACTTCAAACTTCCATAACTTCTTTAATAATGATTTCTGCGAACAAATTTAAACAGTTCTAAAATCAGCGACGAATATCGCGTACTGAAAAAAAATGGTTAAACAAAGGGCGTCCGATAAATGGTTTACCAAAATCGTGCCCTACTCATAACTCTTAAGTAATTCAAAAGTAAAAATCAGAACGCGCGAATTATTGAAAATTAGTTAGTAGATTGGTCATACTGGTATCATATGTTTTCAATGTCAATTCAACTGAATAGCCAAATTGCAATCAATAAACGCCGTTCTCGTTTCCTCTTCAGTGTTAGTCATCTCTCATCACTCATTCATATTTACTGTTAAGATGTTATCGTTGTTTATGTAGGTAGTTGGCTATAGTTTGAAAACTTGTCAACAATTAAACATACCTACAACAAAACATACACTTTTATCCACTCAAAAAACAAATACTATCCATCACCGGGATAGGAAAATAAATCTGCTTCGTTCTAGATCATCATTTTTTATCAATTTTATTAAATTCCTTGTTCAGTGAACGTTGATGTAAGCCACACGATCAAAATTAAACTGGTAAGCTTATCTTTATACAAATCATATAATTTATAACACCTTTTTAAAATTTTATTTTATTTTTATCCATGAATGATTGATTAATAAGTAATATATATATTTTTGTTTAATATTTCACATGTTTATCAAAAATAAAATATAAAATTTGTTCAATTTACTGTTGACTTTTTACTATTAATTTACAATCAAAATAGTTCTACAATCTTCCTGCCCACAATATACGATGACTTTGTTGGAATTCACGGGTTGTGCATTGGCAGCATTTGGTCCAGCATTATCAATGTTCATTGTGACAATCATGGATGATCCTGTACGTGTCATTATTTTAATAGCAAGTTCGTTTTTCTGGTTACTTAGCCTGCTGTTGTCATCAATTGTATGGTTCATCTTTCCTATCAAACAACAAATATGGTTTGGAGTCCTCATATCTGTATTGATTCAAGAAATGTTCCGTTACTCTTTATATCTATTGCTACGCAAAGCAGAACGTGGATTGAAACGTTTTGTGGTACACTCTTTGGTATCCAATAATAAACATATGTTGTCTTATGTTTCCGGTTTGGGCTTCGGCATCATGAGTGGTTTATTCTCTTTAATCAACATACTTGCCGCAGTTGAAGGACCAGGTACAATGGGACTCCGTGGTGGATACAGTGCATTTTGTATTGTGTCTTCGATGTTTACTGCTCTCACCATATTTCTACACGTATTTTGGGGAATCATTTTTTTTCATGGATTGAATACTGATAGCCGAAATTTAATTTTATATGTAATCGTATCACATATAGTCGTATCAGAAGTAACATTGTTCAACCAATATAATTTTTATACACCTGCGCTATTTATTGTATTTCTAATAACACTGGGTACCGGATGCTATGCTTTCAAAACAGCAGGTGGTCAACTACCCATCATTGACAGAATTAAAATTCAAAATTCAGTAGTTGAAAATTAAATATACCTATTTTAAATATAATTTTTTTGTTATATAATGTATGAATTAACCCTTTGAGGCATTATGGTATTATAATAAAATCATCTATTTTATATTTTTTATTTTTAACATGTTTGCTAAATTTTAATATTTTCCAAGAAAAAAATTTTCAAAAAAAATGTGTGCCTCTAAGGTTTATTAACTAATTAATTTTTTACTGTACACTGAAAATAGAATTGTTTTTTAAATTATATTTAAAATGTATAAATAAAATAATTCATTTTATTCATAACAAAACTAGTCTTATTATTTTAATATATTTACCCTGTCCAATCTAGAAATTAATTTGTGTTGATTTTGAGCATAGGGCTGTACTCCTTACTTTTATTTGAACAATTTAAATGTATAAACAAATATATAGTAAATGCATATTTAATGTAAGATAAGTAAATATTTTGTTAAACTAATTTATATTAGTGAATTAATACAATTATTATTTAATTAATTTAATTTAAATTACAATTGAATGTATACAAAAATTAGTTTATTCTTATTAAATGTATTATTTAGTCAAACCATGGCATTAATTTTAAAAACTAAGTCAATAATAGTATGATTATCAAAACATTTTTTCATTTTAAAAATACAAAAAACTAAATAAATACATTTAAATAATGATAATTTGTTAATACAATACAATTTTTTTGTGTTTATAAATTGAATAATTAATAAAAAAAAATTTAAAAACTACTTATTGAATTTGATTAATACTAACTGAACAAGAAGAATTTACAGTTAGTATAAATGGTCCTTCATTACCAGGGAAGAATGTAGAAGGAATTATTTCATATGTTCCAGGCTGAATATCGGATAATTCTAAAATTACATACCCAGATCTGAAAGTGTAATATTGATTAAAAAACTAAAATTAATAATTATTTAATTATAATTAGTATTATGATATATTATATTCTTAACATAAATACTTTTTTAATTAAAAAAAATATTGAAGTTTTTTTATTTCTTTTAGTATTTTAGTGAACTAATATATTAGTGTTGGTATTTTTTATTAAACGTAAACTGTTTTTTTTATGTTTTATTTGTTTCATTACATGTCAAATGAAGCCGAATGTTCATATCGACGCATGTATTGCGTCATACGCCCAGCTGAGAAGACTATGCCAGAACTTGATCAACAAAAACAACAGTGTTTAGTGGCGATGGAAACGCTTGATCGGTCATCGCCGGAACTATGGCCTGAACCAATGCCTGGAATGTCTGGTTTCGCACAACATATACGTGCATCTAGTGCAACAGATAAACTACCATCATGGAAGCAACCACCAGATGCTCATGATATGTTACTAGTACAACGTTATAGTCAAATGCCATTGCCTCCACTTTTAGATGAATTAAAGTCCCTATATGATTTTGCTTATAATTTAGGCTTGGAAGAAGCTAAAGAAATGACACGTGGAAAATATTTAAACATATTTACACGTAACACTAATAAATCCAGTGATTAAATAATAATTTTATGATTTATATATTCAGAAAAAAAAATTGTGTAATAATAATTTTAAATTTGTATTATTATCTTGATAATTTTAAAATTTTTCATTTAGATTTGTAATGTATTTTATCCTAATAAAATATTTTATCTAATATTTGATTTATTTAATAAATAAAATAATAAATACATAACTAACCTATAGTCCCCAGTAGATTTGCTTATAAATTTTGCTGTAGCATTTATATTAGTTAAACCAATACATAATATTTCAATGCCAATTTGATACTGTTTTGGTGCCTTCAGTTCAATTTGTAATACTTCAGTTTCCATAAATCCATCTACTGTTACCCTTAACTTGGGATTATTGTTATATGTATTATGATTTTTACACCCACCAGCTCTTATGCCTTTCCATTCACCATTAACTGTCTATAATAAATATTTTATTAAATGTTATAGTAATTTCTTAAAAATAGTTTTTGTATTTAAATTATTTACAGTTTTAAATTTGGCATTATTAAGTTCATTCATTGTAAAAGGACATGTAGCATAAGCCCGTAAGGTATAGTGAATTGTATGCATTTTTTCATATTGAGACACAACTAGTGTGAATTTTGATGGCGTTTTGTCATTAAGAACTATCTTACTGAGATAATGAGGGCTGTTAATACGGGCCCCTGATATATATGGTTCAGGTTCATCTAAAAAAAATTAAATTTAACAGTATTCATTATTTATTAAAATTTGTTTAAAAAAATTTTATATACTTGGGTAATGAACACGTTTTCCATCATTTCTATATACTACGACAGTTATATATTCACGATTTTCTTTGAAATCTTGTATTTCTGTAATATGACGAGTCAATAAAACCCAAACAGCACCACTGTTAACATTACCAACATCTAGACAATATTGAGGATTTTCACTTATATTGTATCGATCGCTAATGGGACCTGTTGTAGTATTCCACGTTCTAATAGTATGTAAAAATATGATATTTAAATTAATTTTTTTTTCTTAAATTATAAATATTTAATTTTATATACTTGTGTATGCATGATGTGAATGGAAATAACGACGGATTCCAATTCATACAAAATACATCAAAATGATGTAATACTGATGTATAATCAATCCAAAATATTCCATTATCAAATGAAGCAGCACTCGTTGGATCATAATCAAGCACTTCTCTTAATGTGGGTGTCCAACTTTTTTCATCCATCTCTGAATAACGTCCTTTCCACCGCACATGTGCCCATGGATTTTTCAATTTTAATAATTTACAATCCTAAATTAATTTGTTCAAAAAGTTGTTTACACACATATTTAATACACACACTAAACAAAAACAAATGGATAATAATATATAAGTGTTAATAAACTGTATTTATGTTGCTTACATTCACTTTTTGCACATCCAAAACAGCATATGCATGTGAAGAAACAAGACCAGTTCTTTTCTCTTCTTTTGAAGTCATTGGAGGTGTTGCAACTGTAATTAATACATCACCTTTACATAATCTTGTATACAGGATATCAAACAGACCCTCAGCATTAAATGTTTTATCATCAATATGAATAACACAGCGTTCTGGTATCCAGCCAGTCAAAGCATGAAGATCTATGTTCTATAAACAACGCTCAGTTTTTTATAAATTAATCCAATTGCACAACTATAGTTTCCATATCGGAAATGCAAAGTTATCATTAGGGCACAGATTTTTATGTAAATACATAATTTTATCAAATGCAGATTTTTTAATTCTGATTAAAAATTAACATGTTGAATAAAATAAGATTTTACATACTTCCACATATTTTTAAATATTTTACCAATAAGTACATATTTGACAAATTTTTTACATATTCATCTGTAGATACCTATTAAATTTAACAGAAATATTGACACTAACCATTATTATATTAAAAGGTATTTAAAATATTATTCTGAATAAAAATGAAAACATATCAATGGATATTGAATTTTTATCATCTGCATAGATTCAAGTATGAAATTCGAAAAAAATTTAATATTGAAATACTCCTTCAGTTGCTACAAATCAATTTTGAGAGTTTGAAACCTAACCGCCATACATTTAAATTTGGTAGTATCCAAATGTACGTTGTTTCCAAGATGATTAATAATTAAAACTTAAACATTTAACCCAATTCAAATTAATTTAATAAACCTAAACATACAACACTTTTTGTATGATTACAATTGAAAATTAAAATTTTTAAATTGGATATTTCATATTTTTAAATTACATTTTGACAAAAATAACAACATAAATATTTACAAATTTTGACTTATAACCGTAAAAATCAGTGCCCTAGTTATCATTAATCAAAAGTAATTTTGAATTCCAATGGTTAATAAAATATTGAGCATATTAAATATAAAACTTACACTGCTAGATCCTGGAAAATCATAACCACCCATTACTTTAAGATAAGCTTTTTCTATTAGCGAAACCCAAAATTCATTTTTGTTAGATGAATGGGAGCACAATAATGAGTTATACTTTCCAACTGGCAATAGATCATCAATTATAACTTTGCGCTGTATTCCATTCAAATGAAGTTTAATCATATATTTACCTGATAATTTGAACATTTATTTCAAAATGATTATTTTGCAGTTAAAAAACCGTAAAAAAATAATAAACTACATTACCAAATGGATTATAGACAGGTTGTCCATTTTGTTTTTGGGGGTAGATTATTGATGTAATCAATCTTTTTTTGAATGTTTTTTCATAAACAGCACAAACAGCTAATGATGCTACAAATGAACAGTCAGTCACAACCTATAAAACACATTTCACAAATTTATAAAAATGAATTTAGATTCATTTTCCATAAATAACTGTTTTTAAATTTTAAATGATTCAAAAATTTAACATGGTAAAAGATAATATTTGAAGAAATTCACTCATTTTAATTATTATTTTGTATTCATTACTACTTATCCTTCAAAAACCAATTAGATTAAAATATATTGTACTATAATGAATTAAATTACTGATATTAGTAAAAACCTATATCTAACATAATATCTGCACATTAAAATTTAAAAAAGATTATGGATATAAAATTAAAATTATCAAGTCGGTTGATGGTTGCTTCTTAATTATGTTAATTATTATATAAATTATAACATAATTATAATAATAATTGTCTTATTATTACTGTTTGTTTTATGCTGTAAAAACTTATACAGTCTCCGACTATCATTTTTGGATCAGAAGATAATTGATCAGGTCTTATCCAATGTAAAAGTCTCTCTTTTTGATCCAATGATAATGTCAGCAAACCATCACTGTCGGTAAATGGAATTGACAACCGAAACCTTTTAAGAAAAAATGTTGACACTTTAAAAGTAATTTTAAGTTTTAACAATAAATTTATTTTTTTGGTGTATTATTTATAAATTGTTTTTGGTATCTACCTAACTTTTATTTTATATTTTTTAATTAATCTAATTTTTTTTTCACAACAAATTTTTGAAATATACAAACATTATTATTATTTTTTAAACTAATTTATTTAAATTACCTTTCTAATAAATCAACATCCATAAAAGGAACATATTCTTTATTATTAATTTTTGATGTGGTCCATAAAACTCGTTTTTCTGCTTCAGTATAAAGATCACTTTTAGATATGTTTGATATTTTAGGAATTTGATTTAGAATGATTTTCTTATGAAATGGCGCTGGAAAAAAATATCTATTTTACACATTATAAAAATTGCATAGGTAGAATAAAGAATTATTTGTAATATATGGCATATTAATTATTCATAAATGTTTTTAAAAAAAATAAAATTATGTTATATACCTACTAACTTTAAGCTAATACATATTTATTAAGCTTTTGAAACTGTATAATTAAAAATTTTTACGCATTTTTTTTTTTAATTATTATAATTTAGTTATTATTAAATTAAAGTAATTTTATCATATTTTTTCTATACAAATTTTACAAATAATAATTGAAAATACCTAAGTTTTTGTATAATTGTATACGATTGTACTGTTAATCAATAAGTATTTTTTTTGTGGTTTATTAGAAAATTAATTATGAATTAATTTTTCTATAGTTTTAAACAGGGTAGTCATGAAAAAAAATTGGTCTATTTATTTATTTAAATTATACATATTGCAAATAAACTATTTTTAAGTTAATTTAATTGAGTACTCAAACAAACACATTCTTTCATTAAAAGATAAATATATTAATTTTATATTATAATATTGTCTATACTTATAATTATGACAATTTGTATATGAAATAGACAACTTTTAATATATTAAGCATGATACACAATAGTAAAACCAACAAATTTACTGAAAAAAAAATATATGTATTAAGATTAAAATAGAATCTGTATACATTAACAAATAGTAAAATGGTACTTCGTTTTTATAATTTATTTCACTTAAAATTTTGCATTTTAAGTTAGTAAACAATTTTTTTTTTTGAAGCTAATAAAAAAGGATTTATATAAACATATAATTTATAATCATAATTAAGTGGCAAATATTTTCCATTAACTTAAAAAACTAATGTTTTTGTATTTATAATACATTTCAACAAAATTATTTTTTGTTTTGTTTTTCAAACAATAATTAAATTGCAATAAATAATAATTTTATTTAATAAAATATTATACAAACATTAAATAATGCTAACTTAAATAAGCAATTAGTTTTCATATAAGAACACAAATGGTAAAAAAATTATTTGTAAAATAAAAAATGTAAAATTGTTATTAAATCTATAAAATGATATGTTAAATGTACACAATAATGCAAAAATTAAAATTATCATACATAAATACATTTTTTTATAGTTAATGTTAACTGTTTAACTAAACTTTATATAGGTATAAAGTAATAAATATATATTCGCAAGCAGTAATACAAAGATCTGACAATTTTTGCTCTGTTCAATAATTTTTTCTTACTGGCCTTTTATTACAATAGCTTTTTATAATATTTCATATAGTTTTTTAAATTAAAAACAAACATTTCAATTGTTTTTAACAGAATTTATTAAACAGAACAAAAGTTATTTCCGATGTCATATCTTCGTGTTACAGCTAGTATAGACACATGGTAATCAGGTAAAATGACCACGAAAAAAAAGCCATGGAATAACAAGCCACTGAAAAAAAAGACAATCTGTATATTTTGTACTATTAATTTTTTCCCCCCGACCTACCTTCAATTTTCCCACCATAAAAATTACTGAAGTTAAAAATAAATTGAATAGTTTTTAATAAAAAAAAAAAAAAAAAACAAAAAAAAACATTAAACAATCAATAAACAGTATTAAATGCTATTGCTATTATTATAGAATAATAATATAATTATTAACATTTAATAAAACTAATTATATTATACAAAATAAATTGGCTTTTTTTCTTACATTCATACACATATACACACAGTAATATGGTGTCTCCACAAAAAAAAAAATTAAAATGTTTAATTATTTGGAAAAACATACTACATATTTAAACTAAGCAATTTAAAACATATGAGATCAATATGAATAAAACTTATTGAGCAATGTTTGAATACTGTAAATTTATTAGTTGTTATATTTGTTTTAAATGTTGTTATACAAATCCAATTAACAAAATAAAATAAACACAATTATCACATTTCAAATAATTATATTAATACATAGGTATTAAACATACAAACATTTAAATACAAATTATAATCACTAGTTCTTTATAAATGTAAACTGCATACTAATGAATAGGAATTGGAAGTTATAGCACTAAGCAAGTTTAATTTTTCATGCTTTAACATCCACATAAAACAACAATTTAAGTGATATAAGTAGCACTCAAATTCAAAAATATGCAAAAAATGTTGTCAAAAGACTATTGAAATTTCATTTTAAAAATGAATAAAAACCTTAAATTTTCAAAATGTAAAAATTAATAATGTAAATGTTATAACTTCCGAGCCCTACAAATTAATAATTTGTATTCAAAAATGTGCATCATTTATTTATAAAATCAATAATATACAGTTCATGAATATGAGGATATGAAAATGGTTTTGTACAATTAATTAATAAACATATCACTATTTTTGTAATATTGGTAACTAAAAATTTAAAGCTTAAAATTTGAAGATCATGAAAAGAAATGTAAAATATCACAATGGCAATGTATTTTCAAAATGGATTCAATAAAACTATGATTAATAACTAATACGTTTAAATTACGTTTACTAATACTTCAATTTTGCAACAGCCCCAATGTATTAAAATAAATACTGGTCAAGTCTAAATATAACAAAACATTTTTTTTTTTTTTTTTTTTAATATAAGAAAATTATCAAATTTACTGTAAAAATTGTCAAATATGAGCAAAATATTTTATTTTTATAAAAATATAATTCAGGAGCGTACAACTTTTTTTGACGGCTTGAAGCACCTTGAGCAATAAGAAGTCATAAATCATAAATTACAATTTTAGGCCAAAATTAAGTAAATAAATAAAGTAGAATGTGACTCAGGGAATTTTATTTTTGCTATAAAATCAATTTATGACCAAATTTGAAGATTTGAATTTTTGAAGATGATTGTTACAATACAAATGATACAGCAAAGTACACATACCTAGATTTTTTAATTCACAGGTATGGGTGTTTTAAAAATTGAAGTTATTCAAGATTACACATATTGGAAATTCCGAACAAATATGAATTATTTAACATTTTGAGTTCTATACATTGCTTGGTTTATCACTTTTTAAAAAATAAAAAATATATTTTAGCCTAATTTTTTAAGGCTTAAGAGCTAAAAAAAAAAAAGAAGCACTTTTTTGGTAATATTGTACATTTTTTCGAAACCCATATCTGTTATTCTAAAATATATAAGTTAAATTATTTTAAAAAATATTTAAACAATAACAACTACCCAAAGAACTGGTTAGGTTAGGTTATCTATTAATAATTTGATTTTATATAAGATGACAGATAAGATAATATAGAAATAATGTTTTACCATATGCTTTTTTTTTAATACTTTAAATAATAAATAATTGGATCAATAATCATAATCAATAATCATAATTAAAAAAGTAATTTACTTTAAATATATAAACAATTTAAAAAAAATAAGGTATTGAATTTATAAATATAAAAAAATAAAACTTTTATAATAAGATGAAAAATATTACTGCTTAAGAAGAATAAAGTTAATATTGATTTGTACAAATAATGAAACAATATAAACCACAAAAATTAATCAAAAAATATTTGTAAATTAAACCATACTTATGAGGAGATAATTCTTCAAAATATAAATATACATACAGTAGAATTCACTTAATGGGGACATTGCATAAAGAGGACAACCGCTTAATGGGGACAAATTGGCAGTCTTGGGCGAATATATTCGTATTAGGCAATTTAACTTTGTTTATTAGGGACAAACTATTGGTAATAAGGGATATAGTCCCATAAGAATGGACAATTTTTTGCAGCCTATCAAATTATAAATTAAGTATGTGCATATTTTTTTTGAAAAACTTATTTGGTTTATCAATTAATATATAATAAATTAATCAATTAATCAATTAATAATATTACTATTACTACCATAAAATAATACTACTAATAATAATTTTTAAACCAAGTATGAATCAAGTTAATATAAAATACATATTTTGTAAATAAAGTTTATTGTATGCACATACCTATTACATGGTTAATAGAAGCAGTCGGATAATGGGGACAAATAGATTACCACTCTGTGTTCCCATTAAGCGGATTCTACTATATATATATATAAATTTAAAAATAAGCGGTTAAAGACCTATACAAGTATAATATTTTATTAAATAACTTGACCCTCATAAACTACCTGTATTATTAGTGTGATGTGTATTATGCAATGTTTGTTCCTTTGATTGTTTTAATTTTTCTGCTCGGTCTAAAGCTTTCTTAATTAAAGTAGTTAAATTTTTTATCATTTCATCATCAGATATTTCTTTTTTCTAAAATAAAAAGTATTTAATTTTTATATAATATAAATTAAATTAATTTAAGTACACTTAAAAAGGTAATTAATTTATAGTAAAGAGATTATAAGTTATATTTGTTATAATTTTTTTATTTACCACTTTTAAAGAAAGTTCAATTGCTTGTGTATAAGAATCAATGGCCAAATCTTCTTTACCTGCCTCATCAATATCCAAAGCTTGTTTAAGTAAATATTTACATTGTTTTAATCGTACTCTATCTTGATTAATATTTTCCATATTATTAGCTGCTTCATTTTGAACTACAAAAATCAAAATATTTATTATAAATAATTGGAGATAAATTTATAAGAAACAAAATATAGTTTTTGAAATAATAACAAATTTAAGCATAAAATTGTATAACAATTAAATGATTTAATAAACACTAGTTTAAAGTAGATCCATTTTATATCAAAAATTAGTTTGGTTATTAATACATTAAGACAACTTAAGGTGTTTTGATTTTTGTAATTTATAGTATTTGAAAATTAAAATAAAATTGCAGTAATACTTTATTGAAATTTATATCAACATTACATTTTTGATAGAATTAATCATTAAAATTATTTGGTAGGTTGAAATATTGAGATATCATAACACTATCTACTACCAAAAAACCACGTCTGCTTTGTAAATCAAGGAAAATATGAGACATTACTAGGAAGAAATAACAAGTCAAGAAAATAATTTTCTTTTATCCTTTAAATTACTATATATTACTATTATTTAATCACAACTGAAATTAAAACATTTGCTGTTTTTTAATATTAATAAGAGCCATGGTCCTAAAAACGTCATGAAGTATGATCACTGGACATACGTCAATTCAAACCAAAATAACTGAAATTTAATAAATATAAATGAATTAGAATAAATGAAAAATATCTTAAGGCCCAGCCCCCTCACAAAAAAATATTTAATTTTCTTAAACAAAATGTATTGAGGTTTTTTTTTTTAGTACAATAAATTAAATTGTTAATAAACATTGACGAGATTATAAATAGAACTATAAATTCTAGAAGCCTTATTTAAGTTATTTTTACATATTTAACATTATAACTCACAAGATACCATGTATACATTAACTTAAGGGATATTTAAATTTTAACTTATTAATACTAATTTTCAACTCATAAATAAAAATCATAGGAATATATTTATCATTATATTAAATAATTTAGCAAATATAATTAATTAGTAAAATCAATTCTGTGATTTAGTAATTATTTCCTAATAAAAAAAAGAGCCGATTCTGTATTGCTATTGTAAATGTGAAGTTGGAAAATATAGTTATTTAATTTACATTTGTGCATAACAAAAAATAATTATATATTATAACTAATAAATTGTTAACAAAAAACAATTCTATGAAGTTTGGTTTAACGTGTTTTAAAATGTCATATTTTTATGACTTTGGTCAAAAATTAAACTTATACCAAAAGGAAAAAAATACTCACCTTCAATTTTACCAAATAGGTAATGAAACTCAAAATCATTATTTCCTCGACCAATTAATTTTATCTACATAATACTTACCAAATAATAACTATTAAAAATTGAAAAACATTATCAAAAGACATTTGTTTTTTAATTTTAAATCGAGAATTAGTTTTTTGAATTAATTTTCCCAATGAACCAAGGGAGATTATATTTAGAATAGGTATGTATTATTTTAGTGTTAAAGAGCCAATGAAGTGCCTTTTGGAACTTCAACTCTCACTTTGCCCTTAATATGTTTAAATTTTATAATTTTACATGAAGTACTGGGTTTTAAATACCTTTAGAGACTAATCAAATTAAGTAATTATAACAAAATGACTGGAAGAAAATTTAATTATTAACAAAAGTTTGCTGTTATAAAATGTATTTTGGTTTTGGTATATTATATAGTATTAATGCGTAACAAAAATATATTCTTTTGAGATGTACCCACCTACAATTACATTTTATTTTTATAAATTGGTCATGTCGATTTATTTTTTAATTTAATTACCAACAGTTGAGTATTAATAATTATCTATAAATATAAATATCAAATCAAATATTAATAAAGAATTACGTTGATATTCCAAGGCTTCAGCTCTATTGATATAGTCGTGTGATTTTTTACACCATTCATCCGCCAGAGGATCATCTTTACGTATCTTCCAAGCAAGTTCTAATAAAGTTGCAGCCTCTTTATAATAATAAATGGCTGCCTGCATTTGACTATTACTATCACATTCTACTGCTTTCCTTGATACTACAATAGCTTCTTCAGCGTATTCCATATTGTTCAGTAAACTAGTTAAGATATCTACTTTTAGTACTAAATTATTAATGAGGTTTAGGTGTATGACCATCAACATAAAAGTTTCGAGTAGCTGCCGGTAGTGTTATTTCAATACCATCTAAACTTTTATCTAATATAATTTGGCAACCCAGTCGTGAATTTTCTTTAAGAAATGGGGCTAAATCTAATAAATCATCTTCTTTTTCCTCTGCAGTAGGAAGTTTAGCTAAATAATTGTCAGCAATATAACAATGGCATGTTGTACATGCTAAAGATGCTTCACAAGCACCTTCCATTTGAATTCCATGCCTAATAAAATTTAAACACATTTAATTTGATAAACTACATAAAATTCACTGTTTTTTAAATTTACCTGTGAGCTAAATAAAGAACGTTGTCACCAACTTTTCCTTTGATTTCTGTGCATTTACCGTCTTTGTCGACAAAATTTACATGAACTATTTCAGCTTCACTCTTTGGATCCTGCCATTCATACTCTCCGTGACATACACATTGAGTAGTACTTATGAATCTTTTCCAAATGGAAACGAATTGAAACTTCGTTTGATGATTTTGCAAATAAATACGACTGAGTGAAATGAGATGCCGATTGTAGTATACACCACGTACTAATTTTGAAACAGTAACGGGTAAAAACATACTATATAGTATGTTATGTGAATTTCAATTCGTTTAGAACTACAATAGCACATGCTAAAAAAATGAGAGATCCGGACATAAGGTATAATTGACAACAGTTAACACTTTAAAAATATATATATATAAAGATACGAGTACAAAGTAGTACCCATGTACTATAAATTAAAAAACACAACTTATGTTATACTGTTATAAATTTGATATCAGTACCCAAAACAATCAAAAAGGCAAAAACTATAACCGTCTAACCAAGATGACGTCATACTATAAAAAAAAAACATCTGCCGGTATGTGTTTTGAAGTGGTGGCAGTGGGCACAGACAAGGTGGTCTATGGTATTATGGTGGTTGTAGAGACATGACCATAAATACCACATATCCGGTGTTTTTTTTTTTTTTTTACCAGTGGCGGTGCTGTTTCATTCAATTATTCAAAATTCGATTTATTTTATATCTCTGTCGACGAAAAGTGATAGATGATAACAATCGGAGTAGGCATGTCTTGTTAGCACCAAGTTGTTAATAGGTCTATGGTACAAACTACAAAGTCTATAGTGTAGACAACCTCCAAGATGGTGTACATCAGCCCTCAGGAAACACTTAAAGCAGTCTAAGTGAGAAAGTCTACACAAAAAGCGACCGCACTCGATGCAAAATCGCTCGTGGTCCTTTCATCAAATACAGTAAGCCAAGATTGTCAGAAAGTTTAAAAGTACAATCACCATTACGGAGTGTATCACAATTAGTTTATAGTTTATGACACGGTCACGAATTAAGAAATAAATTACTAAGATAAGATTTAAGATATATAAGGTAAAATATGTTAATCCGTGGAAACGATCTAAAGGGTGCCTTCACAGCTTACCGTGAAACGTGAAATATTCTAGAACCATGTAGTGGTTAACCAGTGGTCAATCATCATTTTTTTTTTTTTTTAATACCCTATACCGCTTATACCGGACACTTGAGTTCAATCCTATTAAAAAAATAGTCGGACCATGTGTTCATCACGATTTAATGATAATGGTTCAACAACTAAATTGTATCAATCATGGTGAATAAATTGTGAATTATTACGTTTCATGGTAATCTGTGAAGGTACCTTTAACCCATAAGTCCGTTCTTACTATTTCCTGTAAAAGCGGTCACGTAACCACTACATCGTCGGTTAAATTTCGATTACGACAGTCCGTTCTTATAACCTTCGATTTATAAGGCACGGTCTTATGTTCTTCAAAAACCGTGATATTATTATCAGGTATAATATTATCAACAAATTTAGTCATGATAAAAAAAAATGTATTATTTTTATATTTTAAAATGTATTTAATCCTGGTTATTATGACCATAGACATGTCTATAATTATTGATTATGACTAAATAAATTTACGATTACAGCTTCATAATTTTATTGAACATGTCTCACTTGTTTATTAATTGTACGTGTATATATATTTAATATTTAAACATTAATAGGTATTAAAAATCTAAACTTTGAATCCTGAAGAACGTTTAATTTAGTGTATATTTATAACATTGAAAAACAGATGGAAGAAACCACAGAAATACGTAAGATGGATGCGGTTCTCAAATTTGAATTAATCAATTTATTAGACATAGATGATGGCTGGAAATCAATAATGACTAGAGCAACTGTTGACTGTGATTTAACTAAAAGTCAAAAATACACTGTTGAGCATGTTAAGTAAGATCCCATAGTACCTATTTGTATTACAATGCTTAGTTTATTGTATTACATAAATAATATAATTATTTTAGGCTCATAGAAATGGCTGGCCACACACAACGGCGATCCTGTAGCGAAATATTTTTAGAAGAATGGGGAACCAGCGGTAAAATAAGGCCTAATCTTAAAATACTTAGGGATTTATTGTATGATGCAAATCTAATAAGAGCTGCTACATGTGTAGCATCTAAAATATCGAACAGTAACTAATAAAATATATAATAAAATTATTGAATCTAATTATTATGTTTAGTACAAACTTATTTCCAGATAAATCGACAAATGGGTTGACAGTCTCTAATGAGTTTGATAAATACACTGAAAATTTAAAATCTACATTATGTACTCATAATAATACAAGTATAAATAATACCGAACATAACGAATGGTAATAACAAAAAAATAAATAATAATAAATAAATACCTACTTAAGTATTAATTTTGATTTTTTTTTTTAGGGGGGAGTAAATAATCATTTTTAGTGTAAAGGAATTTTGTTTACTATTTTATAAAATTATTAATGACTAGTTTATTGCTTTACAAATGTATTTATTTTATTTTTGTAGGTTTGATGAAATTAAATTACCTTATCAATATTTATCTGAAGCTACCAATGGATTTTCAGAATCGTGTTTAATTGGAGCTGGTGGATTTAGCAAAGTATTCAAATCTAGATTAAATTTAAAACAAAATAATCAAATAGTAGCAATAAAACGTTTGGAACATGATTTCAATATTAAAGATTTCAAACAATACTTAAATGAAATTTGTATTGTTTTAAAATTTAAACATGATAATGTATTACCATTACTAGCAATATCATATGATGAACAACCATGTTTTATTTATGAATTTATGGAAAATGGTTCATTACTTGAAAACATTGCATGTGATGTATGTTATTAATAATTTTTATTAAGAAATAGAATTATTTCTGCTATTATTTTGTTAATGATTAAATTATCTAGATTAAATCAATATTATTGGATTGGAAACTTAGAATTCAAATTGGAACAGATATTGCTCGAGGAATAGTGTACTTACACACAGAATTTGAAACTCCATTTATTCATCGAGATATTAAGACTGCTAACATTCTTCTAGATAATAAATTTATTGCCAAAGTATACAAACTATAAGTAATGTGTAATATAATATATATATAAAAGAGAAAATTGATTGGTTATTTATATACTATTTATAGATTGGAGATTTTGGATTAATGCGTATAGGAAATCATACAATGACATCTGTAGTGTGTGGAACCTCTGCTTACATGTCACCTGAGGCATTTAGAGGCGACATATCTGTGAAAGTAGATGTATTTAGCTTTGGAATTGTATTATTGGAATTATTAACAGGATTGGCACCAATAGATAAATCTCGAACTGGTTATGATTTAGTAAGTAATCCTAACTTTAACATATTATATAAAATGTCCATTTTTTTAAACCAGTAACCTAAGTAGGTGATTAAAATATCTTATTTTTTTAGTTGACTGCATTAGTTTGTAATCATATTTTTTGTATTCCCTCATTGTTTATTAAATCAAAGAAATTTATCATATTGATTTTTAACTTTCAATATAAATTTATAATTAAATTTTTTTTTGTATTTATTTTTATTTTTTATATTTCAGTATTAAATTCTATACAAATTACATTTCTGATTTATTTTGTGTGTATTGATCTCATAATAGGTAATCCACATAAAGAAGTAGAAAATTAGACTTAATGAATACATATTAAGTAATAAAATATGTCCCTATTTATAGTTTCTTAATATTTACTATTTGTATTAATTGTATACATTATTTTAAATGCATGTTTGTTTTAGTTAACTCATATAAATGAAATTGAATGGCCTGTTGAAAAACTATTAGATAAACGTGCTGGAAATTGGGACAACAGTATTGCTGAAAAAATCTATGACTTAGCACAAATATGTTGTACAGCTACAAAATCTCAAAGACCAGTTATGCATGGCCAAGATGGTGTTCTTGAATCTCTTAAAAATATTCAATCTGAAAATTGATGTCTAAGAATTTTTAAATACTAATAAAAATATAATATTATAATTAATAAACAAAATATTTTTATATTTTTTGATTTATTATAATTACTTATATAAAAATTGTATATTTAGAAAATAAAACAACTTTAACCCATAATTAAAACATAAATAATTATGATGTATTTTTTTTTTTTTTTACAAAATTAAAGTAGTATCCATTAGTGATCCAGGAGAAAGAGGTCATCACAAAATTATGTACGGTCACTAACACATAAAACTAAAAAAAAGATGGACATACTTTACACATGGGTGGGCCACTGTTGTAGGTGGGAAGTTGAGAAGGTATTAGAGGAAAAATTGAATGTATATCTATAAGCAACAATAAACCATTGTGTAATGATATACACAATATTGTACATATCATAATTTTAATAAGTATTGGCTAGTTATATTATATTATATTACTGATATAATAGTGTAATATTATATTTACACATTTGTATTATATGACTATAAATTTTATAACCTAGTCAATTTATATTCGATAATTAATTAATTAATATGATATTGACAACCAGATGTCAGCACACACACTACCATTTTTTCTCCTTACATAATCCTTAGTCTAATTATTCGGCCCAGAACCCTTCCTCTCGCCGAAACGTACGTTGCTCTATTTCCCGTATGTATTTTCTCTGCATCAATAAAATACACAATTTTACTTGTGTTTTGCTTTGACATTGCTACTTATTATAGAAATACTGTTGCTTAAGAAATTCCATCCAGGATAGGTAAGTATACCATACAATTTGCATTTCATATTTATTTCTTATTATTATAGGAAGTAGTGAATGATCTAGGTAGTTAATTGAATTGTATATTTAATCATCCTATATTCTAATTCCCCCATCATTTCATTTATTACAATTGTTAATGAAAAAACCATATGTCATATTATGGTAAAATAATTACATAAGAATTATATATTTTCTCTAATAATATTTGTTTAATATTCTACTTATTTTCCCGTTTTTTCAGGATTTTATAATTTATTGGGAAAAATCCATAAAAAATCAAATAATGACCTCCTTAAAGAACCTCTCGAGTCAAATTTTGTAAAAGTGCTATCATTGTAAATTGGAGCAAAATTGCTAGTAGAAAAGTTGTTCAATAAAAAAATATCTTTGAAAAACCATAAGCTAAACCATTCACTCCACTCAGAATCTAAACTGAATACCTATTGTTATATACATATATATATATAAAAAAAAATTCTTGCTATATTTTACAATTTTTAAAGGACCTCCCCTACCCACCCTCTTGATTATTAAGTAGTTATGAGAAAGTTTAAGTATCATTTATACCTAGATAATTACAAATAATATTGCATATTTGTATAAATAATAGTTGCCATAACAATTAGTATATAATAAAAAATGAATTATTATTCATATATTATATAATTCTTTAAAAATGACTACGTAATAATATATAAAATTTCTAAACATTAGGTACCTTCATAAAAATTTAGAAAACATGATTATACACATATGCTATTAATATTTCTATACCTATATTTTTATATTGTGTAGTATATACTAAAAATGTAGAGCCTTAAAACTAATATTAAAGTTTTAATTCTTTCTTATTTTATTTATTCATTTCTTCAGTTGAATAGCACTTTTAAGTTCACCAGACATATAGACATCATCTATTTTTAAAATTCCTATAAATTTGAAAAATTATACAAGATTAGAAATATTAAAAAAATTAAATAACAGCACTTTGATACAATTTAAGTACCATTATGCTCATTGCATATATCATCCTAAATCAACATTATAGCTATCCATAGATATTGTATCAATTAAAAACAAATATTAAGCATTTAAACAATTAAACAAATATCAATATGTGGCAAGTAGAGCTATAACATTGATTAAGGTGTACAAGATAAGTGAAAATAGTAAAATATGAATCAACATTGTACCTATGATACCTACTTTTATTTAGTCTAAACTTAAACTATTAAACAATAAAACTAACCATCAAATAATTCTTGAAGACTATTAGGCTCCATTATTAATGTAGCATCAGGTTTTGCTGTGGGTTTTCCTTCACCAGCTGATCCATCTCCAGTCAGATCTATGTAATATGTTCTACCTTCATTTCCTAAAAATATAATACCAACTTGTAATAAAAAAAAAAAAATACAGATATCAATGAATAAGAAAATTTTAGTTAGTATAATTTTGTATTTATTGAACTATTAAATTATATTAGCTAAAACTGTATACATTAGTTAATTAAATGTTAAAATATACATTTTCTATAAGTAATTAAAATTTTAATAACCTTTTACAATAAATAAAAAACATGTGTTTGTTTCTTTTACTTCTTCTGGAGTCAGAAATGCATTAATTTTAGTAAATATTTGTTTATGAATATCGCCTCTCAATTTTTTTTTAGCTACTTCTTTTCCTGCATTGAAACCATCATGAGAATTTTCACCCAAAAAGAAATCCATCAATAAATCACCTTTATATGCTGAAATAAAACCATTAGTACCATAGTAATAAATAAATAATTTTTAATTATAAATATAAAATTGAAGGAGAAATTTACTAAATATTTGTTTAAATACATTTGTATTTCATTTATACATCTAATAATAGGCTACTTGTCCAATATGCTATTTATAGCACGTTTAGTGATTTCATAGACTTATTTTAAATTCTGAATGGAGCGAAGGAGCTTATGGTTTTACAAAGATATTTATTTTGTTTGTTTTATCTGTGGACAACTTTTCTACCAGAGGACTTGCTCCGATTTTTACGTGTAGTACCTTTTCTGAAAGAAAATCGGTGTGGGGAGGTACCTCAAAGAGGTCGTTTTGTGATTTTCTCATCAAATGCAAAAAATCGAAAAATAACGGGAAAATGTACGAAATATATTTGTATAATATTTTTTCTGTAGACAACTTTTCTACCAAGAATTTTGCTCCAACATTTAATGATAGTAATTTTTTTGAAAAGAAATTTCACTGTGGAGTTACCTACTTTAGAGAGGTCGTTTTTCGATTTTCCCGGAGTTTTCTCAACAAATGTGAAAAACTGAGAAAAAACATGGGGAAATCGGTTCAACATTAAACAAATATTATTAAAAAAAATATGTAGAGCCATTTAATTATTTTGCTATAATATAGCATATATATTGTTGACTAATCATCACTATCAACTGAACTACGTTCAGAATCGTTTTTTCGTAAGTTATGGTTTATTGTTGCTTACAGGTATACATTAAACTACCTCTAACAGTGGCTGCACCCGTCTTCATTATCGTAGGACGTCTTTTTTTTAATAACTATCTATTCGTTGAAAAATATAAAATGTTGTGAAACACCAATATGTACTAACCAATATGAGTTTTTATGAATTGATATTTTACATTAAATTTATCCTTTTTTTAGGAGGCAGGGTTAGGGTAAATTTGATATGGCTCATAAAAGGAGAAGAGACCCAATTTTCTTTATGGCGCACCCCATACAAAATTCCGGTGCTCGCCTATGCTTCAATACACAATATTTATATAAATTATAGTATTAAATCTAATAAAAAATATTTGTACAAATAAATATTGATTAATTTATTTGCTGTACTGTACTATGTTGTTACCTAACCTAAACTTCTGTGTACCACTATGTTTCCTACCACGTACCATCAGTGGTACGCGTACCACAGTTAGACTCTACCCTTTTGATCTTAGCATAAAATATTTTCATTTTCGTGTCTGATGATACTTTTCTAACAGAAATAATGCTAAACATTTAATTTCAAAAGAGGTTTCTGGTAGCAGATTTAATTATTTTATATATATATATAGCAAATACTTATACAAATTAATTTATGGAAAGAGTGAATGCCCCTATTGCTCCAATTCTCAAATACACTACTGTAATATTTAGGGTAATTTAGTTCATTACAGTATGTAATAATAAATAATTACAAACGATTATGAGCAGAGTAGTGTTAAACATTTTTTAAATATGTAGTTTTTCAAATTTCATGATACAGTCATATTTTCTATAAAATACTTAATTTTGAGATTCTGAAGAGAACAAGGAATTATAACTTGTTTTATGATGATGTTTATTTTGGCACCCTTTTTTTTTAAACATTTAAACTGCAGGCAAAAAAATTACAACAAAAATCATAATTGGAAATAATAAAATCATTATTTTCGTAAATTTTCCTGTTATAGGTTAGGTAGATATTATAAAAACTACTTGGAAAATCAAAAAATGACCTTAAAGTACCATACAGAAAAAATGTTCGTCCTCATTATCCTAGGACGTCTTTTTCTTCTTGATTTTGGTTTCGTCCTATAAACTACTAAATCTTTATTTTTACTTATCATGTAGTACTTAATAATAGCAAAATATTACTTAGTGAGATATTAGAATGTGTTAGGGGCATAGCCCTCATGAATTTGGAAACTGTGATAAACTTTTGTAAACGCATGAGTTTCTATTGCTTATGATGGGTAATATAAAGTTCATTTGTAAATAGCATATTAAACCAACGATAAATTAGGTACAGTAGATAATATAATTGAAAAATTCGTAAAAATATAAAAAGAAAGATCTGCAATAAGCGAAACTCGATTTGCAATTGTTTCGTGGTATTATGAGGTCGATCGGAAGGGGTAAACATGGATGGTGCTCACGAAGCGATCGAAAGGAGGTAGCCGAAAGCTCCAGACGAATCAATATCGGAATATTTGTTGATATGCTCAATGTTTTTTTTTTCTAATAGGCGTATAAAGGAACAACTGATCCCATCCCGATTGGATGAATATCAATTAATAACACTGATGTATATCCAAGTCCCAAGGGTATAGGTATTTAAGAGAATGTTATACTTGCATCTACTGTCTCAGTCAAATTACCGGGTAACATACAAAAACAATACTTACGTAAACTAAGTAAAACTAGCTTAATTTTGGTTTATGAATAAACATTTACTATGAAATTTATAGAGACTGATATTTTATAGGAAACGCCATTGGTGTTTTTTGAATTATGAACCATTAAAAAAGTTACAGTAATTTGAAAAAGAAAGGTTTTTGTATCTTTTATATCGAGCTGTATATTTTGAATAATATAAAAACCCTATGAGACATTCCTTCAAAAATAATGTTTTCTATAAATTTAATAATAATTACTTTAACTCTAAAATCAAAATTAAGCTAGTTTTACTTATTCTACGTAAGCATTGTTTTTGCACGTTACCCGGTAGTTGGACTGAGATAGTAGATACGGGTATAACGTCCTCATCAATTTAAAAGTTATGTACATCTATGATCTCTTTTTCACTAGAAAAAATACAACATTCATCACCCACAAAATTATAAATCATATTTATACCTAATTAATAATTAAAAACACGGCCAAGTAACTTTTATCGATTACTTTCCTACTTACTTGGGTCATTCAAATATTGACTCATATCGGTGATACCTTCTTGCTGTAACACTTCATCATCAATTAAAAATTGACCAGTGCAGTTTTTAACTGATCTACAGAGTATAGCATAAGCTGCATCTGCCATAATTTCTGGTTTACGAGATAATTTTTTTGCATTTCCAGCACCAGATAACATTTCAACAGCAGCAGTGTAAATTACTGTAGAAATAAATAAATAAATAAAAAGCTAATATTATTAACAGATGTGCAGAGTATTGAGTATTTGGAAGAAACAAGTTCCAAAAGAAACGGTACACGGAACGAATACCTTTTTATAAGAGAGGAATAAGGAGGTACGAAATTCTTTTCTGCATGAAAAAAAATTAAGATTTTCGCTCCTTTGATTCGTTTCTTTTAATAATAGAATCTGTCTATCTAATATCTGATTACCTAGGTCATAGATCCTAGGTATATAAATATGAATCTTGCTAGTTATAACAGTTTAATGATCTCCACTCATAATCATTTTTTGATTGCAATGATTTACCTATTGTTGCTTTCGCTTTTCAGTACATAAACTGGAATTCTATTTATTTGTTGTTTTTATATTTTATATGTTAATATGTTGTTCTCAATTCTATAATTGGGTTCAGCCTGTATAGTTTCAAATAAAATAAAATGATTTAAAGCGAATCATTGTTAAACATATTTTGAAAAGCCACGAATTTCACGGTTTTTACTATTATTTAAATTTAAAACGTTTACTTTAAAATACTAACTATATATTCAACTGTAGATCTTATACATACAAACAGAGACCTTATTTTATTAGTATAGAAAATTAACTATTTAATAATTCCATAGATTTTCTTTATACTGTTAAAATTGGGACAATTGTAATATTATTAATTATGTAGGTACGACTTACCAGTTCTTGGCCATAAAGCATTTACAGCAATATTATCTGCTTTAAGCTCAGCAGACATTCCTAAAACACACATTGACATTCCATATTTGGCCATTGTATAAGCAACATGGTCACAAAACCAATTAGGGTTCATATTTAATGGAGGACTTATATTTAAAATATGAGCGTGTTTGCTTTTTCTTAAATGGGGTACACACATTTTTGATCTATAAAAAAATATACATCAAAACAAAATTCTTAAATATAAATAGGTAAGTGAAATATTACACTAAAAATGTTCCTCTTGTATTGATGTTATGCATAAGATCATATCTTTTCATATCAGTGTCTAAAGTTGTAGTTAATGAAATTGCACTTGCATTATTTATAACGATATCGATACCTCCAAATTTACTTACTGCTTTATTAATAGCATCGGCTACTTGACTTTCTTCTCTTACGTCAACTACACAAGGTAAACACTTTCCTCCCGCTTCTTCAACTAAACACATAATTCATATATTTGTATAAGTTATTTAGTATAAATAAAATGCTAGTAATAATATAAGATGCAACAAAAAAGTTCTCTTGTCGTGTTTTAATTAGAGCAAGATTTCTGGTAAAAAATAGTTCTATAGACAGAAAAAAAGAACAGATACTGCTGATGGTATGTCATTGTTTTAGATGGAAAGTTGGGAAGGTAGGTTGAGATAATAAATGAAGTGTTTTAATTGACCATTCTTAGAGGCAAATTTGCTCTTTTTCACACTAAGCTTTATATTAGCCTATCTCTCTTGATCCGTTCGGACCCACCACACCTTCCAGGTCATCGGGGTAAATGTTCCGTCTAGATGTATAAGGGTAATATCAGAACAGTATTTCATAGGAAAATACATAAACGGAATCATATTAAATCAGAAAATATTGAATAGGGTTGTATGAATCGGAATAGTATTTCATAGAAACATAATATACAATTATAATAAAACGTTACTGTATAACTGTAATGATATAAACAATATAATTTCTATTCTCCCTAAAATATTTTCTAAAATAATAAATAATAAGCTCACACCCATATTTAAACATATTTTAGCACCACAACAACATGGATTTCGCAATAAAAAGTCATGTCTTACCAATTTAATAACTATTAAACATCATATAATTAAATCTTTTTCTAATAATCAACAAACAGATGTCGTTTATACAGATTTTGAAAAAGCCTTTGATAGAGTAAACCACTCTTTATTAATCAGTAAACTACAGGAAATCGGCTTTGCCAATCCTCTATTATCATGGTTTAACTCATTCCTAAGTCAAAGAATTCAATTTGTCAAATATAAAAACTTTATATCGACACCTATAAACGTAATTTCTGGTGTCCCTCAAGGCGATCACCTTTCCCCTCTCCTTTTTAATTTGTTTATAAATGATGCTGTATCATCCATTTCACACTCCAACATTTTATTATTTGCCGACGATGCAAAAATTTACAAATCTATTACTTCCCCCGATGATATTGAACTCCTTCAAAGTGATTTAGCTTCATTTAACGAATGGTGCATTTCAAATAGTCTTTCATTAAATATTAATAAATGCCAAATTGTTACCTACTCCAAAAAGCACAATCCCTTACATTTTAATTATCATATATGTGAAATTAACCTACATCGTTCGTCATTATTTAAAGATTTAGGGATTTTATTTGATTCCAAACTATTATTCAATGATCATGTATCAGCGATTAAAAATAAAGCTTTATCTGTATTTGGTATGATAAAAAGAAACTACTCCGATTTTCGTGACCCACTTGCTCTCAAATGCCTTTATACCTCACTAGTCCGTTCTTTATTAGAATACGCTCCAATAATTTGGAATCATAACAATGTAGGACATAATGATCAACTTGTTAAAGTTCAAAATAAGGCCCTCAGATTTTTATGTCATACATGTAATATTCAACGAACTCCTCACTCTGGCTACGATAATATTTTAAAACTGTTAAACCTAGATTCCTTAAATGCACGGAGACACTTATCATACAGTACGTTCCTCACCAAATTACTAAATAATGATATTGATGATTCATTTATATTAAGTCAATTAAATTTCAAAGTTAATAGCCACCACACTCGTAACAATCATTTATTTTATATTCCTCATTCATCTAAAAAGTTTACGTCATATGACCCCATAAATATTTTAATGTCTTCGGGAAATAGTTAATTATTTTATTAAACATTGAATGTATTTTTATTATTATTATCATTATCATTATTATTATTACTATTATTTGATATATTAATCTTTTCATTTTTTATTATGTTANATATATCATAATTTTAATTTTTAATATGTATTAGTTAGTTATTTTTTTTTTTTTTTAGGCGTCTTAAAGACCATTAAGGTCCATTACTGCAACAACAACATCCTTCCATTTTTCCCTGTCTCTTGACATTTCCTCCGCATTTTCCACACCAATCATCCTGAGGTCATCCTTGACTCTATCAGCCAACCGTTGTCTGGGTCTTCCTCGAGGCCGTTTTGTGTTTGGTTTCCATTTTGTTATGCTCCCCAGTACTCCTTCAGATCTCCAAACATGACCAGCCCATCTTATTCTGCTACTCTTCATAATTCCTATAATATCGGCTTCTACAAATAATTCTCTTAACTCCTCATTTGTCCTAATTTCAAATTCACCTCCTTCATTCTTTTTTGGTCCAAAAATTTTCCGAAGTATTTTTCTCTCCAAAACACCCAAATTCTTCTCATCCATTTTTGTGGTTGCCCACGTCTCACACGCGTATAATGCTATAGGTCTAATTAAAACTTTATACAATGTTGTCTTTGATCTTCTTGCGAGTAATTAGTTAGTTATATTATATTATATTACCGATATCATAATATTATATTATATCAGTACATATTTGTATTATATAATACCATTAGTTTTTTCACCTAGTTATTAAGTCGATTTATACACGATAATTAATATTTAATGTATATATAATATTGACGACCAGATGTCAACACACACACTCTTCCATTTTTTCTTCTTATACCCCGGCCTAATTATCCAGCGATTAGCCCAGAGCCCTTGAGCCGAGACGTATTTTGCTCTTTTTCCTGTGTTTTTTCTCTGCGTCAATAAATTACCGTCATTCTACTGGTATTTTGCTTCAATATTGTTACCTATTATTTATTGAAGAAATTCCATCCAAGTAGTATGTATATAATTATAAAATTTGCATTTCGTATTTGTTTCCTATTATTATAGGATGTAGTAAATGATCTAGGTAGTCAACGAGGTTATGTATTTAATCATTATATATACTACTTCCCCTTCCTATTTATTTATTAAAAAATCGCGCCTAGCTAAATTCTTAAACCCTTCCTCCTAAATTATATAAGGAAAATAAAAAAATATATATATTTATTAACTTACACCAACTAAAAAAAAAAAAATGAATTTAACTAATTTAACGATCTAAAAAGGATTCGTATAATTTAAATATACATTTTTATAATCCAAATGTCGATTAAGTAAAATAAATATAAAAATATGGACGTTTTTTAAAAATACTAAATAGCTCCTTACATTTTTATTCATTTGTTTTGACTTTAGCACAACACACGAAGCTATGTGCAAAAGCAAATTATAATTGCTCATATTTTTATCTTGTTTACCACACTCACAAATAGTAAAATTATTATTTTTATCATCATTATAAAATAATCGTAAATATAAAAATTATAAAAAAAATATTTAAATAATGGATTATCTATGATTAAATACTAATTATATAGATTATCATCCGATAAAAGTCCCAGTGACGTACCAATGCTATAAGTAAAATTAATATAATATAATGATGTCGATTAAAATTTAAAACCATTATGATTGGTCGTATAACACATTTGATAATCGCTTATATGTCACCACCCCTTATACTAATTCTAATGTCATTACTTTTAGATATACTATAAACTTTACTGTAGCAGTCTATATGTAAAACAAGAAAGGGAATTGGAATCGCTTACACACACATCTGACGTAATATTATTTCTCATATTTATAGGATATTTTCAGGGAAATTTTACAGAATATATTCGGCACGGATTAAGATCTATACATAATATACAATGCAACTGACGTCCGAAACGCAGGAAACAAACAATAACAATGTTATTTCTAGGTTACCAAATAACAAATAACAATAATACATATATAAAAATATGAAAATAATATCGCTAAAAAAAATGAATAATAATGAATAATGAATAATAATACAATAATATGTTTCAATTTAATTGTTATATTATTTGACTTTGATCGATGAATTTTAATTTGTTCATCTACCCATAACGTTTTAAAACTGAAAGTGTAAGCATTGCTTACACTGCTTTTATACACGCCACGTCACTGTTTTCAATTCATACCTACTTTTCGTACATTTTCCAGTTTTTTTTTTGGGGGGGGGGGTTTCACTTTTGTTGAGATACTACTGAGAAAATCGAAAATGTCTCCCCAGTCAGTATCCTTTTAGAAAAAGTACTATCATTGGACATCGGAGGAAAATTGCTGGTAGGAAAGATGTCAACAGAAAAAAAATCGGAATATTTTACTAATAAATTTTGTACATTTTACCGTTTTTCACGATTTTCCCATTAATTGGGAAAACTTCTGGGGAAATCTAAAAAATTAAATCCCTAAAATACCTTCCCAGTCAGATTTCCTTTCGGAAAAATTGCTATCATTGGAGCAAAATTGCAGGTAGAAAAGTTGTACACAGAAAAAAAAGACCATAATATTTTTTTACTAATACCTACATTTCGTACATTTTCCATTTTCCGATATTTTATCCCGATTTTTCCTAGTTATTATGAAAACCGATTAAAAAATCACAAAAATGACCTCTCAAAAGTACTATCTGGAAAACATCCCCTTTCAGAAATGGTGTCACGCGTATATATCTGAACAAGATTTCTAGTAGAATTATTGTACACAAGAAAAAAAAAATGAACATCTTTGTAAAACCATAAGTTTCTTCACTCCACTCAGAATCTAATGAAAAACTCGTACACATCATATTAAAAATCACTATGCACAGAATCTAAAATTAGATATTATAATACATAGAATGAAGCATAATATTTTAATGATCCATTTTATTAATATATCAAATGAATCAGCAAATTTTAATGGGATATTATGATACATATTGCATTACAATTACATCTTATAATATACGTATTAATATGCTATTATTTTAAACAATTCACGTAACATTTTAGTTTTAATAATTTTAACTTCATGTTTTACAGTTAAATTGCATGTCAAGTTATATTATTAGAGATAGGATGTTAATGACTTTTGTATTTTTTTTCTCTTGATTCTATAAAATGCCATCTTAGCTAAAAATTAATTCCATGTTTCCTTGAGTCAGAATATAATAATCATTTTTTGATTATTATACTTGGGTGAGAAAAAACTTAGGAAAACGTACAATTTTACGATTTAATTAATTTATAAAAACACGGACGATGTTTTTTACCAGAAAAAATGATTTAATCAAAAAGTCACAAGATACCTTTTTTGTTGCCTTTTTGATTTAATTTTCTATGGTATTATTTATAAAACTTTTGAGCCACTTTTGAGCTTTATGGAATTTTAATTTTTTTGCTGTAATTCGGTTATAAATACACGTATAGATTTGAAACTTGATAATTATATTGGACTTACCTATACGTAAAATTTCCAAAACCATTGGACGACTTTTTTTTTTTAATAAGTAATTTTAAATCAAATTTAAACGAAAATCGCAAAAAAATGACGGCACTTCAAATAATGTATTACCGAACTGCACTGGGAATCGACTTTCGTCAAGTAATGGTGTATCGTTACTTACAGATATAAATGAAATAACCTTGTGTATCCTACTTTCCCAACTTCTCACTTACATCAGTGACCGCTCCCATTCCCAGTATCAGCTCTTTTTTTGTTCTTTAACGTCATATTTTTATATTTTTACATAATTTTTTTGTAGTTTTTGTACACTGTTCGGCATTTATGCGTGCGCGAGTTTTTCCAAATTAATATGAAATAGAGTATACTTTTCTTTTTTTACCACAAAGTACAACTTATAATGAACCTCCAGTTAAATTTGCAAGCGTTTTTGCCAAACTTTAATTTAGCACCACCAGTTAAAAATACCAAAATTTGAAAAATTGTGTGAAAAAAAGTTTTTTTTTTTTGGCGTTTTAGCAGAAACACAAATTGTTTGTGATGATTAGTTATATCAAATAATAGGTATGTAACATCAATAATATCGATGCAGGCATAGATAATAAATTCTTCAGTCAGTGGCAAGGCGAAGGGAGTGATCGAGAGGAGGCCGCCTTTCAGTTATTTCAACGGGTGGTGGGTGCCACTGGGCGGGGGGTAACAATTTGATTAAATGTCACTTTGCCTTATTTATAACTATGCTTTATTATTACTTTCTTTCGCAGCGGTGTAGATAGTTCCAGGTAATTTTGGATGGGGTTCCGCAGTTTTAGCAGCAATAACAATATTAGCACCATCTCTAGCCGCTTTCAGGGCTATTGCTTTACCAATTCCACGACTACCTCCAGTAATGAACAAAGTCAATCCAGACAATTCTCTAAATAATACGTATTTAAAGTTAAGTATATTTAGGGGCGATCAAACGGTGGATAGGGGGAGGTATCCCCCTTTAAATAATTTTTTTTAATTATTTATAATAATGTAATTTTTAAGCATCCCCAGTGCTCATTTTTATGGTTAAATTGTGCATAAATTCAATTTCTGATATTTGAAATTTTTAAGTGTAGTGAAATGAAAAATAATATTTTCGAATAGGTTCCTTAGATTTTTCACAACACTAGGAGTATCCTATTCCTTTGACCAGTGCTACCCCTAGGTTTTTGCTTGACCCTGGGCAATGCTTTAATATAATCATAATAATTGTGTACCAATATAATAATATACAGCGTCCTATACTTATGTCCTATTTGTCCTTCTCTAGCGCCGGCACTGTCTGTGACAATACCAAATCTAGTTTTTCTAATAAAATCCTAGAGAACCTACATGTTTTAATGCAATTTATCTATTAGATAATTTGCTTTTTAACGTATTTTAATCGAAATTTGAACGGAAAAAGTCTGAGTTATTCTACTATAACTATTAAAGAATAATAATTGCTCGATTCAAAACAAAAATTAATCTATACACATGAAACAGTTGGAATCCAATCTCCATAAAATACTATTATCCTTAGTATTTAATTAAAGCAGAAAAACTCGAAAAACAATTCGTTCAAATTTCGATTAAGTGCATTAGGTGACCATACACGAGAGGATATTTTGACGGAATTGGTCTGTTGCGGATTAAATCCTTTAAAAGATCATACCATGTGTATAGTGTCCAAGGATTTAATCCGCTAAAAAAAATTCCGGCAGATTTAGTCCAATGGATCAAGTCTCTCGCTTCTCCACTAACAATCGGACCAGGTCCGGCGGATTTAGTCTAACAGATCAAGTAGCTCGCTTCTCCACTAATTAAAAAAAAATCGGGTCCGGCAGACCTTAATTAGACATTTTTATTTATTGATAATAATTTTTCTTTTATCATTATTTATTATTACCATACAATATTATATAGTTACTTAACAATGATTCGTTTACGATTTTTTTTTATATTCCAATTATTATTTTTTAATAGTTTGTATTAACTTTTTTTTTCGAACTCGTGTTTGTTTTAAATATACGAGTATAAAATAATTTAACATACACATAATAACATAGTTTAGAAAAAACAATTAAAAACAAAAGATAAAAGGGTAAGAAGACTTTTTTTTATATTAATGGGCACATGTGAGGCAAGGTTTATAGATAATACAAGGTGCCTGCCTCATAGTCATATAAACAAAACCAAAACCCACACACCATACTTTATCTAGTGACGTCATTGTAGTATACAATTACAGAGAAATATAGCGGCGTGCCTAGGAATCGTGTACAAATATGAAATAAATAACAAACAAATAATTTATTATGTTTGGAATTTAAATGTATGCTCTGTCTTATAAATTGTCTTTAATTATTTTTATGAACACATACTTTTTTTTTAAACTAAATATGCCATTTACGTAATTTGATAGTACACAAAATCTTTAGAATGAAATCTGCTGAAATGTACTGAGACATATTTAGATTCTGAGTGTAGTGATAGTAAAAATAATTTTAAATTGCCTAAATAGCTTTTAAATGTATTTTAATAATTAATAGACTTCACTAAACTTTTTATTTATTATTAATATAAATCTAAACATAATATATTTATTATATTATAGTATACAGTGTATGCTCTATACACTACACACTATATATGTATTATACTAACATAAATATGAAAGTATATAATATAATAATAAATATTTTACATATGTACCCGTGAAATTAATAAACGATATATTGGATCTGTCACCATTTTTTGTTTCCCTATAGTTATTTCTGCAAGTAGCAATAGCACACCATGAACCATCTTTTGGCTTTAATATATTTTATTCCATATTCATACAAAACGTACAAGCAAATAAGATGAAAAAAATATGAATATTCAAATAATTAATCAAGTTAAACAAAAGGAAATATGAAAATGTTTACGTTGTACACAATACAATGTTGTTAAACAATAGTTGATACTACAATGATGTAAGTGGACCAGTTCTCTCACTCCTATTTTTTTGAAATTTCCGTATGAGGCAGCCTGTATTCTTTATAAACCTTGCATATGAGAACTTAGTCTGACGGAACTAATCCATCGAGGTCATACGAATTTGATTTGTCGGACCAAATCCGTTATAAAAACAGCTCGTGCATGGCCAGCTAATACGTAAAAATGTTAAAAACAAATTACTAATTTTCACCAAGACATGCAGATTTTCATTTAAAAAACTAATATTGTTCGGTTACCAGAGACGAAATTCTATACAATTACTTCACAATATTTAATGTTGTGAAAAATCTGAGTGTGAAAAAATATCGTCGTTCACAGAACTTAAAATTTCCAAAAAACAGAATTAGAATTTATGTATAATTCAGCCATACAAATGTGATGAGCATGCTTAAAAAATCATCCTGTATATTATATTATATCTTAAAATACATAAAAAAAAACTAATAATAATTTTTAAAAATTATCCTTATCCTTTCCCCATGACAAAATCATTAATTGATCACGACCGAGCGTAATGTATAATTTAAATATAAAATAAAATAAATACATAATATAATAGTTAACATACCCTGTATTCAGCATAGTAAATTGGTCGTTGCTTTATGAATAAATTTCAAAATCAAATGTTAATAAATAAAAACTCCAATTTTTATGTAGTTATGAGCGGATAACAGTGATTTGACAAAAATAATCATCCAATACGGACCATATGAAAGTATTGTAAAGAACAAAGTAAATAAGTGAACTATGAAGATGATTAACGAATAAGGTCATATATATACAAATTTGTATTAAATTGAAAACGGATGGATGTTCGTGTGCACTATTACAAAAACGTTTACAGACAAAGTCTATTTAAATGCCAATTGATAATCACATACTATGTTCATATTCATAGTTTTTTTAATTGTTTTTCTGACTGTACAAATTTATTCCCTCTCCTGGATTATAAAAGTAAATTGAACTACGTATGAATATTATAAAATTATATATAAATATATAAAATTGTAGAGTTAGTTGTTTCTTACATTTTCTAATTAATACTTTCCAGGATAATGAGTGTACCCACTTAAATGGATTACTCAATATAATCAATGGTATTATAATGATGAAGTAGTATATAAATGCGGGTTCTGTGCTAGATTTTTAAAATCCAATTTAGATACTTAACATCAGAAAATATTTAACAGAAATTATAGTTTGATTTTTATTCCCTGATCTTCACTCGCATTGTTTTCTTTTCTGTTCTTTGTTCATATACTTTAATTTAATAATATTTTAAAAAAATTTAACTTAATAATATTTAAAAAATTACCTTCTAATCTCTATTCACATACTTTAATTTAATAATTTTTTTAAATGGATAAATATAAATTCGTTCTTCAGAGATGCGATTAAATAACATTAAACCTTCAAGGTTTGATGTTAGTAAATATATTATAATAATATTGATTAATTATTAATTTCTTTTCTTTTGTTATAATAGGATGGTGAACTACACCATGTATTTCACATATATTTCTTTCCTTTTATTATAATACTATTTTCACATAAACATTGAGCTTGGAACAGTTCTCTTTGAAAAATAAATATTAAAAAAGATTTGATTCTATCTTCAAATCGATAGTGATTAAGAGGTCCCATTCAAACCACATATACCTAATAATATTTTTTATGTTATTAAAGTATTATATACCTACCTATAATATAACATTACAATTTGTATTGTTAATAAATTTATTTCTATTTTTTGGAATATAACCAAATTTCTAATATGTTAACAAAGATTGTATTTTGAAGGTACATGTAAAATTTGAACTCAATCGATCTAGTAGAATCCAAAATCAAAAATTTGATCACATACTCTAAAAGATTTGTTGAGCTTTAATAGGGATAGGTGAAAACAGAATTGAGCTACGATGATTTCTCGCTGAAATATTCAAACTCAAAAATTCCCAAAATTGGACTGCCCAAAAATCTATTTTCAGTATGTAGTGTAAATAAGTTCAAAAATAACATTGGTCTTTGTTTCACATTTTCTGATTATTATTGAATGAGTTAGAACATTTCAAAAATTTCCCCTTCCTAAATATATACTATTTATAAAATTAATCATTATATCGAAATAATATTAAACTTATATAACTTAAATAGATTAATTTCATTTTATTTTAATATCCTAGTGTTCTGGTTTAGATAAATGAGAATAATAAAAATAAAAAACGAACTGTAAGGTTAGAAAATCCTATATTTGGAGAGAATTTATTCATTGGTGTTTGAGGTTTAACTATTACCAAGTTTAATAAACATTGAAACAGATTGTTTTCTAAAAATTGGAGGTAACATAAAATCAGGAAAATATACTATAGATGAATTAGGGTAGAATATCCGATTGATTGAGTTATTAACGAATTCCATCGGAACGCGTTACTAGTAATCAGAATCGCGCAATACCCCTACTCTATCATCGACCTACTGTTGACGGCGCGGCGACGAATTTAACCATTGTGCCGCTTTAAGCACTAAACAAACTGCCGCCTTTTAATAAAAATATTTTTCTAGTCTAGAAATGTAAAGCATACAATTATAGTTGTTTCTTTTATTACTTAAAATGTTAATGATGTAAAATAAAAATATACAGCTGTTATAAAAATGCATACATACATTCATATGAAAAGCTTAATTATAAAAAATATAAAATATATAAAGATATAAAATATAATGATAAAAAACATGGTAGTAAAAAATGATTAAGTAGTTCATTTTTAAATTATATTCAAAATTAAATAGTTAGTGCCTAGTACTCGTCGGCTTTCTGCGCGACTTTTGAATCGCAAAATTATCTAATATGGCATCAAAGTCCATTTTGTTCACTAGTTCAGTTTCAATTACTAATAAACTCAGTGAATTTAGTTTATCTCCTTCCATACTTGCTCAAATAATTTTGTATGCGTTTTAACGTAGAAAAAGATCTCTCGGCTGAATAATTAGTTATTTCCATACATAAAAGCATACGTAGAACAAAATCTACGTTAGGAAAAACTTTATCTAAATTATTACCGCGTAAGAGTATTGATAACTCGATAACTCCATTAAAAATTGTATTTATACTTTGAAGATATGCTCAAAAATGAATACATTCACAAATGAATTATCGTTATAAAATTCTTGAAGCTTTTTGAGTTATTGCTTTCAAATATATTAATATAAGCAGCGCATCTCTTTTCAATTTCACTCTTACACGATCCAGTATGATAAAATATGCTTCTATTTTTAACTTATCACTTCCAGTCATACGGACTTTATTTTCTTTTATCTTGCCTGCTTGAAGTTTGTTTTTTAGTCCTTACTTTATCAAACTCGTACTCTTCACTCTTTATTATTTTTGCCAAAATTACATATTCATTAAAACATTTATCATTTCAAATAGATGTTATAAATTAATTAAAGATTTATAGAGTTTGACTATTTTTCCCAAATCTGTGTATACGTTTTGAAGCTCTTTACTTGTGCTATTAAAACGCGCCAATATTGCATTCCAAAATACAGTCATAAAAACTGTTTTAAAACGGTCAAGTTGACGTCTTAAGCCAGCTGCTTTAGAACGCGTCGGCGCCTTTTCAAAATCATCTTCTTCTAATAAACTTAAACTTCTCATAACACTGTCATAGTTTTGATATAAGCTGTCACAAGCTTCATGCCGAGCAGACCACCTAGTTTCATCTGCTCTTTTAACAACTTTTTTACCGAGCGTTAGGCTGGACTTTAAAATATCCCATCATCTAGTAGATGCAGAAAAAAAAAGAATAAAGATGTTGAATAGTGTTAAACAATGATAACCCTTCTTTCACGCATTCAGCTACACAAGTCCCAACCAAGTTAAGCGAGTAAGCAGCACATGGTACATAATACGCGCAAGGATTTTTTTTTACTATCCTTGTCTGTAAACCCGAGTAAATTCCAGACATATTGGCGGCGTTGTCGTACGACTGGCCCCTACAGTTATTTATGTCAATATCATTTTAGTTAAAAAAGAATAAACAGAGAATAAAAAATAACACATTTTTACTACGAGAATAAATTAAAAAATTTCGAAGCTGCTGTTCTCCATTTAAAAGTTTCCAATAAAATACAGTTTCCGATATTTTTTTTAAGCATCACGTTTTACTCCCAAACTTAAATTTTGTTGACAATAAATCATAGTCAATATTTTGTTTTATTTCTTTTTGTAATAAGCGATCAATTGTCAAATCATTAATTACCCATTCTGCAGGATCCTCGCTGATTAAATCGACTATTGGTACATCATTTTTTTTTAATAGTATTATTTGAAAAACTTTCTGAGGATGTGACGTTTTGAATATAAGTGATGTCCGTAGTATTGGTACCCGAGTTTGAACAACTAGCGAGCGTTTTTTGTGTAGTGTCAACTTCATTTAAAATAATGTTTGGTTTAAAAAAAGAATCTAATTTTGGGGTTTTTCGCACTAAGTTATTTCGTTTATTTTTTTTGTTTCCGCGATTTTTTATACTTATGGTCACTCAAACATGATCGACCATCACTCATTTACTAGTTTTATTAAAAAATTCACAAATTAAAATAAAAAAAACCCAACCTAACAGTGCCTGAGGGCCACAATGGATACATATTATGTGCTTCTCCCGGAATATAAATTTTGTGTAAGTACTAACGTCAGGAATTACATTCGGATGCCTTTGAAAAACATCAATAGAGACGGCATTTTTTAATCAAGGCCAACTTGCAAAACACCTTGATTGTCTATATGTATAGATGCAAGCGAAACAGCTTACTCTTTAATGATACTTGAGCCGCCCTTGACTTTAACATTTCAATTTCTATTCTGAAAAGTTGTTCAAAGTCGTTTCAAATTATTTTCTCATTTCGAAGTTCCACCTGTTTTGGATCAATATTCTCCCCAACCAGGTAAGTCTGAAATCTGGTAATCGTCCTTTTTAGCAGACCTCTATGAGTGACCAATTTGCCTGTTCACTCATTTGACGGTTATGTGTACGTAATTACAGCTCCAAATAATAAAAAAAAGGGATACGTAAGTATATAAGCTTCTGTCTACGATTGTATAAACAAACATTGATACGATAGCAATACGATTATTCAATTGCTTTTCGATAACGTTAGAACTCGCAACCTTATTGATTAGACCTCACCCGGATTTTCTCTACACGTACCAAATGTCCAAATATAATTCCATATGGAGTGGGTAACTAGTGATTAAATTATGCTTAATCTAAAGATTCTAATGGAATAGTTATGTAAAGGAATTTATTTTACTACTTTAGACAAACATATTATGTAACAAATTTAACGCTTTATATAATGTGAAATAAATTATAATAATTTTAAATATTTTATATTTAAGGATTAAATGACAAAATTGAATTACCCTATTTGAATAGTATGGAGATTGGAATAATAATATTGTTGGAAGTATATCTTCAGCAGAGTTTTGTATACAATTACAATACCATATTATGTACATTTTCAAGAAAGAGATTTTGAATACCTTGAAAGTATTTAATTTGAAATTGATGTTCAAAATTTATTTCATGTAATTTCCATTATTAAACAAAATATTTATACATTTATTAATATATAATAATAATTTATACCTAACTATTAACTTTTTATTATAGCTCAGTCTTGAATAAAAAATAACGATTGATATGTAAAATTTGTATATAAAATAATTAAATAAAATATTATTTTGAGCTATAAAAAATGTATAAAATGTAGGTTTAATATAAAAAATAAATGATTACAAGTATGTAATCTATTTTTTTGTATTTTATACAAAATTAAGTGGTATACCTTTACATAACCATTAATCAATAATATTTTAAATGTGTAGAACATGGTACCTAGAACTTGCTGATACTCTTTTTATTTGGCTTGTTTAAATATATTGTAATACAAACTGTTTATTCAAAAACTGTAGAAACATACGAGTATGACTAATACTTGGCTTTTAATAATTTCATCAATTTCTCCAATTTCATAGCTTTCATCAAACTACCGGAAATCTTAAGTTTACCAGACATATAGGCATCCCCAGCTTTTAATTTTCCTAAAAATTAAAAACATTGAAAAAAAAAACTAAATAAAACTAACACAATAAAAGTATCATTAAATTCAAAACTCATTTTTTACAATGCTCATTGTATTCATTCCAAATCATTGCAGATATTCGCTTTATATTAATTTAAAACTAGGAAAATTAAATTGAAAAATGTATTATGATACTTTTATTTTGCCGTTACTTAACACGTTTCAAACTAACCATTGAATAATTCTTCAAGTTTTTCAGCTTCCATTGTTAAAGTAGCATCTGGTTTTGTTGTAGGTTTTCCTTTACCAGCTAATCCATCTCCAGTCAGATCTACATAATATGTTCTGTCTTCCTCTCCTAAGAAGATAGTATTAATTTATACAAAAATACAGATGATAAAAATAAAAATTATTAACTTTGATTTTTAATAGTATTTAATAGTATATAATTAATAGCATAAAAACATACTTAATACTGTTTATTTATATTGATTAAAAAAATATCTAAATTTATAATAACCTTTCACTACAAATAAGAAACAAGCATTTGTTCCTTTGGCTACTTCAGGAGTTAAATGTGCATCAATTTTGGTAAATATTTTTTCAATATTATCTTCTCCTGATTTTTTTTTAGCTATTTCTTTTCCTGTGTTAAAACCATCATGAGGAGCTTCATCCAAAAAGAAATCCATCATTAAATCACCCTTATAAGCTGAAATAAAATTACTGGTTTAAATATTAAAGAAAAAATTGCCTAATAATAATATTATATAATTACAAAAGAACAAAATATTCACAAATACATTATACGTAATAATTTAAAATGTAGTAATTATGAATATAAATAATTATATTGGTTTAATTTTATCAATTACTACTAACTCGGGTCATTCAAGTATTGACTCAAATCAGTAACACCCTCATGTTGTAATACTTCATCATCAATTAAAAACTGACCAGTACAATTTTCGACTGATCTACAGAGTACAGCATAAGCTGCATCAGCCACAATTTCTGGTTTACGAGATAATTGCTTTGCATTACCAGAGCCAGATAACATTTCAACAGCTGCAGTGTATATTGCTTTAAAAAGAAATATAAAAGAGTATTAAGATATTTTCAAGCATTATTTTCCTTAGTATTATCGCTCTTTTATCTATTCACAAAAATAGGTAAATATAATAAAATTCTAGTCTATTCTAACAATTCTTGCACTATAGAATCTATACAGAACTGTTCTTTATAGATATTAAAAATATTTTAAAAGGTAATTTGAAAACTAGTAAGAAGAAATGTTGGTGCTTTAACTTAAAAAAGTTAAAAATTAACTGGATTATTTTGGTATGAACAATATAATTCTAGGAAAAACTGCTGTCAAATAAAAACTTAAGCAAACAAATGGAAAAGTAAGAATTGTATTTTTTTATGGTTATTAGTAATTTCAGTAGTAAAAAGTGGAAAATAAAATTTTTTTTAATGTATTAAAATTATTTGGTATTATGCAATATTGAGCTTTAATAATAATTTTTATTCCAACTATAGGTTGGTTTATCCTTAAAAATATCACATATTTGCTTTACATTGTGAAATTACAATTGTAATTATTTATTACCAGTTCTTGGCCATAAAGCGTTTACAGCAATGTTATCTGCTCTAAGCTCAGCAGACATTCCTAAAACACACATTGACATTCCATATTTGGCCATTGTATAAGCAACATGGTCACGAAACCAATTAGGGTTCATATTTAATGGAGGACTAATATTTAAAATATGTGCATGTTTGCTTTTTCTTAAATAAGGTATACACAGTTTTGATCTATAAAAAAATATATATCAAAACAAAAAGTTTAACTCTAAATAGGTAAGTAAAATATTACACTAAAAATGTTCCTCTTGTATTGATATTATGCATAAGATCATATCTTTTCATATCAGTGTCTAAAGTTGGAGTTAATGAAATTGCACTTGCATTATTTACAACAATATCGATACCACCAAATTTACTAACTGTCTTATTAATAGCATCGACAACTTGATTTTCTTCTCTTACATCCACAACACAAGGTAAACAATTTCCTCCAGCTTCTTCAACTGAAAAAAAAAATTGTATTGAGAACTTACCTATTAATTATAAATAAAAGCAATAATTTTCAATGTAATATTTTAATGAACTAAATTAATTAAATTTTAAATTTTAGAGTTTGGATGAAGATATTGTATTAGAAATTTACACCTTAATAGAGAGAGTTTAGAGTGAGGTGTCACTTCCGTGATTTTTTAATAATTGTGCAAAACCTAAAATAAACGTAGAAAGAACAGGAAAATTTAAGAAAATTGTGCTTTTATTTTATTATTTTTCAATTTTGTTTTGTTGAGTGGAGTGGCTCCAGTTTATGATACTATGATGTTTATTTTTTTTTTCTATAGACAACTTTTCTACCAAAAATCTTGCTCTAATTTACAAATGTAGCACTTTTTCTGAAAGGAAATAGGACTGGGGAGGTACTTTAAAGAGGTCATTTTTCGATTTTCCCAAAAGTTTTCTTAACAGATGTAAAAAACCGAAAATAAAAAACTGAGGAAAAACAGGAAAATATACGAAATGTAGGTATTAGTAGAAAAATATTATGGCATTTTTGAACTCCGCTCAGAGTAGTTTTTCATTAGCAATTAGTAACCATTGTATAAATTAAATTCTTTTCTATATAATACCTTCCTAACTTCTCACCTACATTAGTGGTCAATCCATCATGCGAATTATGTCCATCTTTTTTATTTTTAGAATTAGGGGATAAAATCAAACAAATAAGAGTTGATTTTAAGAGGACTTAATGAAAAATTCATATTGTTTTCAAAATTCTTATCACTTCACTAAACCAATTGGTACAATGAAAATAGAACATGTCTAAATTCCTATGTTGCACGTGTGTAAGACAAAGACAAAAAATATCACTGCTTCTAATTTCTTTAACACACGATTAATAAATTAGCTGTTAAATCAAATCAAAATTGCAGAAAACCTATTTACTTTTAGGTGGATATTTTATCTTAAGAATGAAATGCTATTCAGCAATATACAAAGATTATGGCTATATATAATCATTGAACATTGACTAAAAATATAAATAAATATATTTAAGAGAATGATATACTTGTATTTTTTGTTTCAATCTTACCAATGCACAATATAGTTAAAACATGCTTAGGTAGACTACACAGAACTTGCTTAATTTTGATTTTAGAGTAAAAACACCCAAAATAAAATTTAAAGAAAACAATATATATTCTGGAGGACGAGACGTTGCATTTTTTTCATTTTCTCTAAATATAACAGTGAATTTAACATTTTTAAATTACAGTTTTTTCAACATATTTTAGTTCACTTAAACTTTTGAAAAAAATAATTTTTTTGAAAAACGCAATGTCTGGCCCTCCAGAATATTGTTCTCCATCAATTTCATAACTGATAATTTTACTTTAAAGTCAAAACTAAGTGAGTTCTATGTAGTCTACGTAAGCAAATTTTTACTATATTGTGTGTTAGTAAGACAGAAAGAACAAATGCATGCATGCTTTTATTAAAAGTATACAAGTTACAACAAATCATTATTTCAATTTAGTTATAAAGATAAGTTGGAAACATAAAAAATCCAATATAATGGATGGCTGTGTCCAGAGGAGGTCATATGGGTAGATATTGAAAAAGGAGAAGGGTTTTGGGTAGAGTAAGAAGGAACTACTCTAAAGTGTATACTAGAAAGAAGTTACTAAAGAAAATGTTGTCACCTAGCATTTGATAAGAAGAAAGTGTCAAGGTGTAGGTCTTTAATTGGAGCATAGCCGTGTAAAGTAATTGGGATCTTTCATTTAAATGCTATATAATCAGTTAAAAATGTATTTTTATAAATTTTGTTAATTTTATCGGCTAATTTTCATTTATGGTATTTAATGACTATTCAACATAAGAAAATAATAGATTAAAAATAAAAATTTTATCATTAAAAATAACATATTTAAAAAAATTATTATATTGTCTTATTTTCCAATTTAAAAATTGTGTAGTCCTATTTAGTTCTTTTCTATGTTTATGGCCTTAGATAGATTCAATTCAACAAGCTATTTTTTTTTTTTTAAATATTTCAATATTTTATTCATTATACTTAGATCAATATGCAGTAATCAAATTGTATGATTATTTACCAAGAACTCATGGGTTGTTTAAGCTGCAAAAGAAATATCTTAAGTTTAGATAAGTTGTATAAAGATCCAAATAAATAAGTTCTTGCAAGCCTAGGAAAATTGTACTTTATTATCAACTTATTACATCATTGAACACTAATTAGTAGATAATTAACTATTGATTCAATGTTTAATATACCTACTTAAATTCATTAAAATCAACAATATTTTAAAAATATATATTAGTGTTTATGAAGTTAAAAAAAATCTAAAACTTAAAAAGTTAATACTATTTATGTAATCAAATATTAAGAAAATGGGTATAATAGTTAAATAGAACACTTTCGATAAAAATTCAATAAATTTAATTACAGTATTTACAATTTTATTTTTAAAAATTACTTTCTTTAGCAGCTGTATAGATGGTTCCAGGTAGTTTTGGATGAGGTTCGGCAGTTTTAGCAGCAATAACAATATTAGCACCATCTCTAGCCGCTTTCAGGGCTATTGCTTTACCAATTCCACGACTACCTCCAGTAATGAACACAGTCAGTCCAGATAATTTTCTAAATAACACATATTTTAATGTTACGTAAAACATAAAATAAATAAATGTTTACCATACCCCGTGTTTAACATTGTAAATTTGTATATGGTTGTTTTATATAAAATAGTTTCAAAGCTAAATGATAATAATTAAAAGTTCCAGTTTGTAGATGATTTATGTGATCACAATGATCAACTAACCTGCACTATGTACTATATAAAATGACCTAATCTCTAAAGCACGGAAGTGAATAAATTTTAAGTTTTTACAAATATATAAATGGTAGAGCAACATCTAATGATAACTCACAGGTGATTAGTAAATGACCATGACCTAGAATAAATATTGTCTTGTATGGTACAATACAAGGTGGATTAAAAATTATTATTATTATTATTATTAATCCACCTTGGTACACAATACATGGACAATAAATAGACGTAAGTTCCGCTGGCAATATTTGATAAGAAAGCCCAGTGGTTCCTAAAATCCGTAAACATTGCAATTAAGGCGTAAGATGGGTAATAAAAACGCAGAAATGCACGAGGAGAAGTCAGATAAAACGGCACTAATAAACAAATCATATTATGTAGTGACGGCGTGAGCATGATACGGCCGAGGTGGCTATCTTTGGCTCTCGATAAAAAATACAACAATATCCGGGGTAATAAATTGTATTTCACTAAAATAAAGCTAGAGAGCTATACTTTTGAAAAATATGATCATATAAGCTCCTTTCGGGTTGGAACATTTTTTAAGATGAGTTTATTGAACAAAGTTAAATAATTAGGTTTATACATTCTAAAAAATTATGCTGCATTGGAATTCAGCAACATTAATATTTCTTATAAAGCTGTTAGTAACATATGTAGTGGAGTATTGTGTAATGAAAATAATAAAACTAAAAATAATTTAGTTAAGGCATTAAACAATACGAATTCAGCTCTAAGAAAATACTTGGATAACAACAGTAAATTAGAGGATAAAAAATCTATTTGCACAGTGCTGGAAAATAAGGGTTAGACAAAGAAAGATTTTTGTAAATTTAATAGAAAAGTTCTTGATTAGTTTTAAAATATATTATACATAGAATGTAGTTTTTTAAATCAAATAAAATTACTCAAAAGATGCAAGAAATATTTTGTAGAAAGTGAATCTAATGTCGTTGATGAAATTTCATAATTTTAATTGCCTAATAAAAATGTTTATAATTTGTTAAGTTTTAAATGACAGAATGAAATATCAACAACATAATTTTATTATTGGATCTTATTATAGAGTTATATGAATTATATGTGAGTTATTTCTAATGAAATATCATCTTTATATAGAAATCAAAATATAAGGTTAACATGAGCATTAAGACTCTTAGCATACTTGTAATTATTGTTCTGATAAAGTAAAAAAAGTGGAATTTTTCAGATGACAATCTAGTATTCATATGAACAACATTTTGGGACAACAAGTTGGGAAACTTCAACAAGTTTTTTTTTAACAAATAAATAAAATTTAGAAAACACATAATTTCTAACGAAGTCTTAACATAAATATATTATAATAATATAATATTAGTTAGGATATTTTGAGCAGCAACCTTTAGCAATACGGAAGAAAAATTTTTGTAGAATTGGTGACAAAAAAGAATTCTAACAATAACAACGACGGTGTTGACTACTTAACTGCAGGTAACCTAATATTTTATTATATTATAGAAGAGTTGATAATCCAGTATAAACTGTATACCTACTTTTGATGATGACCCGTACTAGGTGACTGTTAAGATAATGTTACATTTAATCAGTTTATATTACAATAGTAATAATTTAATTCAGTACCAAGAATCTAAAATACTGTGTCCCCAAAAAAAATTGTGTGTCCCAAGTTTTATATCAAGTTTTTAATTTTAATTTTAGAAATTAAAAACAATTTGGAATTTCAACGTATAAAATTAATTTTCAGAAAAGGTGCTACACTCATACATCGGAGCAAGTTTTCTAAGATCAAAGTGGTCTAAAGTATAAAAAAAAATGGGGGGGGGATACTGGAGTTGGAAGCAGCCACTGTTGTAGGTGAGAAGTTGGGAAAGTAGGATACATAAGGTTATTTCATTTATATCTGTAAGTAACGATAAACCATAAATTAACGAAAAACGATTTCGAGCGCAGTTCGGTAATACATTATCTGAAGTGCCGTCATTTTCTTTTGCGATTTACGTTTAAATTTGATTTCAAATTGCTTATTAAAGAAAAAAAGTCGTCCGATGGTTTTGGAAATTTTACATATAGGTAAGTCCAATATAATTACCAAGTTTCAAATCTATACGTGTATTTATAACCGAATTACATCAAACAAATTAAAATTCCATAAAGCTCAAAAGTGGCTCAAAATTTTTAGAGATAATACCGTAGAAAAATAAATCAAAAAGGCAACAAAACAGGTATCTTGTGACTTTTCGATTAAATCATTTTTTCTGGTAAAAAACATCGTCCGTGTTTTTATAAATTAATTAAATCGTAAAATTGTACGTTTTCCTAAGTTTTTTTTCACCCAAGTGCTTTTATTTAAAAAACAGCGCTGAAAATCAAAAAATAACCTCTCTATGTACAATCTAGACAACTTGAGCTTTCAGAAAAAGTGAACAGAAAAAAGGAGCAAGTTTTCTAGAAAAAAACGTGTCCACAGGCTAAAACAAAGAAAGAAAAAAAATGAATATCTTAGTAAAACTAGAAGCCCCTCACTACGCTCGGAGTCTAGTTTTAGGTGTTGGGTAGACAACTTATTTAGCTATTAACAGTTCAATTTCAGGAGTTCAATAGGCAATATTATATACGAAATTGGGAACCATTAGACATTCTTATCATATATTGACAGCGATACATACGTGATAATAAAAAACTACATCTATTATCAATGAATATAATTATGGTATTAATACAGAATACAATCTGATAAGTGATAATGTTTGTTTTGGGTTTGGGCGATAAGACGCCATACCACATGCGTCTGAATAATATTTGAAATGTTTTCGTAATATTCAAAAATTTCGTCAACCGTCTTCGGTAGATTATTTTTTGGTACCGTTTGGATTCTAGACATGGCGAAATCGAGACGTTCGACGGGAGCGGTAATAAAATACCGTACATGCGACACCTGCAAATCGACGTTGTACTTTACCGACTTAGAGGCACATTTCTCAGACTACTGCCCTCCGAAAACTGAAAACTGGTCTCAGGCATACGTGAGCGATGGTCGTCGTTTTTACTCGTACGCAAAACAGTACACAAAAGGTACCCTTTTAGTCATATATTTTTTAAAAAATTGCAGATCATAATACTTAATTTATAGTTTATGGTTATGTTGTAGATGACGAATACGCGGTTGGTGATGATAGTGTTGTAGTTCCCATAGCAGCCATTCAGTTGTGTGGTTTTGTACTTGGTGAACCGGTTATCGTGAGGTGTGGTCCCAAAACATTTGTAAAACACATTTGGCCGTCAGACGATTTATCCCTTTCAAATGTGTACTTCTCTAAAGAAGGTTGTTACTCAAAAATACAAATAAATAATAATATTAATTTTAATTCAAATTTATTGTTTTTTGTTTTACAACCATCAATATTTATATTATTATAGTTTTCACATTAGAATTTGATCAGTTGGTACATATTTCTATAGAACGTTTCAAAATTATTCCTAGTGAAGCTCAAAATATTGAAATATCTTTGTCTAGCAATGTTCAGTTTCTGGGCAAAGAATTTGTACGCCATTTATTGACTCATGTTTCCAATAAATATGAAGGACGAATCATCAAACATTCTGACTTCTTGTGTTTTGAGTTTTATGGTCGTAATCTATCTTTAGAAATATCCAAAATACAAACATTTCCCAATATCGAACTTAATGAACAATTACAGAATATGAATATAAATGATGACGAAGAAAAATTTGTTCATATTTCATCTTCTACCACTTGGAGTATAAAAAAAAATCCCAATGAAGATACTGTAAATTACCCAATATCCAATGTTGGTGGATTGTCTGATATTTATGAAAAAGTAATTAACATTATACAAAAATCGAAATATCAAAGTAAGCATAGTAGTGCTTTAGTATATCAACCAAATAATTATTGTTTAATATGAACATTTGTTTTTTAGATGTGTCTGGAATACTTTTTTATGGTATTTCTGGAACTGGAAAAACATTGTTAGCAAAAACAATTGCTTATTCATTAAAAAGATATGTAGTTGAAATTAAAGGTTGGGAAATTTTAAGCAAGATATATGGACAGTCTGAAACTAAATTGAAACTGTTTTTTGAAGAAGCAATTATTAATTCACCTAGTGTTATCCTAATTGATAAACTTGAAATATTAAGCAAATCCAATGATTCTTCAGACCTTGAAAGGAGGATTATTAATACAGTGCAAAATCTTTTCGATCTACTGAAGTCAACAAAACATAAAGGAGTTGCCGTAATAGGTACTACTAGCAATTTAAGTTCTATCGATAGCAATTTACGTAGACCTGGAAGGTATGTTTAATATATACATAATGCACCTCATACTATTTTTATCACATAATCTCAATGTTCAAAAACAACTTTATTTTAAACTTAGGTTTGACTATGAAATTGAATTACCAGTTCCAAATGAAATTCATCGTGAAGATATTTTAACAAAACAATTATCATGCATTAATCATGAAATAAGTGAAGAAGAAATAGCTTTAATTGCATATCGAGCTCAAGGATTTGTGGGAGCCGATTTATTAGCTGTAGTTAACCGCGCACTCACTGAAGCAGCAATTAATAACAAAAATGTCACTTATAAGCATCTTTGTACTGCTGTTACACAAGTAAAACCTTCAGCAATTAAAGAAGTGTCGGTTCAAGTGCCCAATGTAAGTTTTTAACATAAATCATTGACAGTACCTGTGTTAAATCTATTATTAATTATAACTTAAGGTTAAATGGACAGATATAGGTGGGCAAGACGATATAAAATTAAAACTCAAACAAGTCGTTGAATGGCCTCTTAAACATCCAGAAGCTTTTAAGCGCATGGGTATTACCCCTCCGCGTGGTGTTTTACTTTACGGGCCTCCTGGTTGTTCTAAAACAATGATTGCCAAAGCTGTGGCAACAGAGAGCCACTTTAATTTCATTTCGGTAAAAGGACCAGAACTTTTCAATAAGTATGTTGGGGAATCTGAACGCGCTGTCCGAGAAACTTTTATGCGAGCTAGAAATGTGGCTCCTTGTGTTGTGTTTTTTGACGAATTGGATGGTTTAGCAGGGGAAAGAGGGACCGGAGATAGTGGTTCTAGTGGAGTTCACTCAAGAGTTTTGGCCCAACTATTAACAGAGTTGGATGGAGTTCAACCCTTAGGAAATGTCACAATTTTGGCTGCGACTAATAGACCGGACCTCATAGATTCTGTAATTATAATTTTTGATATTCTTTAAAATTTTATTTGAAAATTAATGTTTATTTTTTTTTTTATTAGGCTCTTTTGAGACCTGGGAGATTAGATCGTAAAGTTTATGTTCCATTACCAAATAGTACTACACGTTTAGAGATATTGAAACTTAAGCTTTCAAAAATGCCAACCTCGACTGATGTAGATATAAATAAATTGGTTGAGCTCTCTGAAAACTATTCTGGTGCTGAAGTAGGTTAAAACTTATATTGGTATGTTTTTTATAAACTAATTTTAATAATATCATGAATAGGTAATATCAATCTGTCATGAAGCTTCATTGAAAGCTATGGAAGAAGATATAAATGCAGATAAAGTAGAAATGCGTCACTTTGAAGTATCATTTCAATCATTAAGTCCTCAAACACCATTGTGGTTATTAAAAATATATGATAAATTTTCTGGAATCCAAAGGTAACAAAACAATGTTTATTGATTAAAATTAATTTCATAGAAATAATTTTAAGGCGCTTAAATGCTTACATAGTAGTTAATATAACAAATTATGAGACACAGTGACATAGGGAAGATGCACAAATGGGGAAGTGAATCTAGACTACATTAATGGAATGTCCTTCACTATGGCAGTCAACAATGTTTTTTCAGTCGAATTTGTCTCTCAGTTTTCCTTTGAATAGTACAGGCATTAATGATAAAGTAGCAAATACTGCTAAAAGTAATATGGAAGACCATGACCACAAACTGGTTGTAGAAGTGAGCTCGTGTAGGGTTTTTCCAGCTTGTACAGCCAGTACAGATGGAACTGCTACTCCTAGAATTTAAAAACAAATATGTTAAACTATATTAAATACGGGAGATAATAATATTATTTTTATTTTTACAAGTTGATTGTCACAAAACCAAAACTCTATGTATGCGTCTAAATTTCTCTGAACTCATTGGACCCAATTTAATTTAATCTAACCTTGAGTCACCAATTGTGACTTACTAACTCACTTTCAAAGTTATAATTTGAATTTATATATTAATATATAATTACTTTTTATCTCTCAAATACTATTTTAATAATCAGTATTTGATAATATTATAAGTATATAATAGAAGTACCTAGTTGAAAAGTATGACGATAAAGATGAATTTAAGTATATTTTATAACTAATAAAAATGTATTATAAATAATTATATTAAAAGAAGTTTTGTTGAATTTGTATCGATTTTATTCAGAGTTTGTATTTGTTGTTTGTTTAGTAAAGAACACTATAATACTAAATTGAATACCCAATATTGTAGAGTACTAATTTTTGGAAAGAAAACTTAATTACTATGTATCATGATAAAGATAACAAGTATGCATTAAGAATATTGTTGAAGTTGTTTTAAATACCTATTTTTTTAAATGATTTCTGTTTAAGAAACATATATATTACTTTGGGTAGACAAAAGATATTAGCTAATCCATACACATTTTATTTGATTGTAGAATAATTTTTATTTGTATGATAAATTAATTTAATTTAATTGTTATTAAAATAATAACCCAGTTTTGATTTATTATATTAAAAAAACTGAATTCAATCAAACGTAAAAACTAAAACTTTATCAAGATAGAAAAAAAAAAGAGTAAAATTTATGATTACAATATTTTGTTTAATCATTAATGTTATAAACTGAGAAAAAGTCAGATTTGTGATTTAAAAAAAAAAATCTATAAATCTAATATTTTACATATAAATTGTTAAATATTTACCAAAAAATGTTCCCGCCCAAAATGGTACCAGCGGAACATCAACTAAAGGTGCGCATACATTTATAAACCAATTAGGCAAAAACGGAGTTATTCGTAGAAACATAATATAACTAAACATGTTGTCATTGTGTTTTTTCACCTGGTAAAAAAAAAAAAAACCATTAATTCGTCTAATTTATTTCTAATACATATGTCTGTCACTTACTAAATTTGCATAAGTCTTAATTCTGTCCGGAAAATATCTGTATGCTAATCGCCTTCCAATTGTCATAGATAATAGATAACAGAAACAAGCACCCATCGCTGAACAGAAACAGATGATCCCTAATGCTAATAAAAATGGATATAAAAATCCACATAAAATTGACAACGATATTGAACCAGGTATTGCAAATGTCTGCAAACTATATTTTTGGGTTATAGTTAAAGTGAAATTTAAACAATTGGAAGATGTCAATATTAGGTAACAGTGAACATTTTATTTTAAAACTAATTAAAAGGATACAATATATAACAGAATAAAATTGACGTAAATACTTGACTGTAATATGTATCTTTATAATGTTCCAAAACATTACCTAAATTCTGTGCATCTTGGATATTAAATGGAATTTTAATATATTGTTTTTCTTCCCTGAAAATAATAAATATTATGTTGTAAACATTTTATTTTATTTTAATTAATAAAATGTAGGTATTATTTACTCAGTTAATTCTGGAAAGTTATAATATAAATATGCTAAAGTAAATAACGCCGCTAAAAATATAACCACCAAAGCAACTACTGCTTTTGTGGTAGACATTGTTTGGTCGTTTTCTACCTTTGTTGGTTTAATAGACATAGTTTCGTCCATGGTAGACACTGAAATCAAATAATATCATTGTCATTAATCAATGTTATGTATATATTTTTTTTTTCAGCTGAATTGTTATTGTTCATCATCAAAACATCATTATTTAATGTAGTATAACGCATATATTAATGTAATAAGTATATATTTTATTCAAACAGTAACCAGTTGATTTTGTATAACATTATTGTTGTTTAATTAATATTTAATTACCTGATTCGTTTTGTACATCTTGATGCTCAGCCATATTTTGTTGTGTTATATGACCTAATAATAAAATGAATGATATTCGTTATTAATCGACCAATAATTTTTATGTGGATAAAAGAAAATACTATTTGATAATCGACGACATTGTTTTAATATTTTTTAAATTATACACGAAATACAAAAATGTCCGTAACATGATCTCGTTTTTGACTCGATTTTTTTTTTTGTTGCTCCCAGATTGACAATAATGTGATAAATGATAATGCATAATGCATTGACGTTATCTCAATTTAGTTCTTACCTGAATCAAAATAGTTTGATAAGAAATGCAAATTTCCGTTTTGTATTGCTATAATATTGTCAAGAGATTGCGATTTCACTTTCGCACACTACCTACTACTAATATCTATATTCTGTACGGTTTTAGTTGTTTTACGCGTGTCAAGCACGTCATACCGAGTAAAAAAAAAATAATATAAACGACCTATGACGAAGACCTTATCATTCAGCGGACCCGAACTGTTTGGAACGATATCTGATGTGGTATTTTTAGTTCTTTATTCCTACCTACCGAAAAAATAATAACAAGTGTACATTAATTATTTAGAGAGCCTATTGTTATATTTATTCAAATATATGTATGGGTTTCGAACGAAAACAAAACAATTTAACCAGAAAGCCAGATCAAACCTACGTGGTACATGGAATATCTTGGCTGGATACCGGTGGGCGGGGTCTATGTCTGCTCCAGTGTGTGTATTATAATTATGTTTAAAAATAATTAAAAAAACTATACCCATGTATTATTATTATCTTAGTCCTTGTAAAGTAAATCCGACAATAATGTATCCGATCAAAATATATAATAAACAATAGTGTAGTAATTACATTCGAGAATAAAACGGTGTACGTTTGGTTTTCTAAACCTGCTGACGGGTCCACCGAGTTAGACACGACTCAAATTTACCTACTATTGTTTTCGATATCTACGCCGAATCGATTCATTATTTTATGCTTTTTGCATTTATTACACAGCGAAACGCACGATTTTAATTAGGTAGTTATTTCACATTAATGCTCGGTTTTTTAAACTGAAATTAAAGCGTAGTAGAATATTATATTATTTTGGTCGAAGCGTGGGTACACGCTCGGTGCCTTAATGTTAATGAGAATACGAGTGTCTATTAATTACCTACTCATTCCGTTCAATAGCCCATTCCTTAAAAACTTACTTAATTGTTCATTAATTTAATGTGTACCACCACTATCAGCTACCTACAAAATATAATATGTAATATTTGCCGCGAGTTGAATCATTAGTGCAATTTATAAGCTCTCGGACAACGGGTAAAATGGTCTATGAATAGGATAATGTTACCGTTGTTTCACACGGTTTTCGTTTAGATACCTGCCTACAAAAACAATATTTGTGAACACAACAAATCAAAAGTAACCCGTTACTAGGCGACCAATGTTAGTAACGTTATAATGAATTATAACTCGCTATATTTTAATCGGTCGCTGTGCCTTCGAACATGGATATCCACATAAATTATTTGTTCGTTCCCGAGGGTACGCGTTTGTATCGTGAAGGATACGAAAAGATGCTAAGAAGGCGACAGAACTGGTAGGTGCCTAAACACGGCGCTATTTCAAATCGTAACATTCACAGACAAGACGCACTAAAAACCAAATGGCAAACAGACTGACAATAAAAAAAAAAATTAAAAAAATGTAGACGAATGACAAATTGAAAATCCCAAACACCTTGGACCAAATCCAGATAATCAGAACTTAGGGTACTTATTAACTTTTTTTGTTTAAGAAAAACAGAATTATATGACCTAATTTAAAATATAAACGGTAATTATATGTTTTAAAAAATCATAAATAACCTAGACTTTTAAACAAAACTGCAATACCTAATGGCCACAGTAGCCAAAGCTACTATGCTATTGTACTTACATATATTACTATGCTACGGTATTTTGATCAATAAATTATTTAATCGGTTCATTGTAGGGTAGTAGCATTGATTATAAATACTAAAATTTATTATCATTGATATTTGTAATCAATGGTAGTAGGTATCGAAAAATTAATCATTGTAGTAATTGGGTATGTAGGTACTTATTTAAATCAAATTATCGTCTTGTGTATTCTGACTATATATTCTATTAATACTATATTACTGAATAGATACCTAGGTAGTAGCAGTAGGTAATAGATATTCGAGTAAGCACCTAATTTTGATTAAAATGTATGAAGTAGGTACTTAGGTACTTATTATATTCGATGACCTTGATAAATATAGAATATTTAGATAGTTATATTATTATTATATACATATTAGTTTATAAATAATATTTATAAACTACAATTTACCTGCTCATTAGAATTATTCACCTTCCTTCTCAGCCAGGAAATTTTAAATTTGTATAATTCATTTAAAATATGTAATGACAATTAGTATATACCTAATAGATTAATATTTGGAAATAATACCTACAGGTAATTAGTTAATCCATGATCAACATTTCTGCTATCAAGTAGTATTAGGTAGGTAGGTAAGTTAAATTATTTTGAATGTTTTTTTTTTTTTTTTTTAATCTCTAATTTATAATTTTTATAGTTACCTACTTAACTATTACCTTCAAGTTTTTATTTTATTTTATTATTAATTTTACACATAATTTGGTGTAGATATTATATGGGTATTCAATAAAATTGTCACCTTGCGCAGTTAGATAAATCTTTTAATTATTTTTCAATCATTAACGGTTAAAATTTTATATTATAATAATTAGAATTGTTAATATTATCTGATAAAATGTTGTAGAACATACCGTCAATTATAGGAACATTAATTGAATTGGCAATTTGAATATCATTGATGCCAAACTGAGCTGCAGTAGCTGAACAACTAGCAGCTACGTCCGATGTTGAAAATTCCATTTTGAGTAGATTTGGAGAATAATTTATTTTGTATTAAACGCACACCTATCAGTTGGGTGTCAAATAACTTAATTGAATGGTGTATTGTATTATAATATTATTATGAAAATTCACACAAATTCGTACAGTTTCATTTTAATGTAAAAATGTTATATCACATTATTGACCAATAATGGTTATAAAATTGCAACTGTATGAGTTTTTTTTATATTTTTAATAGTACTCTCTATTGTTAGATGGGTACCTTATATATATCTTATAGTAGATTATTTAATTATAATATAGTTGTTATACAGAGTGTTGTACAGTAATTATTACAACTAAAATTGAAAAAAAAGGCTTATATTTTTTAAATTAAATATTTTGGAATAATAATTATTAAATATTTTTTTTTTTTTTTTGTATATTATATGGTGTGTGGTAGAATTAATTTCTCTTGTCATTGTATAAATATGAAAATATCAGGATATAGAACATTTCAAACGTTACCTATATACGTGTACACTGCATACGGGTTACTAAGAGTACGTCTAAATAATTGTTTATCTGTAAACTTTAGACTAGGGATTTAATAGGTAATAAGGCTTTGCTCTAAAATACATTTATTTATATTGTGGTAATTTATCTTAATATATATTATGTCAGTAACATATTTTATTATGTAATGAAAAACTACTGAAGATGAACATAAACTAGTAAAACCATTTTCCAAAAATTGATTTAATCATTTATTTAGTAATTTTAATTATTTTGTTGAAGAGACATATTAAATATGTACATTAGGATAATTATTTTATTATCTTTGGTTAGGTTGATTTATTAATATAAGTATCTGTTAATTATTATTAGTTATGAAAAATAATTTTAATCATAACTAATAAAGAATTAATTTAATTAATTAGCTAATTAATGTTCATTAATTAATTAAATTATTGTTAAAAATCATTACCTCATTAAAAGAGATGTTCAAAAATTCAAGAATTCAGAAAAAAAGAAATGTTCATAAATCAATAAAAAAAATATTTCAACATATAATTATAATTATAGTGATATTACAGCATTTTAACAAAATTGATAATAATAGTAAAACTGTACCTAGTCAAGTAGGAAAAAGAATTAATACAACTTAATCTTTGAAAATTAAAACTAGAATAGAATATATCTTCTCAGTAATTTGAAATATGCTTGTAGGTATAAGATTAATTTTTTTATATTGGTTCAAATAGTCACCAACACCATTTAAAATATAAAAAAAATATTTTTGACATATATAGTAGGTACATACAAATTTAATTTTTAGTCATGTAGATGCAATTTATGTTTCCACGAAAATAATGTAAATACAAGTGTGTAATAATATTTACTTATTCAAAATAGTTTTAATGTAGGTATAAAATTGGCTTTAGAGAAAAAAACAAAATTTTTTGTTTTTTAACATTGTGTATCAATCAAATTTATCTCTTAGTTTCGCCTTGTATATAATAGGTAGTAACGACAGGGTAGCAAACGTCACCAAAAATAAAACAGAAGACCATGACCATAAAGTGGTAGAAGAAGATAGATCTTTTAGAGTTTTCCCAGCTTGTATAGACAATCCAGATGGCACAGCTACACCTATATTTGAAACGAAAGTTGTAAAACTAAGACCATATATCACATTAAGAAGTAGGTAAAATTATTTATTTATATTATATCATATTAATTTATTATTGGTGAACTTCTTCTAATTCTTCTCGTTTATTTTTATCTCAACTATTTGAGGTTGGTCACCCTCGTCTAAAATTTCAACTTGACCTGGTCCGTTACAACGTCTTCAATTACATCCAACCACCTACCCCTCCCCCCCTATGACATGCCTAAATAATTTTAGTCTATTTTCTCTCATTTTGTCTACTATCGAAGTCACACTTAAATTACCTAATATCCACTAATCCATTTGAGCATTATCATTTCTGTTACACACATTTTCTAGAACAGAAAATTAATATTTTTCTGTTTACCACTCAACACTACAAACTATACAATATAACCATTTTCACCACTCTCTTGTAAAACTTACCTTTAAATCTCATTGAAATTCTCTTGTCATATAAAACATTTAATGCTTCTTTATCCGACCACACTTAATCCTATGTTTCATATTCTCATCAAAGCTATCATTTTTTATACAAAATATCCTTTAGATACTAAAACTATCAATCTTGCTTAATATGTTACTGCTTATTGTTATTAGCTTGTCCTGTTACTCCAGATGCCTATTCTATAAGTACTCTGTTTTACTCCTATTTATGCTTAGCCCCTTTTTATCAAGTGCTACTCTCCATTCCTCAAGCCTATTGTTAATTTACCTATTCCAGATTTTCTCCTATCAAAACTACCTATATCATTTGCAAATATCATGCACAACAGAAAATAAGGAAGGATTTAAGGCTGAATGCACCCCATTTTAATCCTAAAATCTTCTTTTATTCTAGACACAATTCTTTCATTAGTATTTGAACCTTCAAACATAATATAATCTATGAAACTAATATACAATCTCGGAACTACTAATCTCATGACACCCACATTAGAACCTCTCTCGGTATTCTGTTATTGGCACTCCATTTCTAAACTAGTTTGAATAAGATAAACTAGATAATATGCTTAAAGTTCACTTACCTACTAGTTTATTATAATTTAAATTTGGTATTAGATATTAAACTCCAATTTAAATTTATTACAAAACAATCTAGATATTTTAATTTTTTTTTTTATAAAAAATAAAATAAAATCGCGACATGCATGTGTTAAACGAGTATTTACCTATGAATGTTCCAACCCAAAACGGTAACAACGGAACATTGACTAAAGGTGCGCAGATGTTTATTAGCCAACTTGGAAAAAATGGAATTATTCGCCAAAACATAATAACAAATAGCACGTTGTCTTCGTGCTTTTTCACCTGAAAAAAAATAATAGCATCTAATTTTAACAAATTTATTGTAAACAATAAAATACACGAGGTAAATAAATTCATACTTACTAAACTGGCGTACGACCTGATTTTATCCGGGAAATACGCGTACGCTAATTTTCTTCCGATTGTCAGCGACAATAAGTAGCAAAAGGTAGAACCCATCGCTGAACAAAAACACATCGTTCCCAATGCTAAGGGAAACGGATATAGATAGCCGCTTAAGATCGCTAATGTAAACGAACCGGGTAACGCAAATGTGTGCAAACTAATGAATTTGTTCAATAGATATTATATAGTCAAGGTAAAAACGATTCGAATAAATTTGTTAATTTATTGTTAATGAATTCGAGTGAATGTAAAGGATACAATATACTACAAAATGAAATCGCCAACAATACTCGAACATAGTGTGTATTCTTGTAGTGATCCAAAACTTTACCCAAGTTCTCTGCATCTTCGATACTGAACGGAATTTTAATGTATTTTTTTTCGTCACTTGAAATAGATGAACAATAAATATCACGTTAATTTTATTACCTACAACGAATACCTATTCGGTATAGATTTTTATTGTAGGTAGGTATTTTAAGTAGTAATAACTCACTCTTTAAACTTCGGGAAGTTGTAATACAAATTTCCTAAAACTAGTGACGACGTTAAAAATATAGCCGCTAATATAATCACTGCTTTCGTTGTAGATAACGGTTTATCGTCTTCTTCTTTTATATCCAGTATAGCAATGGTATCTTCCACAATAGTTACTGAAATCAAATTAAGTATTATTATTATTATTATTATGTAAGTAGGTACTTATAACAAAGTCAATTTTTCCTATGATTTATAAACAATTAATATTTCATCTAAATTATATTGTTTTTAAGTGCAATTCAATCAATAATGTTATAGGATTGTGCGTGGTAAGTAGGGCTTAAGTCGATTTTGTACATTTTTCAATTCAAGGGAATTACATTATTGGAGTGGCCACATAATAAAAGCTCTACAATAAATAAGACTTTCATCTATTTTGTCAAACAAAAAGTACTTAGGTACTTACGTCATAGTGAATCAAGATAAATTAATTTTTAGTAATTATATCGTAAATATACTCATGTATCAGATGTACATGCACTTATGCCATTTAGACCAAAATATAAAGGGAAACAAATTACATGGGTAATGCAAAATTAAAAGAAAAAAAATTGACTTAAGCACTTTTTCCTTTGGACCAATGACAAAGTATAGGTAGGATTACATTACCGGATTCGTTTTGTAAAACTTGATTTTCTCGATCCATCGTGTTTTGTAATGGTTCGGTCATACTCAAACAAACTGTTGACAAATAAATTATTTGTATTTATTATTTAGGTAAGCGGTAGGTGCCTACTTATTTTAGTTTAACAAAATTGAAACAAAAATTTTAGTTTAACAAAAATATGTAGATAGATACCTACTATACAATTAGCACCTATAGGTAACAACAATCTTATCCCAACATTTGTGATTGTGACTTAGGTTTTTCGGGCTATTATTGTCTAATTTTTCTTAAATAAAACGAACATTTTCCCGCCCACCCCACCCAATTATAAATTTTGACATTTTTTTGGCCCAATCGTTATTATCTCGTTAGTATTGCAATTGGATAGTAGAACAGAAATCATAGTTAGTAGACAATTTTTTTTTGTAAATAATATAATTTTGATAAGAGAAAATCTGAAACACGTTAACAATAAGCTTGACAATTGGATAGTAACACTCGAAGAAAGGAACTAAAAATAAATTGAAATATAAGAGAAATATAATTGAAATATATATTAAATATAATAGACTGAAATGGTTTTGACATGTTATGAGAAGAGAAGAATTATAAGTAGTAAAAACGGTAATGGAATGGTAGGAGGAAAGAGGTAAAGAAAAAGACTGAAATAGAGATTTTTAGATGTGATTGAGAATGATATGAGGACAGCCGGTGCATGCGAGATCGTAGATCGGGTTAAGTGAAAGTTTAAACGAAATTAGCTGACACCCAATAGTTGAGATGAAGGCGAAGAATGAAGAGAACTGATTATAAATACACATTTGCTAAAAGAAATAATATTTAATTGAATATTCCTAATAAATTCCAATAAATCCTATTTATTAAAGGTAGTCTATAATATAACTGTGGTGCAAGCAAACTAATAAAAGTATTTAAAATTAGGTACAGATAATCTTTCTTTCAATTAATGTATTTTGAATACGTATTTAAAACAAGTACTGTTATTAATAAAGCAGTGTGGTAAATGTTAAAGATGGTTTAAATTATTGGAAATTTATACTACATATACTTCATCACTTGTTGGAATTGAATTCTACAACCAATGCCGTAAACAGGAATTGGGGGGGGGGTTCATAATAGTAATTATATCGAGTTAATTAAAAAAAAAAAAAACACAAATAACATATAGTATATGTAAAATTAAACGTTATTATTACCAATTAATATTCTAATTAAAAAAAATGTAGATATATAAATATGTTTATATATTTTTTGATTATTGACGACCGTTTTTTTTGGTCATTTGTGACAACTTAAAAAACTCAATGACAAGTCTATAAAAGTTGGCCACCCCTGTCATGTAACTATTATTTTTATTTTAGATTCTGAGCGCAGCGAGGAATGTATTGGTTTTACAATGATGTTTATTTTTTTAATCTGTGAACAACTTTTATACCAGAAATTTTGCGCTCCGATTTTCAAGCGTTTTTTCTGAAAGGAAATTTTCCTAGGGTGGTACTTAAGGTAGGTCATTTCTTGATTTTCCCAGGAGTTTTCAAAATCGTAAAATTTATGAAATGTATTATTTTTCAAATCGTAAAATATTACGGCCTTTCAAAACATATGTAACTAAATTCAGCTCAGAATCGTTTTTCGTACAGATATACATTAAATTTCCTCTCTACCTTCTTAAATTCTCACCCACAACCGTGTGCGAAGTATATCCGTCTTTTTTTTATAATTATTCTTTATAATGGATATATTATATAATTATAATATTATTAATCCTATTTTACAAAATTTTGAAGGAAATCGTAAAAACGACGTGAAAACTCGTTTCACCAAACTTCATTCAGAATCGATGTTCTTTAGCAATGGTTTAACCATTAAGGTATCGTCGCCCGTTGGGTACAGATATAAATTGATTTATTCTATATTATGTCCTTCCCAGCTTTTCATCTAAAATAACGGCACACCCATTTTTACGGTACACGGAATTCGGACGGTTCGTCAAAATTAAAAAATTACTATGCATTCGTTAAAAATGACAATATGTCAAACGATCTATTAATCAAATAAATAATTAGTAATCATAATTGTTATCCGATGTAAAAATATATTAAAGACCATAACATTGTTCTGTATAATATATTGTAATATTATAATGTACCTTGTTATATTATATCTATTATATTAGGTATATTATATTTTATTATGTTACTGAACAGTGTACACAAATAATTACAGCGATAATAATGTTATTTTGGTAATTACCTACCTAAATAATTTGATCAAAACGCAGTTATTTAATTATCTATTATATAAACAAAATTACAATGTTAATTTGTTATTTATTTATATGTAAATAAATATATACATGTATATGTATAATATGTAAAATACAATTGAAAAATATTCTGAAGTCCATAAAAAAAAAAAAAATCGCTCTACTTTAAATTAAAATATTCATTCTTCGGTCCGCTCAGAATCTAAAATACTATTTCTGAAAAGAATCGACGAAGCTGTAATTTTCACCAAATTTAAAAATCTAAATAAAGTAACTACGTATGTATACATAAATAATACATAATATGAATCAAAATAAAAATACCTATGTATTTAGAGTCTAGACACCAACATTTTATAGATACCTATCTAGTTTTGATAGTAGCTGAAACCATTGTAAAAATTAATTTAAAAACATATACAATAGGTATTTTAAAATATTACTATTATTTTATTCTGAGCGAAGCGATATTAGATTCCGAGCGTAGAGAGGGAGCTATTGGCTTTACAATGCTGTTTATTTTATCTTTTTTCTTTTTTTTTGTTCTAGTCTGTGGACACGTTTTTTCCTAGTAAACTAGTTCCGACTTTTACGTGTAGCACCTTTTCTGAAAGTTAAAGTTATCTAGATTGTACTTAAAAGAAGGGCATTTTTTGATTTTCGACGTTATTTTATAAATAAAAGCACTAAGTGGGTAAAACGTAGGAAACCGTACAATTGCATTGTTTCATAAAAACACGGACGACGTTTTCTACCAGAAAAAAATGATTTAATCGAAAAATCACTAAATACCTTTTTTAATTTACTTTCTTACGGTATTATCGCCAAATCTTTTGAGTCACTTTTGAACTTTTAAGGAATTTAATTTCTGGTAGTTTTTTTTTGCTGTAATTTGGTTATAAATACACGTAGAGAATTGAAACTTGGTAATAATACTCATATCGAACCTACCTAGATGTAATAAAATTCCCAAAACCATCAGACGACATTTTTTAAATATGCTTTTTGAAATCAAATTTAAACGAAAATCGCAAGAAAAAAAGACGGCACTTTAAATAATGTATTACTGAACTGCGCTCGGAATCGTCTTTCGTCAAGCAATGGTTTATCGTTGCTTACAGATATAAATAAAATAACCTTATGTATCCTACCTTCCCAACTTCTCACCTACATCAGTGGCTGCTCCTATCCTCAGTATCCCCCTTCCTTTTTTTGTACGTGTTTTTATGAATAAAATCGGTGAAATTATACTTTATACTTATGAAAGTATCAGTTTAACAAATTAATATAATGTGGTGCCCATATTCGATTTTTATTATCAAAAATATATTTATTTTTTGCGTTAAATTGGATTACGATATTATAAAACTTTAATGTATTATTAATCATATATTGTATTTTAAGTGAATGAAAATCGTTGAAATTATTTTTAGATTCTGAGTGAAACGACAAATAAACCTATTGGTTTTTTGTAAATGATGTGTTTTTTTTATGTATGTAAATAACTTTTCTACCAGTTATCTTCCTCCAATCAAAAACTATAGGAATTTTCTTTTAGCGATTTTTATCTGATCGGTGCATTGAGGAGGTCGTTTTTTAATTTTTCATGTAATTTTCTTATAAAAAAAAAAAAAAAAAGGGAAAACTAGCCAATTTGTTTTGTATAATTGTTTTCGATTTTTGGGTTATTACCTTGGAATACAATAAGGGAATAAAAAGAACAATAATACTCTGCTCAGAATCGATTTTCATTAGCAATGGTTTATCATTGCGTACTGATACAAATTAATTTAGGTAATCTACATAATATCATCATTCCTAATTTCCCTCCTAAAACAGTGGTACACCCGTCAGCGGTATCGGTAACATCGCTTCCAATATTGCGTGCAATCGTATGCTTTTGAAGGGTCAAAATATATTCTTTGTTATTCTGGTACCACGCGCAGTCGTATACTCAAAAAGGTAAACCGCGAGCAAACCTACACCGGCAAAATGTATTTATGAACGCGATTTGGATTTTAGAAAAATATTAGGTAGACTGCTCAGGTGTAGATGATGAAAAACTCACATTGAAAACTTAATTAATCTGCCGATTATTACATGATTTTTTTCAAAATATTTTTTAAAACAGATAAATTATATTAAAATTTACAATATATAAAATAACATCGGTTTTAAAAACAAATATTACGGTTTTTTTTTTTTTTTGGCACCGAAAAGAAGTTTGTAAAACCAGTATTAATCTGAATACCTGAGTAAACCCGAGTACTATTCGGAATACTAAAACACACGTTTGCTATATTATTTCAAAGACGCTAAACGCACGTCTGTGAAATTGCTCGGGCTCCCCTTTCACTACGCCCGAATCGCTCTACAAAAATTTGAAAGTAAAAGGCCTGGGGCGGATAGGGATTAAACAAACCCGAACGGAGTGAATTCGTGTATAAAGTTCGTCTTTCGAGTCTGGCGTTCATCGACATTTGCCGAAAATTTGTCAAAAAAGTCTATTTTTATACATCCGTTAAGATATTAGTCGTCTTCATTCCAACTATTTAAGGTTTTTCAGATGAGAACCTATATTAAAAATCCTATAAATAGATAGAGTATTACTTTAAATAAATTTTGATGCTAATATTTTTGATTTCCGTTAACCCGTTAACGAGATAATATTCCACTTTTAAGTTCAGGAAGGGTGAAAGTAGTAGAGTATCATTTGTGTGAAGGCACGGCGCGCGGCGTTTTATTATTCTCCCCCTGCCTGAACTTGCGTGGCGTTTATGACAAAAGGCAAAAATTCACTGGAATCTAAATGAAAAAAAGGCTAAAAGGAAGAACGAAGAAGCGCTAGGAAGACAAGATCGAGGAATTTATATAAATGGTATAAATGGTATGGAACAATTAGGCATAGCAGACGCTAGACTGGGAAGGTTACACTCATAAAAGAGAGGCGTGGAGGATTTGGGTAGCAGCCACAAAGGCTCTTTATGAGCGATAAAGCGAATAATAAAAAGATTTACATTTTAAGTTTTAACAATAAATACGCGATTTGAACAAAATGTTTACTTTTAATTTGACTTATTTATACTACTATATTCACAATAATAAGTAGGTACTTATTACAAGTATTACTACTTCTAACTCAAATAAACGGAAAATCACGTGATGGACACGGATATTTAATATTTTAAAATCAAGTTCACAGAAAGAAAGTATTATCGTAAAAATTATAAAAACTTATAGATTATCAAACCTTTTTATTTATTTTTTCTTCACGTTCAGATTTTTTTAATCCGATAAAAATGTATACTATCGTCGCTGAATATCAACCAAATACTGATTTTTTGTATATAATAATATAGGTTTTTTTTTTGGTACGAGTCTAACAAAAAACTGAAAAATACCATAGAGTAATTTATGAAAAACCCCATTAGATACGATAATATATTATAGCATTTATAATTTATATAAATAAAGTAAATAAATATAGCAATAAAAACTGTATACATACAAATAAAAATAAATAAATGAATAAATACGTCTTGGAGTATTATGATAAGTGTATTATACGACCGGTTTCGAATTAAAAATTCATCAGGTGTATCACAGTCAAAATATAGAACGCGACTGAATCTAACAAATTAAATGAAGGAATACATAGAAAAAAAATTATAAAAATTTAAAATTTAAATGGGTTATTATTTACTGTCTAAAATGTATTGATATGAGATATTATTTTTATAATCGGTTTGTACATTTAATATTAATACAAAATATTATTAACATGATTTTTCTTAATTCCATTGTATGTATGTAATTCTTCTAAAACTGAATTAATGTTATTTTGGAAATTGAAAATTTCAGGTTCCTATACAGTTATTCTTCGTTGAATTATAACAAAAAAACCCAAATCGAAATTAACACGAAACTACAATTATTGCATAGATAAACCCGCCTCCCTCCGCCATTATTGAGAAAACTACTTGGAAAATCAAAAAATTACCTGTCAAACCTACTAATTATAGAAAATTCAGAAATTATCCTTGCCATCGGATGATCGGTGTAAGATTTCCGGTAGAAAAGTGGTTTACATCAGACAGAAAAATAAAAAACACATCGCAGTAAAACCAATACTTAACTAAAATCTTCTAAAAAAGAGCTATGATAATGATTGATTGTTGTTTAATATGTAGGTGCAACCGTTCAGGTTATTTGTGGGAAGTTAAACAGTGGGGAAAGGTACATATATATTAATATGATTAGTATTGATCTGCCATTACCTGTTTGGAATCCATAAATAATACAAGTGCACCCTCGGAGGCTACAAAAATCGAACACGCGATAGGATATATAAAATATGTATAAATACTATATTATAGCGCGGAACACACACGTGCGTATATACTCAAGTTCGGTAGATGAGCGTGCACTGAACAAAATGTCATACGACAAGACTGTAATATCAAATGGATTCTATAGTTTCAGAACACGATGGTTTTGTACACCGAAGGCGAGGGGCACACTTCACAATTTTCGATTGCGCCAACAATATAGGTTGACGTAGATATACGTAACTGTAGATACGTGCGTAGGTGTGTGTTGGTGCTGCATGCAAATTAAAATGATTGAAAAATGTAACCGTGCAAATATACGAATATACGAACGTAGGAATGCACAGTATAGGTATATTTTGTATTATTGAAACCTCTATCCGTCCGGCGTGTAAGAGATCGACGGGAAGTTATAAACATGCACCAACTTAATTGGGTGGTAGGACTCTTTAACAAGGCCGCGGGTTTACCTAAAAGGCGCACCCAGGCTAATAAAAAACAAGCCATACTTCTTAGAACATAGACACCCCTCCCAATATCATAATCAATTTTGTATGTCGTACATGAAAATGTATAGTGGATTAATTTAAAAGTATTTTAAAGTCAACCTTCACAATTTACTCAAATTTAACAAATTACTTTTATCCGCTTTACTGAGTACTCCCGTAGTATCGTTCTGTCGAACTAATACATTTTTTGTGATTTTGCAATTTATTGTGATCACGCGCGGTTGATCTGAAGTTTTAAAAACTAGTGTACATTTTTTTAATGATCTGTAAATAGGTATCTAGGTAGTAAAAAAAGTTCATAATATAACGTAATCGATAACGGTTAACGAATGCTGACAATCAAGAATTATCGAAAAACATATTGGCCGTGATTAAATAATCTAAAACCATGCTGTTACCACAGATAATTTAATGTGTTTGATTAGATCAAAATGATGTTTACGGTAGGTAGCTGGTAATTAATGTGCGGGTATATGTGTAGTACAATATATTATGCAGCACCACGGTCGCGGCGCATAGCTAAGTAGGAAAAAAAAAATAAAAAAATAAAAAAAAAAAGAGCCGATACTGAGGACGGGTGCAGCCACTGTTGTAGTTGGGAAGTTGGGAAGTTAGGATACTATGTTGTACATTTTACATGCAATAATATTTTAATTTACAACGAAAGCAAATATGTTAAGCGGGCGGAATTTTTTCGTACGGTGTGCACGCCTATGTCCGTTAATGTTACAAGAGCGTGGTGTGCGAATTATGATGCGTAAATCTATTTTTGATAGTTGCGTATAGGTAACAGGTACCTGTGTAATAATATTATCGTTTAATGGACTAGTTAAAATTTGTATAGGTACAGCTGGAGCTGCAGTGAACGTTTTGGAAAAATCTGAATAGTTTAACGCAATGATATGGTTTAACGAGACCATCGTCTAGGTATTTTATAGATCACTTTTATTTTTACCGTCGAATCAATCATATTATTGTACATTCGTTTCAAGTCACCTCTGCATGTTTAGGTAAAAATAGTAGTATAGTAGGTATATATATAAAAAAAAAAAAAAAACGGACAGTCATACTTTGTACCACGGCCGGGACACTATTGAATGCGAGAAGTTGGGAAGGCATGATAAAAAATGGAATTTAATTTATATCTGTACGCAACGATTCTGAGCGAATCCGAGTTCGGTCAATACAGCATTGTTTTTTCAACAATCTGCATTTTCACAACAATCGTTTAAAAAAGGATCTTTTAAAAGATTGAAATATGGTAAAATCATTTTTGATAAAACAAAGTATTGCCAGAGAACCGAGAAAAGTTCGAAACTGCCTGGTTGCGATAGGAGTTTTAAACAATCGACACTATAGCCTCAGCCTATTACTCAAATGTTATGGCTTAATGATGAGCGTACTGACATTTTGACGCGGTGCATAACCATGACATACGGTATGTATGTTTTAAAATACTGAAAAACAATATTATCATTAGTGTATATGTAGTCGACTGTCAATCTCAAGATAAAATGGACGTTCGTCGTTACAGTTATTTATTAACATAATAATAAGAAGTCATACGTCATCACCATTAATTGTTATTCAGTATTACCCGAAACTCGAATACCAGCTGATAATAATATTAGATACGTAATTGAAAATAAATAGGTACAGTGTTATAGATGTCTACTTCAGTTTCAACCATCTCAAGAAGTTAAAAATGTTCTCGGTATAATAATTATGAATTATTTACAGTGTATTTACAATTTTTTTTTTTATATTTTATCTATAATTATCGATTATGTACGAAATGTGGATTTGTTTTAAATTCAATACCAGGCACGTGCATATTTTATTATTTTAGTCGAAATGAAAACCGACGAATAATCTGACATGATGCCTACCGGCGTAAAAGTAAGTAGTTGGTACTACTTGATTTCATATACTTTGTGTGTAGGCGACTCGTAGATTTATGAATACAAATAAGTTATATGAATACAATTCGAGTACAAATATCATCGAACATTTGTGTGTAAGAGGGGAGGTAATATTTTTTATATTTATAAACAGATATTTTAAATCATTATATAAAAATAAAATACATACATTTCAGGATAATTGAAAAACACGGAGAATTTAAAATAATATATTATGCCTAACCTATGTTAGGTTAGGTTTTAAGTTAAATAAAAAAAAAGATTATATCATTTTTTTTTTTTTCAAACTATAGATAATTTGTCCACGTGATAACAATGATTTTGAATATAAAGTAGGTAGGTAGCTAGTGAATAATTCAGCTTGATTTTCAGTTTTTTTTTTTTTTGATTCAGAGCGTAGCAAGATTCGTCAATGGGTTTTACAATGACGTGATTTTATTATTTATTTTTGTGTCTGAGCAACATTTTTACCAATCAAAAAATAACAAAAAACCTTTTTTGTTGTATTTTAGATCTAGTTGCTGAGGAAATAAATAGTTTTTTGATTTTCCGTGTAGTTTTCCAAATAATTCATTCGGCTAAATCGGAAAAAAAAACAGAAAGAACGGGAAAGTTTACGGCAATATTATGGTTTCATTATTTTCAATTTTATTTTGCTGAAAATCGTAAATATTACGACCTTTTAAATTATGTATAAACGAATTTCGCTCCGAATGGTTTTTCGTTAGCGAAACGGTTTATCGTTGTTTAAAAGATATAAATTGATATAAAACTTTATGTAGGCATATACACCTTCCCGACCACCCACCTAAAACGGTGGCGCACCCGTCGGCCGCGGTATCGGCTCTTTTATTTCGTTCTGGCCCACTCATATTAATTGTTCTTATTATTGGTTCGAAATTCGTTACAGACACGGGGTGGAATTTTCCTAGCAGGGAAAAAAAAATGATCAATTTCTCCTCGGCGTTTCGGGACGGGGGAGTTCATAGGAACAGTAGTACGAGCCGGCGTATTATTTTTGTGGACAATTTTTGTACTGGACGGTCGAGGCGCAAAAACGGGCACTAGCCGGGCGATAATAATTTCTCGTCCTCTTGTGTGATAATTCATTATTTACCGCCCGATCGACGATAACGACAGGGGTGGGGGCAAGAATTGTAAACATTTTTAAACGCTATACAGTATTGCCAATAACGTTTGTCGACGCTCGTCAACCGGCACAAAATATTATATTACGCGGGGCGCGTTCTAAAATAATTACTCGCCAATCGATAACAAAGCGGTGCGAGGCCGCGGTTTTCCCTCGTTGGCAATGTTGTACCGCGCGCTAGTTATCGCGATCGACGCGCACAACAAATACTATTGCGCCCGGTCGGCGCTTTTCGTGTAGGTATTTTTTTTTCGTTTCCTCTCTTCTGTCTGTCGTGCGTCGCGCGTACAGCGTTGTAATTATTAATTATCTATGCCGCCGAAGAACCTACCGTAGTTGTCGTCGTCGACCGCAACGCGTACTGTCTGGTCGGCCGTGGGTCGGTCGCCGTTGTGGCGATCGCCGTCGACGGCGATCCGAGCGGCCGCCGCCGCCGCCGCCGGACGACGGTCCGCGTCCGGCGTCGCCGATTCCGGTCGGGTCCGGCGCGTGTCGGGTTCGCGTCTGGTGCCGCCGCCGCCGCCGCTGTCGTCGGTCGCGTCCGCCATGATAACCGCACGGTCGCGCTGTAATCGTTTCAGTGAGACGCCGACGGCGCGTAACACGAAATATGCGCGAACAGCAAACAGCCGACGACCCACAACGTTGTTCGAACAACAATAACCGACGGGCGGGCAAAACGGTAAACGAACGATTAGCGAATAAATATCGCCGACGTTTATTGAAATGGCATCTGTACGTGAGCGCGTCGTCGGGTCGCGCGGTATCGTATCGGATTGCGTGCCGTCATGATGTCCGTCCGCGATGACTCCGCGCCGTCGTAACGAGTTATCCAAACGGCGCGCGACTGTAGCGATTTTCAATATTTTTCTGGGTTTTTTTTTTTTTTTTTTTCTCAGTAAATATATTCCGTAACGCTATTTACCGCCGATTAGTTAATTGGTATTATTATTTATTATTGTACTGTACGCGAGTACAATAGCATACAGAGTGTTCGCAATAGTTTATCAATTTTTTTTTCCTCTCCCCCGTCAATTCAGTACGTATCCAATTATCACGCGCGAAATGAAAAACAGCTACAATACCCAAAATCAGTCGGTTGTTGTTGTTGTTGATTTTTCTCTCTACGAACACTTTTTTTGATCACTCTAATTGTTGGGGGTGAAGCTACTGCCTGTTCTCGATTTTCAAACGGTGACCTGTGTTAAAAATTCCATAAATTGATGGAGCGGTAGTCAAAACAAATGTTGCGTAACATAATAAATGTACACAATTAAAACGCCGCGCGCTGTGCCGCCGCACAAACGATGCACCGCTACTCACCCCCGATCAAAAACATACAAGTGGAATGTCTCGTCTTAACGGATTGACGGAAATTAAAAATTTAAACACCAACATTTATTTTACCAACCACTCCGTCAATTTGTGGAGTTTTTAATGCAGGTCGCCGTTCGAAAATCAAAAATAGGCAGTCGTTTCGCACCCAATACCCAGGGTGACAAAACATAACGTAAACGTGAAATTGCAGAGCCGCTTGTTTCTCGAAACGCTGTTCAACACAATTTTCGAAAAAAGTTAATACTTTCCGAGATAACGAGTGTCTTATGATAGACTGACCACCACTCTGTATGTGTTGAGCTTCGGGAATTTTTCGGGGTTCAACCTGCTCGCCCCCTAGCCCCCTCCCGAGATTTCGCCGAGAGTATTGTCTATGATTTCCAAAAAAAATGCTAATCATGCGCGTGCAACAAAACGAATGGATGGTTTAATTTAAAACCGCCGCCGGAAATGTTGTCCAGCCACGGTCTTGCGCGGGTTTTGCAATCAGCATAACTATAGCAGCGAGTTCGATAAACGTTATCAATTGTACCAACTAAATTTTTTTTTGTAAATTATTGTGAACGTTCTGTACAATACAGATATTAAACAAATGAGCATCTGTATTGGCTAACGCAGCAATTTTCTGCGAATCGCAATGACGCAGCATGTGTAATGTGTGGATACTGCAGATAGTAAATGTGTACGTTAAAATATATGTGTCAGTTTTGCACGTTTTTTTTTTTTTTTTCGTGCACTGTGCATTTTATAGTATAATGATAACTGTGCTGTATTCAATAATATTCTCACTGTAGGAGGTGGAGGTGCCTATATTATCAACGTTTAGTGCTTGGGTACCCGTTATTTGATATTTATATTAAATAGGTGGGTAACAGGGTTTCGGGGGGGGGGGGCCAACTTCGACGAAAATTAAGAAATGCCGGTTTCATCAGTAAATGCATTTCAATGCGATAATTCGAACAAAAACTGATAATAAAAGAAAAAAAAAACTTCACTGCGAAATGAGAATATAATATTATGTGCACTGCTTTGGAATGTCTTGCGGCAACATTACTATACTATATTGTACATTCTTCAAGAAGCATTTTTAGCAAAGGCGGTAATCGAATAATTTTCATTTTGCGTCTTTTATTCATTTACATTAGCCATGGCTAGCCGACCGTTGTGTATCTGTTTGCTGACATAGTACTGTTCCTTAAATATTTCGATTTCATACGATTCAGTGTAGAGAAGAGGTTCTACCAGAATTAGAAGAAATATCCGTAAATAGTCAACATTCGAATTGTAAAATAGTATGCATATTTAAATAGGGCTCATGGGGATATAGCTGTTTTCCGCCAAAATATTTAAAAAAAAAGGAGAAGCCTTTGGAAAATTTTGACTCCGCCTCTCCCGAATACTCAGACAAGCCCCCCACCAAAATAGAGTGCTTATCAACTAAATACTATAAGTACACATAATCGATGTAAAGGGGAGGGAGGAAACTTAGGCTCCGTCCCGTAGTTCGACTACATATTTGTGCCTATACGATTTTTGTGTAGGATTCGATTTCAATGATCGTCGCCTCCCCTGCACTATGACCCGCGCACGCAAACTAATCTGCAGCCTCCCCACGAGATTGCCAAACCGGGACTACAAGGAATATAGGTACGGTGAGAGTCTGGAGCAACACCGCATATGAGTGTCTAAAGTAGTGAGCCCCCGCAGGGACATTTTAAAAACCTGCAGACGCCCATTTCAGTGACGTTCGACCTATAGTTTCGAATTGATCGAGTGTATGTTTTTTTTTTTTTTTTAATGCCCATCGTAGCGGTGTTTAAGAGACATTGTTTCACGTTAAACAAATATTTAAATCGACCAACTGTACCTATCTATTACACGGTAATATAGGTACAGGTTGTTAATACCACAGTCTGCGGATATCCAGATATTGTCCGTGGCCGCTGTTATGATAATATGTGGCGATTCGGGGAGGTACATAGGATAATTATAGGAACAGTGTTCGAAATGAAAAAAAAAAACAAGGGTAAGTCTTATAAGTACTTGAAAACAAATCAGAGTCGATTGTAATTATTTAATTTATCGTAATCCGCGAGACACTTTGCCCCGCACACCCTTCTGAATACAAATTTACACAAAAAAACATTCTACTTAATAACATTACCGCCGGCTCAGTGTTTGCTTACACATAGATTTTTTTTACTATGCAATGGCGTGCCCAGGAATTTTCAGTGGGAGGAGACGTAACAAATAATAGAATTGCGAACAAATCGTAAAATTGTCGACTATGGGAGTTGGAAATTTAAAAGCCAGATCCTAAAAAGAAAGCCAATTTCTAATCAATACATCGAGCTTTTATTCGTAACTTGGCTGAAAAATATGCATGACGATGTTCGATAACTCGTATATTTTTTGTATATTAAGCCAACAAGAGGGGATAAAACGCCTACGCTCCACCCCCTGCGCACGCCATTGCTACTATGATAGATTTACTATGGAGTGTGTGCGTTTTTTTTTTTTCTGTACGACGGTTTCTACCTAAAAACTAGTTTATAGATAGGTACTTTGGTGTCGTCTAGTTGGCTCAATGAGAAATTTCGTTTTTGTATTTTTATGACGAAGGTACGGTTTGCTGAACGCGACAGGTAACCACCTACGATCTTATCGAAACCGTATGAACCGGTTTGCTTAGTAGCGCGACCAAACTTTCGGCCGCCGCAACGACAGCAGTAGACAGCAGTAGTCGCTAAGTAACTGTTTATGCGAAAATAGTACGGCTCGGTTTGCAAGACGATCGAATTTTTAGCCATTGCACGGACTACATAAATGCGCGAATAGCAGTTGATGTGACGACGGTCGTATGGTTCTAATGTTTCCGAACTTGTCCGATTTCAATGACGGCCGCCAATTTTGGTTTTTATTCTGCGTCTTTAGATGAAATCCACATTAAAGGGCTACATGTAAGCTCCTACAAAAACGACTTTTTTATCGGTGTGTAAAACACAATGTAAATTCCTACATAGTCCCTTTTTACCTGCCAAAAATAAATAGTGTGATCTCCTGCACAGATCGTTTTATATTTTAGATTCTGAGTGTAGCGATTTCTGATTTTAATTTTACAATGATGTTTCTTTGAGATGGTTGCACTTAAGTGAGAAAAAACGTACGATTTTACGATATTTCATTATTTTCAATAAACACGTACGACGTTTTATACCAGAAATAGTTGTCTAAATGGAAAAATGATAAGAGGCTTTTTTTGTTCCATTTTGTATAAATATTCGTAGAAAAAAAAATTAATTAAACATATTGAAATAAGTATAGGAAATTCTCGAACATTTCGATAATGTCTGCGTTATTTCAATAAACTGGAAGCACAACAATCTCTACCTCTTAATTTTGTAGTTTATAATTGATTTCTACTTATTTTACTTTTTACAACCATCTAGTGTAGGAGTTAACACTATGCCAACGTAGGAGATTATCTAAATTTGTAGGAGTTTACCACCCCCCTCCACCCCCATTAAAGAGGTACAGAACAACAATTGTTATGTTTTGCATAACACTGCCATCTTGAAAGATGACATTTGAAAAGATATACCCGTGTCCGAAATTAGGAAAATCCAATACGGTTAAGTACAGAGACCTGTCAAAGTCCCGTTGAAAGACCCGCACGGGGACAGGTTTGACATTGAGCCGATTGAAGAACGCCCGTGGCCGTTGCGACAGTGACATTTCTCGCGTAGGTAACCGTTCTTCACAAAATTGGGTCCGGGGTGACCCGTCACGTTGTGGGTAAAAACCGGTGTACGATAATCTATTGTAAAATTTCGTTTTTTGCGGCGAATTACTATATGTTCGTGCAGTGGCATGCTGTCGTAATACGGGAACCGTATTTTACAGTACAGATAACATAAATGCATAATATTATATTTACCAGCACAGCAGCCACATATTCCTGGATCAAAAACAATCGGTATTGAAATATAATATTACGATATGATTCGACACGCGTCAGATAATAATACGTCTGTGGTTATCTACATTTCCAGTTCGTGATATTATGAGGTAATCAATACGTCTTATCAAGGTGGATTAACCCGCCCCGGTATCTGTATAGCATTTGACTATTATCAATTGTCTGTTATCTAAAGCCGGTGTTAACACAGAAATCTGGAATGTTATCAATAATTGTGATAAGTGTGTGGAACGTACTATTGAATATAATACTCGAATACTTTAGGAACGTCGTTTTTAAATTTAAGTTTTTAAATCTTTGCAGCACACATAGTTACTGCTACTCGCAACCACCAATCGATATGTCTGCGTTACAAACGTGCGTCATGGTCCGTCGAATAGCAAATTTTATGCCGGCCAATTACTACGCTAGAACTTGGTGTTCGACCAAAGCCCCTTCTGAAGGTGAGATTTTTCATTGTTAATGTACATTTTAATTTCGGTTTTTTTCTTTATTTTCTTGTTACTATGTTTTGTAGAAGTTCCGAGAAGTTCGGGGAAGTTCAGAGTTTTGGACTTGAAGAAAAAAGCTGTTACATTTCAGGAGAAAAAAAAATACATCAAGACCATAAATTTACCGCCCAGGTGAGTACTGAAATTTACTACAAATATAATTTTATTAAGTTTTGCATTTAAATGTTGTATTGACTTAATTATTTGTAAGTATAATTAAAAATATTTGTATTAATTAAAATAACAAATATCTTTGACCAAAATATAATTGATATATCTACTTACTATATTTTATGTAATTTACAAAATCTACTCTTTGTCAATTTGTTCAATATGTACTATGTTTCAATTATAATTTGCAAATTTATCTTCGACAGACTATATAATAAATAATTGTACACAGAATTTAGGATACTTTCTGTTAAGATACTCTATACACTATTTTCTACCATGTTTTTAATTAAAAATGTATCAGTTAGTAATAATAGTTTGTATCCAAAACTTGGTAGAACATATGATCAGTAACGCCGAAGTTCTAAACATTGAGTCGGCCGAGAAAGCAATTATAACAGACATTTTATGTCCAAAATTATGGTTAAAGCAGATTTTTATTTGTTTTCAAGGCCCGGACATAGGATTCAGCGTCATTGCATATGATATTTCAATAAATTATATAAATAAAAATATTATTCAAAGGACAAAGATTCATTGATTATTTAAGTCTCAATGATATCTTCAATCAAATGTCGTTTGATATACAATAACACCTGCTTATAACAAACACGCTCGGTACTAACTGATTTTTCTGTTCTTTCGGTTTTACTGTGTGTCTGTATGTATACATAAAGAACTAATTTTACAATTAATTACAAAAGAGAATTTATAATTGGCTTCTACAAGAAATCTAATTTTTAGCCATCTAAACAAATTTAAAATCTCTTATATATTTTCTAATAATTTAATTACCCCCGTACCCTATTGTATTTATAAGTATTTAATTTGTAAAAAGTTTTTCTATCTTTTTTCTCCTTTTTTATAATGCATTTTCAATATTTGTAAAATGTAACTATTTACTTCCACTTCAAGCTTTGTTTAAAGTTAGTCGATACAATTATTATAACTATTGTATTGTTTAATATTAAAAAAAAAAAAATCAGTTTTGAATGAAGTGATAGTATAGTTTACCTGTACTGATTTATACATTTTGCACAAATTAAATTTTGAAATAGTAAATACTAATTAAAATATGTTAATTTTTTAATACAGTCATCATATAATAATATTTTAAATTCAAAAGTCCATTAAAAATAACAAGTATTTTTCAAATTTTAATTTATCACCTAAGAATTAAAAAAGTTATGTTAAAACTATTATGTGTGATACCTACTTACAATTGGGAAGTTGGAAATGTAGGTATAGGGTAATTTAAACCGTTTTCAATTTGTTAAAAAAGTGCGCATTGAGTTTTCTACTAAAATTACACGAGTTTTGTACTAACATCATGTTTTTAAATTGAATATGAAAATTAGATTTTAGTATTTTATTTATTTTTTTTAATTACTTATCACTGTATTAATAATTTTGTTTTATTAACGATAACAAGATATACCATTTTCCGGTAATTTACTTATGTAAGTACCGTCTATAGCTCCAAGTTTATCTGGTATATCTGCAATCTCATCCAAAATGCATTAAACATATTACAATAATTATTTAGCTAAATTGTATTTAATTTTTAATGATTTTGAACATGTTTATTTAATTTATGTAATAACCTATTTGTTTAAAATCATTTGATGTTAATTTTTTTTCATCGGTTGTAGGCATTCTTATAATACTAGGTAAAATATTCATTAGGAATTGATTTACTCCATTGAATACTACAAAAAATGTAGATTCATTACAACTGAAAACTTGTGCAGCAATTCTCATGAATTATATTTCCAACAAACCTAAATTAAAAACTTGAGTTATTTGTGCCCTATAGGCTATAATATTTATCTATCATAATTCAAATACCATACAAATATAAGTATATGTGCCCCAGCTGTTATTGTAGGTTTTCCTAATACAACTTTTGGATAATAATTTATGTTATTAAAATCAGTTATTATGGCTAGCACAGTACTTGATAGTCTGACGTTTTTCTTAAACTATAAAAATGGGAAAAGTACCTATTTTGAATAACTTAATTTAAATCCCTAACTAAATGTCTATTACAAATAGAAAATAAAGAGACCAGACAAACTATTAATTAGTAGTTGTTTAATCTAGATCTTGATTATACCTCCTTATCAGTAAATTGATGAACAGTATTCACAAAATCTTCAATTTTTGGTTTTAAATAATCATTGGAAATAATTAACATTAATTCTTCGTTGGACTTGTCTGATGATGACGATAAAATTTCCAATTCAATTATGGTAATCATATCCATATAGACAAAATTTCATAGAAATTCAAGTTTAATTAGAAAATAAAAAATAATAACAAATTATTTTAAATGATATTCATTAAATTTTGGTTGTAAATTGTAATCAATTCGAAATTCGAATACCCAATATCTAGAATTATAAAATATTAATAATCATTGTACATTTGTACTGTGATGGAGAACAGAGTTCGTAATTGTTATCGTACCATCAAAATCGGCAGTGCATTTTCTGAGCACTAAGTGCGCGCGAGATCAGTCAGTGCATCAAATCGAATGCCAAACACTGCCCCGGTTCACTGAATTTTATTTAAATCGAATATGTTTTATCAAAAATCTTGCATTTTTTTGTCAAATCTAATTCAACATTAGTTTCAATCCTGAGTGCAAAAACAGTATTATTATAATTAGGTATTTGTAACTGAAAACAAATTTAGGTGAAGTTTATTATGTGTTTAATCAATTTTATCGTAATTTGAAAATTGAAAAGATTTAGAAAATATAATTTTTAAGTTTTATTTTTTTTAAAAAAATCGTTTTATTACAGTGTTGTTTTTTATTTAACAGTTGGTATTACTATTCAGTACCTACCCACCATTACTATGTCTTTATAGCATGTTTTATGACTAAGTACATTTCATTTACTGTAGGTTAGCATTTTTAGGAGTCTTTGTTATTTGATTTCTGTACGTCGTTTGTCGTGTTTAATTTATAGACTATTGTGTTTAATGTTTTTACTTTACGTCCTGTTTAAAATATATTTTAGCAATTTAACGTGCTTTGTATGTAGTTGGTCTTGAATATTCAGAAATTTATAAGTATTTTAATTATAATGCACTAACTACTAAGGTCATCCAAAAGCACAAGAATTTTTTCGTTCCACCTACATTACATTGGAGATGTTTTTCTTCGCTATGTATTTTGCAATATCCTTTTTGGATATTTACATGCTCAGAAGGAGATAATTTCTTCTGCATACATCTAATCAATGAGGTATTTTACAGCTATGCATTTTCGTTTGCACTCAATCTTTCACATGGTTGTTTCGTTATTATTATGAACTTTTGTGTGTATCTTACAAACTTCATTATTATTATTAATAGATACCTATTTAAGAATATCTAAATTAATTGTTTAATAGTTATCAATTTAACATTTGATTATGAAATAATGAGCATTAAATTTTAAAGAACGTAACATTAATATTAAACACTGGTATCTAATATTAATGTTATCTTTTATAATTTAATTCTAGAGCAATGAGTATGCCCGTTGATCAAGATTGGACAAATGTATGGCCAGGCCAAAGGACATTTCATCCAGCTTCTGTGCCTTTAGCATTACGGCAAGGTTATGACCAGAAAAGAGCTTCGCCTGGGAAATATGGAAATGCTGAATTGATGAAGATTCCAAATTTTCTGCATCTTACTCCGCCAGCCATAAAAAAACATTGCAGTGTCTTAAAAAAATTTTGTACTGCATGGCCTGAGGGTTTAGAAACTGATGATGATTGCGATAAACATTTTCCACTAACTGTTATTACTACAGATTATTGCCATTCTTCACCGACTATTAAAGACCCAAAGGCCAGAATAGTTACACTCAAAGTAATTATTTTTATTAAATTCATTATTGATGTTAATGTAACATAATTGATTTTTCATTATCAATTAGATTAAATTGAGCGTATTAAATCTGGATAAACATGCAAGAGATAAAATGATAAGACTGGTCGGGGATAGATATGATGAGGAATCCGATATATTGACTATTGTTACAGATCGATGCCCATTAAGAAAACAAAATTATGATTATGGACTTTATGTTCTTACAGCTTTATATCACGAATCTAATGTATGTGGAAAAAACATTTGGTATTATGTTAGATGATTAATGTTTTAAAATTAATTTGTTTTATAGACCTTTGAAGAATGGGAACGAGAAAAACAAGAAGCTGACATGGAACATTATATCTGGGAAAACAATCCTTCCAAAAAAGCGTATGTTACATTTGTGCGGTGGCCAAATAAAATTACTGATGAAGATGTAAAGTCACATTGTATTGCCAACGATTCTGTGGGACAAAAATACAAGGATGCTGTTACTGAATTATTGAACAATGGTAAAATATTTATTTTAATATATGTATAATTTTTAATTGAATCAAATATTTCACTTTTAGGCGAAGATGTATATACTTTGAATAAGTACAAGGAAGCAGCACTTGCTGTGTTAAAACAATAATATGCTTAGGTCGCTTGAAATTAGATGTTTATATAATGAAATAATTATTTTGTACAATAAAATTAATGTTATTCTGATTCTTCTTTTTTTTCATTAATCACTATTGGTAATCTGTCACCCCATTTACTTGATCGTGCACACCAATATGGAAGTCTGTAACGTAAAAAATCAATTTGATACTAAAGAACACTTATTTATACAAGGTGGAAATATAATATAAGAAACAATAAATATTATTTAAAAATAACAATTATGTTTATTAATTTGAAATACATACTTTCCGTGTTTGGAAGCGGTAAAAATTATTTCTTGTAGTTTACCACTACTTGTGCACATTCGACAAATAGAATGTTTTGATCGTACTAAAACAGGCCTTACTATTCGAGGCCATTGTTCATCTGATTCTGTTCTTTTTCCTATAATGTTTCAAAAATAAAAGATAATTGATGGATTTGAAGTGCAAAATAAAATTGTCTTACCTTTCTTAATGACTAGGTATGAGAATAGTTCTTGTTTGATTACAGTTTGTTGACCTATTTTTGGTGTGAAATATTGTACTTCAAAATTACAAGGTGTATCATCAGCATGATAACGTGGACAAGGATGTTCGTGAGAGCACTATATTAAATCAAAATATGTTAAATTTTAATTAATTTATTAAAAGCAGTTTTTGAAAATTACCGGAGAAAACACATGACTTCTTATATTATTATGAGAAGATATTTCCAATATAAGATCTCTAGCTTCGTTTATTAAATTGTATCCAGCTCTTGTACCCATTTCAACTAGCACAATATATTTTTTTGTTTTGTTCCACAAGTTTAATAAGGTTTCAAAGCGACTTTTAATATTTGGCAGTTCAAATAATGAATATGCAGACACAACCAGATCAAATTTCATCTAGGAATAACAGATGAATAAATATTAATTACAAATTAGTTTTATGATTACCTATAATATTAAATAAGTACATTTGGTGATGCTGGTAAAAATTGTCTGTAAAATAGACCTTTGGGTAAAATCTTTTCATTATTTGGATTCCCGTTTTGTAATATAAGTTTAGCTAGATCATTCATAGTTTGTGAAGTGTCAACACAATAATACTCTTTTAATGATTCTCCCCAGAAATTTTGAGCATTCCTGAAAACAAGTTATGAATTAAACCTATGCCTTATTAACATTATTTCTGATTATAATATAAACATATTGAAAAGTTTACATGGTTACTGTGCCAACACCAGAACCAAAATCGAACAAAGACTCTGGTGCAAAATTTGGATCTCTCTTTTGAATTTCGTTGAATATAACTTTTAAAACATTATATTCTGGAGCAATGCGAGCTAGTAAGTATTGATGGCACACATGTTCATTGTTGAAGTTAATTGGTTTCCAATTGTAAGTCCTTTGAGCTATTAATTTTTCTACACGATTTTGTATAAACTTTTCAAACTCCACTTGTTGTTCTGGACTCATATTTTCTTTATAAACTATAATGTCAAAGTGATTATTAATAATCAATTGTATTAGAACTTAATTAAATATCTCTTAAACTTACAAAATTCCAATTCCTTACTAAGTTATCTTATTTGTATAATATATCACCTACCTACTAGTAGGTTAGGTTAACAATACCAAATAGTTTATTACATATACATTATACATACATTGTTTATCCAATTCTACTGTATGCTGTTTCGTTTTTTCTCTTATTTCACTTTCTTCAACAGGACCATGTCTACTGTGCATGTAATTGACTAATAGTGGTGCATTGGTCATCACAGATTTTAATTGCACATCTGAACAACATAATTTAACCGCAATTTATTTAAATCGCAGTTATGGAAGACAAAATGTATGGAATTGTTACCTTTTAGGGATATTATTATCGAATTAATCAAGTCGTCGGGCAATGGTTCAATGGGAATATTAAATCTTCCAGGATGTTTTCTGGGTTTGATTTCCTCGCGCAACAACATTTGTCGTACATTTTCATTAAACACGGTTGTTAATTTCAATTTAGTCCCATACTATGTAAAAAAAAAAAAAAAAAAACAAAGTACATTATTTTAGTCTTCGGTATTGATAAATGGTTACACTTACAGATCTTTTCAACAAAACAATGCAACTAAACATAATAGCGTTTAAAAATTCAAAATCGTATTACTTTGCGATTTCACATTTATCAACCGGCAGTAAAACTTATCAACGTTATCAACTCTCCGTGTTTTATTATTATTGTTTTTTTTATCACACGATAAGAAAACATTATTGACTATCTATTGGTTAATTTTTTTAGTTTAAATTTTTTATTTATCAACATATTGTCATTCTCCCGTACCTATCGATTATAGTTTACGAGTACAAGTAGTAAACGGCGGGCAATTTAAGATCCATCGTCACCAGGCCTGTGGTCACAATATTATCTACTTTATATATTTGAATGTTCTAATAAGGAATGGAATAGTTGCGTCGATTCAGTTGAAATAAAAATGAAATTCGCAGAGCACTTGGCCGCACACATTACTCCTGAGTGGAGAAAACAATACATCAGTTATGAAGTAGGTCATTTTACACAACGTCTTAATGGGGATGGTTTTTTTTTATTTTTGACGCGGGCTGTATTAATGTGAAACATTTCATTCCATAGGAAATGAAAGAAATGTTGTACGCGGCCATTGAACAGGTACCAGCACCCGACCAAGTGGACGCAGATTCAATTTCGCGATATTATGCCAAATTTGACGAAAAATTTTTCAGTTTTTGCGACAAAGAACTCGCTAAAATCAACACATTCTATTCAGGTTTCAAACCGCATTTATGATTTTGTTTGATACCACCGGCCTTCTTTTTTTTTTTTTTTTCTATTATTATGACAAATTGATTTCATACGTTTTATCACCTGTGCATGTTACAATCGCATGACTATTACCTATCTACAATAGAGTGTCCGTGTGTAAATACTGGATTAACAGTGTTAATTAAGATTTTAATTTTTTGCACAAAATGTTTCAATTCAACACTCATTTTTAATCTAATTCATTTTTACTTCGATAACCGTTAATTATGTTTTAGTGTATAAAATGGTATATTGTTTTTTGTTATAGAAATCATATATGTCTACACTTTTGAATTGAGTGAAGACAATCTAAAAATAATTATAATTATTAGTTTTACTTTTATCTATTTTTATAATTATTATAATAGCATGAACGAATAGTATAATTAATTTCATTAATAGATATTCTAAACTATTAACTAGGTAAAGAAAAAACAAAAAAAATAATAATAATATAATACTAGTTACTTATAGGTTAGTTGACCAATTAAAAAAAGTAGCTACATTTTATGCGATTTAAAACTAGTAAATAATATACAACATTATATTAATAAAATTAAATAAATAGGTAGATATATTTATTGATTTATTTTTATAATTTTTTTTTTTTTATAAATTTAATCACTTCTTATTATTTATTTCATATTGCTTGTTACCTATTTCTTTAGTTACTTATTTTTAATTTATTAGAATAGTAATATTATTTACACTAAAACTGACTAGAAAATGTTAAATAACAATACGTTTATTCAATTAGGTTTCTATTAAGTAATAACTTGAAACAAATATTGTAATACTGTTAAATTGTATTGCGTTTTCTTAATCTATTCTACATTTTAAATGTTTATTTAAGTTGTTTAAATTTTACTCACAGCATGTAAATCACATTTGAACTATTGTAATTTACTAACTGATTAAAATTTAAACTTTAAAACACTCAAATCTTGTTTGTATAATAAATAACTCCAAACTTGTTAAATGTTTCTACCTTTTTAAATAGTGTAGTCATAAGATACTTATAAATACATGATATGTATAACTTTGTATTATACCTATAGAATTATATATTCATAAAGACGTACATAATACAATACTATCGTAAACTTTAATTTAAATTTTTTTAAATATATTATATAGTTATGAATAAAATAAGAAAAATGGGAATTTCGAAACAAAACTCGAGTTAAATATAATATATAACTTTAAACAAATTTACTTTTATAATTGTTTCGTAAAATATAGGAAGAGTGGAATCCATATACAAAGTAACTTAAATTAATATTTTTCATGATAATATTTATTTAAACAAATTTAATACTCCTCATAGGTAGGCGAAAAATCTGTATCTTTCAAAGTATGACGTGTGAAAATCTGAGCCTTTTTAATAAACGAAAAAAAAATGATATATACATAGAAAAACTACCCTACTCCCATAGTCTAAAAAAAGTAAACAAAAAATATTGTGCTGCAAAATTAATATTGTTTGATAATATTTTATAAAAAAAAAAAAAAATACTTTTATTATTTAGATTAGAGTAACAAATTTGTAATAGGTACCTCCTAGTTTTATAATGAGACCATTGTAAATATTATTTTCACTTGGTGCACTGACTTTTATTGTAGATGCTGCTGTAGAAAACTAACATTACACAATATTCAACTAAAAGTGTATACATATAGTTATTTATTTCCAAAATTCAGAGACATTAATAAATGTATATTGATATCATTTTTGAAATACCCCCTTAGGATTTCATTTGTCCCCTAACAAATACAATTGTCGACAAAATATATTTATTAAATGTACAATTTCATATAGAAATGACCAATGAAAAAAAGTGAGACCTTTATCAGGAAAATGTTTTGTATTTAACACTGATTGATTTATTGTGTACCTAATTCTCAAATCGGAATCAATCAGAATAAATAACATCAAAATGCATATAGGTACTAATCCGAAGATATTTGTTGTTAGTTATAGGTACCTAGGTACTCATATAATGGTAATGGGTATTGGGTACACATAGATTAAATGATAATGATATATTAACGTATTCTTGTAAAATAGTATTTTTTGGCCAAAAATTAAAATTAAGACAAACACAACCATTGCGTGTAATTTTGTATTTTTAAAATTGTATATACCTATGCGAGTTAATTTTATTTTTTACAAATACAAATTTGATGCCACGAATCATATTGTTACCTATACTTAAAGGAAAACGGCGTTAAAACAAAGAAGCCAGTGCGCAGCTAACGGTTGTTTAAATTTAACGTAGGTACGTATACCTACCATATTACCTAGGCAGGTGGGTAGATAGGTAGGTAGGTAGGTAGTAAGTAATAATTTATATAATAAGCTAGAATAGATAGATAATAATATTTTATTTGTCCTTAGAAATATTGTTCTTAAAAAATTTGAGTATAACGAATCAAGAGCATAAAGATATTACAATATGTTATTAATATCAACAATTTCTGAAAAACTGGCAAGATATAATGCTACTATATGTATTTTTAATCTAGATGTAGAGACTTGTTGGCAAACAAACGTCCGTACGTAGGTGTATTATTTCTATCGTTTGATTCAATTGAACATTTTAATAATATTTAATAGTTAAAGCAATTAATTTTAATTTAATTTGTTTTAAAATACAAATTAAATTACACGTGGATGCACAGCCACACATTGTAGCAGAGTAGGTATAGGTAAAATCAACTCAAACGAATCTGCATAAATAAACCATGATTAGGACGCCCATTAGTATTATAGCTATCTAAGAACGGGTGACGCATGCCTGGGCAGTTTTAACGAGTTTCGAAAAAAACGAAAATTTATCGACTTAAAAATTAAAATTCACTTTTATATAAATTTAAAAACGGTGTACCAACGATTATTGGCGATTATTGGTCTTCCACGTCCTGTCTTTCCGTTGATTCTTCCTTCGATGGGTACCTGCTTATAAAAACCTGGAATCTGGAAGTAACATTTTTGGAATTTCGATGAAATCATAGTTATCTGTCGATAATTTTATGCATTTAATGACTATACCTAATTCAAATATTTTCAGATTTCGATTTCCGTGAAAACCCGGAAAGTACAATTTTGGATTATTGTCTTCCCAAATATTAAATGTCCAATCCACTTCTTTTCTTATTTCTCTAAGCGTGTTCCTTATGGTAGTGACTGAGTAGATATCTATATCTTACAAATAACCTCTTGCTTTCTGCCAATGAGATACACACAGCTCTGATTCTTCAGCACTACTTTTTTATGGATTCAATTTTGGCTTTCTCAGTCAAGAGCTGTCGACTTGTCCACTTTATCTAATTGTATAAACTTCATGTCTTTGTGGTGAACATTATCTCATTTCTGTGAAACCTTGTCTTGGTATATAATTGAATACTTGGACGATATACGACATTATTATTAAAATAAAATATTGTATCTTATACTATTATTTTATTCGATAACATCGATAACTTGCCCATTACATGTAATATATTGTTAAATAGATAGCTCGCATATTAAAATTATTTAATTGTAGACATAATAAAAATGTAATTACGTACAAATATCAAAAAAATTTGTAAGTATGAGTAAATAAATAATGTTATTATAATAGGGGCCCATTATTATTATTATTAGTAGTAATAACAGTAAATAATTACCCGATTCACGATGCGGTTAACATTATGATATAGGTAATAATTTCATGGTTGGACTTGCGCGTTAAGGACATTTTAGAATTGAACACGTGTAGCTATTTTGTTATTTTATTTTTATCGTATTTTTGTGTAAAAAAGTCCTCTATAACTGATATATTGAAAAAATTAAATTTGGATAATTTAAAATGTATTTGACTACCGTTTTTTTTTGTACACTGTCTACTACACTATTTATGTTTTGTATCGCATAGATTTGCACAAACGTTCGTTTCGTATTGTATTATTCAATTAATATTATTTCTAATTCGCATCATGTTCATATAGTAATTTAAATTTGTAGACTTTATAGTTTATACCTATAGTAAGTATTGTTCTTTGGTAAAACATTTAACAAATTGAAAAACATTTTATACGAGAATCGAAAAAAAATACGTAATCAAATATCACAAGGTTTAATAATAAATAGGTTTTCTAAAAATAAAATATTTTAGCGGCGTACCTGCCTATAAAAATGTATCAGACGTTGCAATGAAATTGTGGTAAGTGGTACTCGGAGAATCATTGTTGGTCAAATGAAAACGGACAAATATTATCAGGGCTCGAATTTTATAGCATTTGCTAACTATTATAGGATGTAGATACAAATAGCAAAGTGAGCTTTACATTTGTTTTATGCACCAGGGACCTCAAATATGCAATTTTATATTGTTATTTTCTGCTACTATTTATAATATAATGATTTATTTTGTATTTTTCATAAATAGTAGAAAAAATATGTCATTCATGTGAATCCACAAGAAAAATACTTAGAGTTTCATTTTATATTATAATCTATTTTTAAGTAGCGAGGCGTATTGACCCATCGAACAGCCTACATTTATGACTTCTTATCAGTAAGTTGTATTTATATATTAAAAAAAAAAAAAAATTAAAAATTAAAATAATAAACACATTTTCTTTTTTGATATTTTTCATGTTTTTATGGCATACTATAGCGCTTATTTTAAGACTTGTCAGGTCACATCTAGCGCATATTTCGGTTATTTTTAGTGCTATAAAATCCGAGCCTGGATTATTCGATTAAATGGTTCGCAGTCCGCATACATTGCATATAAAAGAGCGTTTATAGACCATAGGTACCAATCATATGTATATATATATACATACTTATTAGAAGTAGGTACAATATTGATTTTATTTTCTAGTTTTTTTTTTTTTTTTAAATTCCATTTCCTTAACAATTTCTAAGGACTTTTGAGGACTCACAAATGTTCAAATACTATGTAATATTTACTATATTTTATTGTCGATTGCTTATCATTAGGGCTGTGAATTTGTAGGAAAGTGCATTTTTTTTAGGTGATTGTGAAACGCAGCTTTCTAAGTACATAATTTGAATCATGTAACATCAAATTCATTTATGAAAGTTTTATTTCGCATTTTACGACGTTTTTAATTTCAAGGTCATTTTTGGATTTTCTAATTAATATTTTCCCTTTTATTTCATTTTCCAGTATTTTTAATCAAATTCGGTCATTGACATTTGTACACACATATTTTTTGTTTTATACAGGCTGTATATACTTTAAATTTATATTTTATACAAGCTGTATACAGGTTAGGTAAAGTAATAAGGATTTGATAAAAATAAGTTAGGAGCTATATAGGAGTTCTATTTAATATAGAGTTGGACAAAGAAAACTCTAAACTTTCTTTTTTGAAAATTCTAAATATTTGTGTAACTCAAATTGAATTATTTGTGTTTAACATATTATTATAATTCATTTATTACTTATGTCCCTTATACATCCAATATTAATAAATTATATATTCGGTTATTAAAATAAACCAACAGTTCTTGGATCATATACATTTGCCACCCCTAGGCTATGGTCTCATTCCTTTGTCACTCGTTAAACGCAGCTCTATCGGTAGGTAGATAACATTGAATATTTATTATTTTTTTTTTGTTAATAATTACTCATTTTCTGGCATTTCTAATATCGAATATTCCGATATTTGATACCGATTTAAAACCGAATCTGATCTAATATTTGAAATCGAAAACCGCTCAGTTAACATTGAAATTATAACCGATACATCGGTTAAGAGCCCGATTTTTCAAACGCTTTTTTCATGTTCCATGAGACATTACAGATATTTTTCTCAGAAAATGTCAGTTTTTAAAAACCCGAAGTTTTATGTTTCAATATCCTTAATATACGGTATCAGCGTGTGCCGTTGCTCCCCACTACGGAGCATCACGATTGCGCTCGTTTGACATTTTTACCCTCGAAAAAAGCAACACGATTTCGCTCCACAAAATGTAGGTTGTCCTTTTTACCTATCGCAAATACAAAACGATTGACGCTTTGCTAAAAATTATGATCATACATGATATAACCATTATTGTTCCCATAGGGTTTATTACATATACGCCCTATACTCTCAACATTACTCACAAATAATTGAAAAAAATGTATATGATATTATTATCGTGACTAGTTCAAAACCACGTATGTGACTAAAACCGAAACAGCAATAAAAATTGTTTGATTGTATTTATTTCAGTAATTTGTGTAACTCAAAATTTCACAATTTTCTTACGGTACATATTACATTATTTTTAAAAATGTTTTGAGTGTTTTGTTTCAATAATTTTACTTTACTTTTTGTATCATTGGTATTATCTTGTATAAAACATTATGTGAAACAATTTTTAGACCAGCCATCAATCGTGTTGTATAGGTATGCGGAGGGTAAAAAAGGACAGTACCTACCACTTTTTTTAACACCTATTTTTTTGGAGCGCAATTGTTTTTCGATACTTTGCAGGTAAAAATATAAAACGGGCGCAATCGTGTTACATCCTCCCACCCTCACTACCTATTATTGCAATTTTGTAATGTTGCTTAATATCTGTTGCGTTATAGAAAAATTGGCAGAAGCGACCAGGAAATTTGCTAATCTTCAGAGTGATTTGAGAGAGGCCCAAGATGAAAAAATCAAACCTAAAGACGCCAGCGGGAATTTGAAGCCGGTAAGACGGAAAATATTGCGAAAAAACACGACGACGCGCAAAACGCAAGAATTGAAATTGGCGTTTAGCGAATTCTATTTGAGTTTGATACTGTTGCAAAACTATCAAAATTTAAATTACACCGGCTTTCGGAAGATTATGAAAAAACATGACAAGGTATGTGTCCGACGAAAAATGACGGACGAATTATAATATAATAATATGATGTGTGTTTGAATAAATAATTGAAATGTTTAGCCGTCCCAAGGTATAAAACTGCGGTTCGCGGTATTGTGAATTGAATTACCCTTAACGTCTGACAGACTCACACGTTCGATATAATAACATTTATCCGAAGTCTTATTAGTGGTAAAGTTTATGTTCCCGGGAATTTTGAACAAATTACCTCTTGAGTTCCTGTAATTTATACCAGGCCATAGGATTTATTTGATCATCATGCAGTGAAATCGAATTTATTGTAAAAATTACTGTATTGTTCGAATTGTGAAACGCATTAACACGTCTAACGAGGCTATGTTTTGAATATGTCATAGTTAATAAAGCGATAGATCCCAATGGACGCTTGTAAAGTCGCCCCTACCCCTCACACGTTGTCCGATTTTCATAAAATCTTCATGAATATTTTGAAAATGATTTGCAAATATTTACAAAACTGTTTCAAGAATTTGCAAACCATTATTTTGCACGTGAGATCCTTCTTTAAGTAGCGGGGCAAATTCATGCGGCCCCTTCATGTTGTCCGATTTAAGCCAACCTTCGCGGATATTTCGCACATATTTTTACAATATTTGCAAATTATTATTTTGTCCGATTATTCTACTTACTAGGTAATAGGCGCTACAGCTACTGCCTCTAGAATATTATTATATAGATCAGATCAAAACGATTAAATAATGTGATCTACGTCTTCCATACGGTGCGATTATTCCTCGTCTAAAACAATTTGAGTCGAGGAAACGCAGCTCTTTTAAATACCTTAACTAGGTACGCATTTATCATATTTTTTGTTTTCTAAACAATACAAATATAAATATCGGCGGGGGAAAGGGGGGAGTTGTAGATAAATAAGTTTAATACGCTAACAGTACACCTACTTACCTAACGGACGAGTTTTGTCGCGTTTAAGTTGATGTGTTCCGAAGGCGGTTCGGGAGGTCGTTGGAGATCGGAAGTGGTGGAGAACGCGCATTTCTACTGCAACAAAGACATCGACCGACTGATCAGCGAGACCGAGGCGACCGTCACTCAGGGATTGGAGGGCGGAGATCGGCAGAGGGCCATGAAGAGGCTGCGAGTGCCACCGCTGGGCGAACAACAATCGCCCTGGATCACGTTTAAAGTGGGCCTGTTTTCCGGCGCTTTTGTCGTCATGCTCTTGGCGGTCATCATTACTGGTGAGTATAAGGGAGGTCGATTTTATCGCTTTTTAATTTATAACATTGTGCCACCAGGGGAGGGTAGGTAGTGTTATTGTTAAATGGAAATATTTTTGAGGGTCTACCAAAATGAAAAAGAATTTGATCGATCATTTCGCTCGCATGTTAAACACAGCGATTTACAGAACGTTATTTACATCTATTAAAACGATAAAAATCTACAAGATCCGCAAGCAAATTGTTGGCTCTTCGCGGTATTATCGTATTGTTAAAAATAACAGTAATAATCATTTTTAATTTAATCATATTTTAATTATTTATCACCTATTTTGTGAATTTATTTTATTATTTTGTACAAAAAAAAAAAAAAAAAAAAGGTAGAACCTGTTCCTAGAAGGGCCGATGGAGCTGCTTTATCCCCCGGTCTTGCTAGATTGCATAGGCTTCTTCGTGCCGCAAGACAATAGGCGCAAGACGGATTTATCCGCGACGCGAAGCCAACATGTGCACATGTGCAAATTCTCGTTTGACGGGCGGTGTCAGTACTTACCCGCCGAGGACGTATCCGGCCAGAGCTTCGAAACACTACGGGTTCGGCTCTCTCCGCGTGGTTGATCGGGGAGTTTTTCGCGCTCCGACCGTCAGGTCGCATCGTGGGATGTCCACGGTCAACCCACTTACCTCCGGCAACGGTGGTTGTGTTATCAAACGCGTGTCGGTAGGCTCCTGTCTGCCTCCGCGATTCGGACTGATCATCCATCCGTCGGTGATTGGGTGTCGGAACGTGCTCGACTTTTGACATTTATGAAAAGTAATCCGGGTGGTACTCGAAGCCCCGGTGTCGGACCTCTTGCTCGGCGCAGAACGGGAACCCCGTCGCCGGCCGCAGACTCGCGCCGTGCTCGGCGTCGGGCGGTTGGCTTCGGGCGGGCTTGTGAATTTCGTTGGACAGTGATTAAATAGCCAGCGGTCACCCACCCGACGGCCACCGAATCTCGAGCAGACGGACGGCTAGGTGATTCGGGGTGCGGAAGCTTGGGCCGCGTTTTGATGCGTTGATATGCATCCGGGGTTCGCCCTGAACCCCCGGGGCTCGTGAGTAGCTTATAGCTACTCCTATTAGCTCTATTAGCTAATAGACGGTCCCCGGTTGTACAGTTGCTGCATTTATGCACGGATTGAAAACTAGGACCCCCTGCAGTCACATTCGCCTGTTACACCGGTCTCGTTGACATCGACATAGACGAGGGCCTACTGGGAAAATCCCTTTTTCCCTATGGGCCTATCCACCCCCGCGAGTGAACCTCTCGCACTCGAATTTCGGACGGTTCTGTTTTTTCCCCATAATTATACCTACCCCGGTGTTTCTTTGGCCCTGATACCGGGTGCGTGCAGACGGCAATAATCGTTCGCTAGATATGATATTTCGGTACTTTGCACGGGCCGTCGCCGGAATTTTTCAATTTTACCGCTGTAAAAGTGTAACGTATACGGCGTGTGAAATTTGGTAAATTTATTGAAGTCTTTTTTTTTTTTTTTTTTTCACACGCGCATTATTGCGCACCAGGCATTGCCCACGGAGATACGAACACTGACTGGAGGGTGATGGTCAGACTGTACAGGGGACCGCTGCTGCTGGTCATATTCCTGTTTCTCATGGGCATCAACGTGTACTGTTGGCGTTCGTCCGGCGTCAACCACGTGTTGATATTCGAACTCGATCCCCGGAACCATCTCACCGAACAGCACATCATGGAGCTGGCCACAGTTTTCGGCCTGGTGTGGGCCGGTTCGGCACTGATTTTCCTGTACAGCGAGGCACTGCACATACCGCCGTACATAAACCCGCTGATCCTGGCCGTGCTCATGATAGCGTTCCTGTTCAATCCCACGAAAACGCTACGGCACGACGCCCGTTTTTGGGTGCTGCGCGTGACGGTAAGTATCGCATTTATTTTATTCGCTTAGCCGCCCTGAGTTTTAACGAATTCATACTACCGCGTTGATTTATATAGGATGACGTCAGCGTGAATACGTTTTTGAAAAGAAAAACCTCGCTTCGCAAAATCGTTTCGCCTGTGATTTTGCCGAATAGGCCATCGGCATAATTGTATTCTTGCGGTGATTTTTACTGGCTTACACCGTAACGAAACCAACGTTAAAAACGTCTACAGTATTACTTCCCCTATCTTGTATGACAGCCGTACTCCCAACGTCTGTCCCGCTCGGATCGCGGCCTAAAACGTATAAAGTCTAGTCGGATTTATGGATTTAGCGTAAAACGACTTTTTCCTCCCCTTTGAGCCGTGAATCGGGCTGATAGTGTAAAACGTCCCACTGCGATAATTACAACTAGATACAAAATTTTATCGGAAATATTATACACGTATTTTGTCATTAAAAAAAAAAAAAAACCCCGGATTTTTCGAGCGTATAAATAATTAATATGTCGCCAACACCTCAGAATCTGGCTTGTTACTCTGAAATCAGTGGCCCTAAAATCATTTTGAACGTCGAAGGCACATCGATAGGATTCCTGTTTTGCGTAAACCATTTTCGCGATTACACTTTGATAATCGTTCACTTGTGACACGAGACCACTTTTACATTTATCCGAAAGGCAGATTGAATATTCGAGTAAGTCGATCGATTTGTCGAATTGTCAACAATTAATCGTTAAAATAGCCTACACACGGCCCCTTAAAATAATATATTGGGGGGCGTGGGACGTTTTAATATTATTTCGATTTTTCCGTTCGTTCGGGTTTCGCGATAAATCGTAATGCCGTTAATGCGATGGACGTATAATATGCCCGCGTCGGATACTCACACTCGTAAGTCGGGTGAACGAACCACGGCACTATGTTACGATATTATGCGCTTGCTGTATAACAGAATATTTTACCGAACGTCATCGTTAATGATGATCATCTGACGCATCGTGCGATAAAATCTAAATGAAATTCCGATAGAAAACGACGACGGCGACACGATTCATTAAATCATTTACAGAGTAGTATTTTTAGATTCTCGTATAATAATATTCTAATTAGGCGGGTATTGTACATTTTCGTTGATACCGCTGTATTGAGAATTCGTATACGATTATAACGATGTATTTATGATGCGTTCTTTTAGTTCCGCAGTAATATTGTCGATTATCGTATATGTTAACGACCGAAAAAAGTTCAAATGTTTAATGTCGTCCGCGTGTATCTCGGTATGATGGTATTCTTAAGTGTCCAGTACAGTCCGGTGTTCGGAAAGAATGCGCTCATTGAATTTACTTCCTTCATTGTAGAGAAGTCCGATTTTATGATCGCAATTATCTACGGATTCATTAATTTTACGTCGGAATGACTGGGTCGCGGCGACGATTGGCCAGAAACCGACCGCAATTCTGACGACGAATGAAATTGTTCCGGATTTATTGCGTATAATCATTGACTTGTACATCTACATCCCGAGGACACGCGAGGCGTTGGATTACGATAGATTGAATTATGTAAAGCCTGGCGTGAGGAAAAGCAAATTTGTGCTTCGAGGACAGCCAATTAAAACACTCCAATTATTATCTCACGTGTTTCTGTTCTCAAAATGAAACTCCACCCACCGGGATGCGTTTTTATGCTGAATAACGTTCTGTATGTTCTGTAAGTCTATGCGTATAATATTGTACCGTCTGGACAATGGAGAATAATGGACTAGCCACGGTGATCCGGTTATCGAAATAGTTACAGATGCACAACTGTGTAGGGTTCTAAAATTGCATGACATTTATATTTTTGAAAAAATTCATAAGAGTTTCGTGAAATATTTTATTTTGACGGAAAGGTCAAAAAACAAAACTATACAATTTATTTTAGATTCGGAGAGTAGCGGGTAATATATTGGTTTTACAATGATGTTTATTTATTGTTATTTTTCTTAAATCTGCAAACAACTTTTCTACCCGAATTCTTGCTTTGATTTCAAATGTAGTACTTTTTCTGACATGTTATTTAGGTAGTACTTACTAGGAAATCCATTTTTTTGATTTTCCGTGTGGTTTTTCTAATAATTGAGAAATACCAGGAAAATGTACGCACATGTATAAAAGAAATTTCGCTCCGAATCGTTTTTCATTTGCAATGGTTTATCATTGCGTACAGATATAAATTAAATTTCTCTCTGTATTCTACCTTTCCAAATTCTCACCTACAACATTGGTCCACCCATCGTGTAAAATGCGTTCATAATTTTTAATCTAAAACTCAAATAGCAACGACGGTAAACATTTACTTAAAGCACTGGTCCTAAATCGTAGCCCGTGGCTTTTTAAAAACTGTTAATAACAGAATTGAAAACATCTAGAATTAATAATAGCCTTAACGAATATTGATGAAAGTGAATACGGATGCATGTAATAAGGAATTATGAATGTAAATCCATTAAATTTTTAAGCTCAAGACTGTGAATGGGAACGCATTCGTTTGCATTAATTTTACATTTTGTGTGTTTTAGGTACGCATAATATTCGCCCCGTTCTTCTACGTGGGATTCGCCGACTTTTGGCTGGCCGACCAGCTGACGAGTCTGGTGCCGGCGTTACTGGACTTTCAATATCTCGTGTGTTTCTATTTGACCAACGACAAGTGGATGTCGAATAAAAGTAAATTTCTCGTTTGCGATGCACACAATTATAATTTCTACGGTATTGAGGGAATCTGAAACGGAACAGAAATTCTCTTTTAGTACCTATCTAACAAATCGGAGTTTATTATCGATTCATTTTCTCCATTCGCTCGTGAACGGAGAATGTCCTAAGGTTGTTATATAAAACAATATTGGAATACTTGAGGTTATGTTCAAAGAATTATTTTTTTTATCAGGTGTATGAGAGAACTCCCATCTAATTAGTTTCTTATCGCATTCCATCACCGCCGGGGTTAGCGATAGTGATAGCCTTAAGTGCCGTTTGTATGTGTTCTGAAACGTTAAGTTATGATGCCGTTATGCCGTTTTGAGTTGTGCTGTTTGTATTTTAGGAGTGGGATATATGGTACTTACCATACCTATTTTTACAAGTAGTTATTTTCTTTACGATAGTAAATATTCGTTTTTATTTTTCAAAAAATTTCGTTTACAGACAATCTCTTAAACATCACAGGGTAGTTTGAGACATTGAGACGTGCTCCTAGAATCTTAGATTATATCTTTTAATATAATGAGGGTGACGAAAACATATATTATCTTGTCACAGCCATCGACATCGACGGGAGCAAGTGCGTAGAGCGCGTGTGGCTGCTGCGGCCGTTCGTTGCTTGTTTGCCTGCGTGGTTTCGGTTTATGCAGTGCCTAAGACGTTACCGGGACTCTCGGGAGACATTCCCGCATCTGGCCAACGCCGCCAAGTACGCAACCACTTTCTTCGTGATAACGTTCTCATTTCTGAACCTCCAGTACGCGAGTAAGTGAAACATAATACTTAATATAATTATCTTTGATCCCAGAGAAGAAAAGCTCAAGTCTATTATGTATAGTTTTCAATACAAGCAAATTACATGTTGAGAACTTTTAAATAGCATAGTGGACAAAATGCTAAATGGGTGAATAATTCCTGCATCATTGATTAAATATACTGGTCGTTCTTTCTATTGAGATATTTATAGTACTAATTTTATGTTTCTATTTTATCCATTGACTTGGACTATCTATGTATATTTAATCAATGCCTGTATAATACATATTATGACTTATAACTTTTTTGCCAAACAAAAATTACATCAAAGTGGCTTACAATATTTACATTTTTAGTATAACACTATAACACACATATTAGGATATTCACACATTCATAATAAAGTAATTTAAGTAAATAAAAAAAAAAACACCCCGGAGAGAATATTTATTTAAATTTATAAATGAGAAGTATTTCTTTCTTGTTTGAATCAAAGTATTTCCAAGATCCGGAATCATCTTTACGTCTTTAATTTTTATATTTGTACTTATTTATACTTAAGAATTATGGATATTTTGATCGCTCCCCTCTCAATGGCGCGCTTGGCAGAACTTCTATAAAATAAAGTATTTGAGAAAAGGTAACATTACATTTTTGAAATCATAAACCAAGGTTACACTGATACTTGTGTCATCGTTATGTATATTATAACAAACCAAAAATACTAACTTTCTTATACATATTTTTAATTACCTAAATGGACAAAATAAAAACCATACACATATATTTAAGAAAAAAAGATTCTTTGTTAACTTCAACCCTTTGATGGAAAATCGGGCATACTCGGTTTTAAATATTTTAAAATAATTAAACTGCTCTCCTGTAAAATTTAGTGTTTAAGACACATTATTTTTGGGTTCTTAACTACTGATATGCAATATGCAGAGCAGACCAGTGGTGGTTCTGCCATTAAATTTTTGAGGAGGCAATAACTTGGTAGTTGGTACCGTTCTAAATATATTGTTTAGTAAATATATTTTTTCTTTCAAAACCTGCTTCACTTTCACTATTTATTGTAATTAACAGAAACTAGTAAGTTACTATTATTTGTTAAATTTTCTTCGAGATATTTATTTTTTAAGAAAATGACTTATCAAAAAACTTTTTGGAATCATGTGTTCGAAAATGTTACTTTGCCCTTATTTCTATCGCTAGGAGCGGTTCTAGAATTCGAATTTCACGTGAGCACCTTTAAAAATTCCAGGAAGGGAACGATAGATTGATCGAAAATTAGCATTAGATATACAGACTAAAGTACTTAAGTACAAGTACATAATAATAAGAATTGTAGGTATACATAGTGGTGCGAAGAAGCTTATGGTTTTACAAAGATGTTTATTTTATTTTTTTTTATGTGCGCAACTATAAGCGTTCGAATGATTATTTCAATTCAGCCGCTGAACCAAGGCCGCCAACGAAGGTGACGGTTATTGTAGTCTCCACAGAGAATCACTCATGCGATTACTCTGTTTATATCACGAAATTCTACGAGAAACAACGATTTCTATCGACTATCAGAATCAATAGTGTTTTCGAAATTCCGGATTATTTTTGCACGTGACATTCCGGAAATTTCTGGTCCGAGGTATATAAGCGTCTGCGTATTTTTGTTTTTCGGGTTTTTACTGTCCAGAATATTTTGGTCTGAGCATTTATTTTTCTGGTTGTTTACAATCCGTACGTTTATAGAGTTTCGTATTCCGGATTTTTACAGTCCGCTGTTTTCTTGCCCGTCAATTTACATTTCAGAATTTTACAGTTCGTACGATTTTTTTTTTGGAACTTTCTAACCATCCATTTTTATATTTTTTTGTTATGCAAATCACCTACAGTACATTTCATGAAACTAGCGACTCCGCAGTGGCGCTTCCGGTGGTAGATTTTCGTGAGGGTTTCGTAAACGTGTGACTAAAAAAGCGCGGTAATTTAAAATGTGTTATAATTATTGTAAATATTAATGTTAAAATATCAAAAGAAAATGTATATTTTAGTATATTATAATAAATAATATAATGTATAATAAAATATATTATACAATAAATAAAATAATTACTTTTATTCATATTTTTTAAAAACCGTGCAGTATTCCAAATTGCTGCGTATTGTGTGCAATTTTGAGAAACCGTGAAACACCAACATTTTACCACCGGAAGCGCCACTGCGGAGTCGCTAGTTTCGTGAAACGTACTGTAGTTGGTAAAATTGATTCTCCTATTCTTTTCTCCCTTATTAATTTTAAAGTCCTATCTCGATTCACTTGATTCCATACTCAAATCCATATTCCCCGTTCATTTTCTAACTTTCTTGAAAACTCACCCATCAACCGTATAATGCAGACCGCTAACTGTATTCTCCCTTCCTTTTATACTTAATTTTCAATGTTAGTACCTTGTCCCGTATTAAATATAAATAAATAAATAAATAAATATGGAATTCTGATAAGTGCAGTCAATCATTCGATATTAATTTGCCGTAGCTCGTAGGCAGCATCAGTATTACACAAATATAGATAATAAAATTATTATCTATACCTGTGGCAGTATATAAATGCACGTATAATGTATATACCCATACATGTTTATGAAAATATTTTCCATAACAAGCTCCTTATCTAAATATTTACAAACAAGTGGCTTATATTTTTTAAAATGTCAACAAATGGTTGAAGGTACTATCAAATAGAAAAACTCCGACGAGATATGGAAAATTTAAAAATGTTCATAGAAATGTACAGTGCATAATAATTGATTTAGAGATTAAAAATACTGAAGATAAACAAATTAAGAAAGATTTAGAAATGTGTAATATTCTAGACTGGTTTTAAAATAAACGTGTTGGAAGAAAAAAAAAAATAGCTGATATTGGAGACGGGTGCAGCTACTGTTGTAGGTGAGAAGTTAGATACATTAAAAAAACGCAGGATACATAAAGTTATATGATTTATATCTGTACTCAAAGATAAACTATTTCTAACGAAAAACAATTCGGAGCGAAGTTCGGTAGGAAATAAAAACTAATGCATTCAAACTCAAATTTTTTTTAAAATCACTAAGTACAACTTACAATGTACCTTGTGAACATTTTGCAAACATTTCTTTTAAGTCGTTTAATTTTAATAAAGATGTCAAATAAAAATATATTGTCTAAAAACAAGAAAATATCAAATACCTATAAATAGCTTACAAATATTCAGAATGTTTTGGAAATGTTATCACGTCTACTTAAAATTGTTGGTAACGAATTAACTTTTAATTGTATCATACATAGCGTTGTTTGGAAAGTCCCTTTTAAAAATGGTTTCGTTCTCGTTTCTCATTCCTACTTTGAAAAAGGCACGCGTTCCCGTTCCTCGTATTTTTTTTCATTTTTCGTTTCTTAAAAAGAATTTTGTTCCTATAACTGATCTTTGCTATTTTTTTTTTTTTTTTTTTTTTTAATACCTAACCCAANTTCTATTAATTTTTTTAAATTCTTTCTATGAAAATATCATAAACTAATTTGCTTTGGAAATATACACATATTTAATATTAAAGGTTTTTATGAGTTTTTCATTAGTCACTAGTGTAAATACTAAATTTTCGTAAAAAAAAAAAATAAAAATAAATTGTAGTGTGAATTAATAAAGACTATCAAAATCGGAAACTATTTTTACTCCTTAGAAATTATTTAATTTGTTTTTATCGTTTTATGAATTTTTTTTTCTATAATAGGAGGAACGGAAATTGGCGTTTATGTTCCTCACAAATAGGAACTCTTTCCCTTTTCTTGTTCTTGTATTTTAAACGCGCTTCTTTCCAACATATGTATAAGTGCTTACTATATCTTAAACGGTACCTATAGGCAATTATAATACAAACAAAATGTTTAAACAGACCTAAACAAACTTAAGTTTTGCCGTCTTTTACATGTGAAACACTACATTAAACAGGTTATTTTTGTAGATAAATAATATTATAATAAACTTAATTTCGTTTTATCGGTAAAATATGATTATGCTAGTTAAAATGGAAATGATAACGAACGCGAAGTCGATAAAAAACTGTTGGGAGGACACCGCAACTTGCCATAAGCGTAGCACGCACGTTTATATTATTTGCCTGATTACTCCGACCGAATATTATATTTTATACAATTTGTTTTATAAATTATTATTTTTTATAATAAAATAATAATGTAAAAACAAAATTATTAAAACGGTTAATACTCGTAAATAAATATAGAAATAAACAATTTAAACAATTTTTATTATTTTTGAAATTTTGAACCCTGCTAAGTGGTAACTTTCCGATATCGATTTGTAGTAGCCCATAGGCAGTATCAGCAGTGCACACATTTAGATGATAAATTACTATCGAAATCTGCGGCACGTATATACCCATACATGTTTATGAAAATATTTTCCATAACAAGCTCTTTATCTAAATATTTATAAACAAGTGGCTTAGATTTATTAAAATGTCAACAAATGGTTGAAGGTTCTATAAAACAAATAGAAAAACTCCAGCAAGATATGGAAAATACAAAAATGGCACATGATAAGTTCATAGAAAAGACACAATGCATAATAATTGATATAGAGGTTGAAAATATCGAATATGATAAAATTAAGAAAGATTTAGAAGTGTGTGCCAAGACCAGTTTAAACGTAAACCTATACAATACCTATAAATAGCCTAAAAATAGAATGTTTTGAAAATGTTACCATGTTTACAAAAGGCCAACATGAGTGTTTTATGAAAATTAAAAGGTCTGTACACTAGTTTTTAACCGAATAGTAAAAGAAAACCCAAATACCTTATACTTTGCATTATTTTTTACGTTTGTTCCCGATTTTTGGAAACTATTAGGAAAACTATACGGAAAATCAAACGACTTTCTTACTTACAAAGTAGACGAAATTTTCTTTAAGAAAGTATTCTATTCTTGAATATTGGACGAAAATTACCAATGGAATAGTATAATCTTAAACATTTTAATCGTTGTGCTGTAATTTGAAAAAAAAAAAGTATTTTTTGTCTTTTTGGTTTTTCTCTAATTAAATTGAAAACTACTTTAGGTATAAATGACTTTCTCTATCAGTTGTTAGATATTAATTGGATCAGAATCGATCTTTAGTCATTTTTCATTGGAGCAAAATTTTCGGTACACTAAATCATTTGCAACAATTAAAATATCTAAACTGGGACGCCAAGTTGCTGTAAATATTAATAAATTTTAATTTTTTGGTGTTTCACAATTGTTCTGAAAACTACTTAGTATATTAAAAAACGTCTTGCTTTATCAGTGGCTATATATTAAAAGGAACAAATCAATTTTTGTCATTTTTCGATTGGAGCAATTTGTAGTAGAAAACATATTTTGTAAAAATTAAAAACAATGAAATCAGTAACACCGCGGCGCGTAGTAAATATTTTCCGTTTTACCAATAATGTTCTTTCAGCCTTTTGCCAATTACTTAGAAAACCCCTTAGATAATCAAAATAAAACAAAATTACCTTACAGAAAATACATTAAGTTTATTGTAAAACGCCTAACCATTATAGTATTGTTATTTTTTTCGTAGTATGTAAGCACTAGAATATGTACACTGTTATGCCATTTTTATTCTACATTTTTGGCATTTTTTGCACCTTTTTTTTTTTCACATTTCAACGACATAATGGTTTTTCAATGTTCGTACGCCGTTTTTCGCGTAACGAAATAATTTTTTTTAGATTAGATCATTTTTTTATTTTTTCTAACTTTGGCACAGCTCTATTATTTTTTTAAAATATTAATTTGCTCGGTTATTGACCATGATTGTTTTAAACAAAGTTAATTATGCGCTTATTCGCGGTTATCGAATCATTTTTTTTTTTAAATTCACAAGCTATGCGGTTAAATTAAAAAAAAATGCTATTTTTATTATCTATCCTCTGACTCGTGGATTGAAAAAACAAAACAAAAGAATATTGTATATCGATTAATATAAAACATAAAAAATAAAAAAATCATTGATTTGTCCCAATGTAAAATTATAATGTTCTTTACAACGAACAATACTTGGATTTTTTTGGACCACAAAATAACTGAAAAAATCAATTATCGTTATATTATTCGTTTTTATTGTTACATTCGTTTTTTTCATGAAAATTTTCAGTAAAGTTTTGGGTATCAATATTTACATCAAGTTTGGGTATCAAGTTTACATAACATGTCTTTGGTTTCAGGAAAGAAGGCTTTACTTTTTGGAATTTTTGTTTATAATTTTTCCGCATGCAATTTATTTTTTCAAAACAGCCAAGTGTATATATTATACATATATACTCGTAACACACGTTATACTGCAAATTAAAATATCACAAGTCGATGTACTTTTTGTTTGGTAAAATTTCAAAGAATTATACGACCTAAGCCATTTATAAGAACGTTGGATTCGGGTCATTATGTAATTTGGCAATTATAAAAATTGAATTTGCCCGTATTGAAGTCTACAAATAATTAACTCAAGCCATTCTACCCAGGCGCCAAAGATAATACACTGAAAATCGCTAATACTATTGAGCTAACGTTATGTTTGTCGAATTTTGTTTTGTTCACCTATAGAGATACACCCCAAAGAAGACTCGAACATGTTTTTTTACCTATGGATATCGGCGTCCGTGTTCAGTTCGCTGTATTCCTATATCTGGGACATAAAAATGGACTGGGGACTTTTCGACCGTAACGCCGGAGAGAACAAATTCCTCCGCGAAGAGATCGTGTATTCTTCGACGGTAAGGATTGTGCCGACAAATCGCACGCGAGCAAAAACAATAACTGTAGTATAGAAAAAAATGTCCACTACTATAAATACGTAATTTTTAACATTATCGATTGTTGTAATTTCAATATTTCAATATTTTAGTTGCTTAACGCAGTGCTGACGTGGCACTTTATTATTGTTATTATTATTATTTTTTTTTTCGGTTGAAACAGTTTCAATATAAAGTTGTGAAAAACCGCATCCTAAAATTCCAGAATAATCAAGAGCTATTATTAAAAAAGGCTATTAAGACGTTCCTGTTTGTTTCGTTAACACACGTGTAATGAATGATGATTGATTACTAAACATATACTCACCCCTCCCATGTAATTTGGCTTTGAAGCGTCTACTTTTTATAAGGATACACGTTTACGCCGCTACTGGTTCGAACAATTTTAAATTTCACATTTATATTAATCGGCGGCATGAGACCGTTTTCCGCTGGCGATTATTATGGCTATTATTGGATATCGAAAAGTTATTGGCGCCTGCGGAAATTATCTATATAGTTTCTATACTTTTCAGATTAGCACTAAAATTTTGAAAAAAATATAATTTCTCTTATGATAACGGTTTTTCAGGTGTTATACTTACCTAATATTATTGATTTATTTCCAGGCGTTTTATTACATCGCGATCGTCGAAGATTTTGTTTTGCGTTTCGGCTGGGCACTGTCAATGTCGCTGACCGAAATGGGTTACGTTCATGGCGATCTGATGGTATCCATTTTGTCACCTCTTGAAGTAATGAGGTTAGTTCATCGCGCGCTTAGTGTCAAAACACGTACCCATAGATTTTATTTAGGCTACGGTTTAATTTTTTTTTTTTCCTTTTAATTATAATTAATGTACGCGCTATGCTAAATGCGACAGTTTGATTTCCTTTTACGGTCAAACCGTTTTCGTTAATGTATAGGTATTCACATTCCTCAAGTTTCGTAGTATAGCAGCTGCAGGTAATCTATTATTTTTGGTTTAAAATGCGATTAATTGAGAAGTACGCGGGTCCGTCCGAATTCGGTATATCGATACTTACAATTCGTCCACTTCTATTCAGATTAATAGGCTATAGGTATTACTTATACGCGGCCATCCATAAACATTGAACAAATATCAAATTAATTGGTTCGAGCCGTTTATGTACATTTTGTCCAACAAAGTCGACTAATGTGTTCAACTATCTACCTGTGTGCGCATAAGACGGTCATTTTGCCGCGATCAAGCGATTATCTACGAAGACTGACTAAAGTAGATTTCGAATTTTTTTAATTATCATGTATGGAATCTCGTTTAATGATATTATATTTACGATGTTTTCAAAATAATTCAATTCGTATTCGGCTGTGACACCAGTTAAACGTTTGATTTCCAAATAGTTTTATCGATCCGAAAAGACAATATTATATTTCTAAACATTTCGATGGGCACAATTTAAATTACAGCAGGAGGAGCAAAGAGAGTTCATTATTCGTCGTCTATCGTGAATAAGTAACTCGCATTTCATCCTGCATACCTAAATGCTAATCGATTTTTTTTTCTAATATTATCATAAAAAACAATTGAAATATTGAAGACATTTTATAAACGTATTCGTATTAGGTACCTGTATTACGTATTTTTGGAAATCATTGATACACGATACACAGTTAAGGTCTAACCTATACGTACGTCTTTAGGGAGCCAATTAAGTTTAACAAACTTATTAACATTGTGCGGCCGTGATCGGAGGTGTTTTGAGTACTTATCTACCTACCAGAATTATTATTTCCTTAACGAATTAACGGATATTTCCTTAACGAATTATCCGGTACGTATTTATATTTTTACCGAGTCGTACGTTATTTTTACATTTATTTCGGATTGTATTTTGATTTCCAGGGTTTTTATGGTATAAGTATCATTACGTAACCGAGAAAATATACGAAATTAAGGATTTTTTTTTTTATCAGTTTATTTACATTTATCATATATTAACTAAATAAAAAATAAAATGTTATATTACATCAAATACCGTTTTTTGTTCCGGTTCAGCAGTCCATTACGGTTTTTACGCAAACAAATACTCATCTTGTCGTTTGTTTCGAATAGATACCGATGACTTTGACATCCACGTATCACTAACCATTGAGCTGATTAAAGCATTTAAATTGACACCAATTTAATTAGTTACGTTTAAACTATTTCGCATATTATTTAATCTTGATGTGTTTTACATACAAGCGTAGGCATAAAATACCTAATTATTATTTGCACGCGTTGACCAGGCGTGGTTTATACCGTTCAGTCGGTTATTTTTATCTTGTATATTAAACCGTATAAGAAATTTTTGAGAAAGAGAGTAAGAGGTGCAAATAGATTTTACAGAGAGAAAAAAAGGAAATACATAAACTAATTACTACAGAAAACAGAGTAGAATTGTATTACTCAGGGAAAAGTTCGAACTTTTTTTACAACAATTGAAAAGTACTAGTAATTCAACCCAAAATTAAAAGCCATAAAAGACAAAACCAATAAAATACTGATGAATCCACAAATGAAAGCATCTAGATGGTAAGAGTATTTTGAAGAATTGCTAAATGAGGAGGTTCCAGAAACACCAATACCAGCCTGAAAAGACCAAAGAGCGGAACAAATAATAGACGATATAATATTAGATACAACTATAAGAGAGCTTTTAACCGGCTCAAAAACTGGAAAGCCCCTGGGTAGAACGGGATAGAATTTTGAACTCATTTACCTCGTACAGTCTGAAATAACGATAACTTATAGTTTTAATTTATCATGGTAGAGATCTGGCGTTAAAAAAAATCCAAGAATTAGTACTATAAAGGCACCATCAAAAATACAAGGTAAAAAAAAAGGGGGTTAATTAAAAAATTAAGATTTTAGATTATTATGAGATAAAACAGCGCGTGAATACAAATGACGGCGAGCATAAATGTGAAGATCTAAAAGAATAGGTATTAACAGATATAACAGATATCTATTGCTATTCATTAATTTGGATAACCAATTAATTCAATTGACGTATCTATAAGAAAGTTTTTAATACGATTAAAAAAAAAAAATTGTAATTAACGTACTGCTATTATTTTGTTTAATTAATAAATCTGTGCAATTGTAATGGTTGATCGTGAATCTCATATAATTCGCGTTAAATTAGTCAAGTGTAAGGGCGTCCACAGGGGGGCCGGGAGCCCTGCTCCCACGGTCATGAATGAAAGTCTAGTAATTTAGATATAATTATGTTTTTTTTTTTTTTTTACCTTAATAATTGGTATAATTTTGGATCTTACCCGTTTCCCTGCTTGAAATACAGTATTGATAATCTACAGAAAATCAAAGAAACAAGTAGCTCTACAATTTTACATCGGCGTTATTTTTTGTCACTATTATTTTTGGGGATTAAACCACTACTTACATTTGATTTTCAAATACTTATATCAACCTACATTACAAACTCCATAAATAGTTGGAGTCTACTTTAATTAAACTTTGATGTTGATATTTTTAATCTTCATATACCCGTGGACGAGATATTCCACTTTTAAGCTGGCCGTTTTGTTGGTTGGGGGAGAGGAGTGGAGCTCTCTTCAAACGCTGATTGTCATACAAATTATGCTCCATTACTTTCGTTCTGCCCAAATTTAAAAGTGGAATATCTCATAAAAGATTTGACGAAAATTACAAAATGTTAACATCAAAATGTATTTAAACTGAACCTTAATTCATTTATGAAATTTGTATTATAGGTAGCTATTTGAACATAAAAAGAGGGTAGTAGTTTTACTCCCTAAAATAAGAGTGTTAAAAAATAACGGGAATGTAACATTGTAGAACGGCTTGTCTCTTTTTTTTCAAAAATCAAATATTGAAAAAAGTTAATACTTTTCGAGGTAATCTAATTTGTATACTAAAGCAAGTCACACCAGGAAATTATAAATCCATAATTTTAGTCTGGAAAATTAAAATGTTTATTTACGGTTTTTAATTCAGATTATAACGACGGTTACTTTAATTTATGCCCATAATAATGTGCAATAACAAATTTTAAATTTATTACTGCATTATACATTATACAATTATCATCACATCTAAAATAGTCATAATTATATTGTATAGTGTATGATGCGTATGGGTCTCACAATACATTATTTAATGGGCATCTTTTTAATGTATGCATGTGTGTGCACTGTACAGTTTAAAATCGTATATTCGTCCACTATATTGTATTTTATGCTGATGTTAAAATAAACTGCCATTTGTAATTTTTTCATACGTTGGTACCTATGACACGTCAAACGTCAAAAACTCAGAACCTATATGCGTAGGAATGGCGCTGTATAAATTTCATTATAAAAGCACGTAAATACAATTTTTCAAGTGTTTAGGGGAGTACGTATAGCGATCAAAAAAAAAAAAAAATAAAAAATAAAAAATAATAATGAATCTGTAAGAAAATTTAATCGTTACTATACGATAATGTTTCTGACGTATAGGATTGTTATTCTCTGTAACGGTCGTGTTGTGGTTTTTTCTAAAATTATTATTATTAAATCTGAGTACACACATTTATTACTGTGTTATTATCACGTGTAGGCATGTATATGTAATACAATTTGTTAACCGTTTTCTAAGAAAATGCGTACGATTTAATAGGAAACGGTATATTAGTGCATTTTATATTACATATACAACTGCGTTACATACCTTATTCATCATTTTATTGAAAATCCGATATCCAGTTACGATAATAAAGGTAAATTTTACGTAAACATTTTTTTTTTTTTTCCAAAACTGTTTAATATCGGTTCCTACGTCATGTCATGATTATAATCACTGATTAGGCGCGTGCTACGCGCGTTAGCATTATAATAAACACCGAAGAAAAATACCAATAATATTATGTTTCGCGATATTAACATTTACCTTCAGTAAATCGCATAACGAGCAAATAAATGCTATTACGGAGTAACGAGTATACTAAAATCAAAACAGGTATCACTCAAATCGAAAATTATAATATACAAGGTAATTATCAGACCAGTCCTTTTATATGCGTGTGTGAAATATGGCCAACGACTAAAGGAGACGAAGACAAATTAGCAATACTCGAAAGAAGAATATTTGGGCCAAAAATAAATAACATGACACGACAATATGAGAAAAGAAATAATATAGAAATACAACAATTATATAAAGAGCCAGACATAGTAGCAGTATTAAAANTCTTATGAAAGAGGTTTTAAAATGGAAACCCCAGGGAAAAAGACCACTTGGCAGGCCGAAACAAAGGTGGATTGACAAGGTGAAGAAGAATTTAGCAGAGATTGGAATACGAGATGGAGAAACAATAGCACAGGACAGAGACAGATGGAAGCAAGTTCGTGTTGCGGTAATGGGCCTCAATGGCCTTTAAAAAACCGATGAAGAAGAAGAAGAAATCGCATAACGTTACGTATTCGTTTTCGAAACGGTAGGCGTTTTCAATGAACTCCACATTGATGATTCACCAAAATCACGGCTGTATGGTAAATTCCACACAACATGTATTTCTCGATTTAAGTATTTAAAATCGTCGTATAAGTACATCGAAATCGTCCAGGTGTAAAGTTATAGAAAAAAAAAAAAAAAACGAAATTTATCGAGTAAATAGAAGATATCGTTCTATAGTAGCATATCATTAATATTTATAAACATAAACTAACAGAATTTTTTGTCGCGTCTAATTGTTGTTTTAGATTAAGATCGAATCTAGAAATGTATTACGGTATTTAATAGGTGCGGTGTTTTTTCTGTCTATAAACAATTTTTTCTTTTCTTTTTATCAGGTTATAATCAGATTATCAACTTTTCCATGGTAATTTTTCTGATAGACGATTTCCTCTATAGACAATGCGTTGAGGGAGTATTTTTTTTTTAAATTTTTTTCGTTGTTTTTTTAATAATTGGGAAAATTCGGTAAAATTGTCGAACAGAAATGATTTATTCGCTTTCGCTTTACAGTATACAACTTACCTTCCCAACTTACCCGCGAGCAGTATGCTCTGCAGTACGACGATCGTAGTAATCACGTACAAAATGTGTACTGATAACTTTAGATTCTGAGTGGAGTGAAAAAGCTTACGATGTTTATTTTATTTATTAATTTTTTTATGGTCAACTTTTCTGTCAACAATTTTGCTCCAATTTATAACGATAGCATTTTTTCTAAAAGGAAATCTGACTAGGGAGATACTTCCCGAGAGTTTTCTTAATAAATGGGAAATCGAGAGAACGGGAAAATAGATACAGTATTAAACAAACATAACTAAAGAAAATGTTTAATACATATATTCAATTATTTCACCATAATATGACGTATATATATTGTTGATAAAGCAACATTATTAACCGAACTCCGCTCAAAATCGTTTTTTCGTTAGCAACGGTTAATCGTTGCTTACATATGTACATTAAATTACCGTCTGTATCCTACTTTCCCAACTTTTCACCTACGACGGTGGCTGCATCCATCCCCAGGACAACTTTTTTTTTTTTTTTTTTTTTTTATCGCCACGCGTATGTTTTATTGGTTTGTGTTTTTGTGCTCCTTTGTAAATACAGCGAACTAAATATAATAATCTAATGTATGCTTGCTTGTTTGTTTCTGCAGAAGGTTCGTGTGGAATTTCTTCCGGCTGGAAAACGAACACCTGAACAATTGCGGTCGGTTTCGGGCCGTCCGGGACATATCGGTGGCGCCAATCGACAGTTCGGACCAGACGCACATCCTGCGACTGATGGACGAGCCGCTGATGCCGCACGACCTGAACCGGAACAGGCGGAACAAGGCGGTGGGCATCGGCAAGAAAATACCCAACCTGACGTTCCAGCCGAGCCGGTCGGTCGACGAACAGGTGGCCTGTTCCGGCGACCGGCTCATATTGGCCAGCCTGGGCACGCGCTGATCCTCGTAGCTTAAAGCCTTATAATAGGTTAGATTAGGTTAGGTTAGGTTGAACCCTTTGTATTGTATGCCTACGCACCTACATATAGAAGCGGTTATACCGATCCGATCTGAAAAGTTCCAGAGCCGAAATTCCAACGGCGGTCTTGCCGCCTTTCGATTCGCTCGCGTCACCGTCGTCCTCGCGCGTGTTCGGTGTTTTTATATTTTCCACACGAGTTTCCTATTCCTAGTATATTTATTCCGATTTTTCAAAAAAACATTGGTTTTTTTTTTTTTTTGTTCTTCGAAACGACTCTCGGGACAGTCGTCGTTGATACTACTATACAGAGTGATCGATCGTCGATAAGACACTATCACTGTCTCGGAGAGTATTTAATTTTTTGGAATTTTTTCGTTTTGGTAATTTATGAAGCGGGCGCCTTTAAAAACGACAATTTCATTGATCTTTCATCAAGAATTGATCACGCTGTATAACACATAGATTATACATATATATATATATATAGATCGTTATTTCATACTTCTGTTTTGTTGGAAATCTTCGTCGAGCTCAATGTTTAGTTATTAAGACCACCGTATTAAAAAATTATATCATTACAGTAATACCTAAAATTATTTCGCATCACTTTTATTTCGATCGTTTTCACTATTGTACGCGCAACGTGAACACAGTAATGATTTGTATACTTACAGTGTACAGTGTACGCTCTGCGAATACAACGAATTTATACTGTTCTACGGCGACGGCCATTTTAAAACCCGGAGAAAACCCCACGTGAAACTCGTATACCCGTACCGAATGCCGACAGAAACCAATATGATCGAATATATTGTTGCCGGAACGTCTACTGTTGGACAAGTTAAACGTGTAGTCGGCGGTGGTTTATTTCAAACGATTGGCAAAAACTGGGTGGCGCGACTAGCGGATAATAAATGGGAAAAATGCGACCATAAGGGGCTCACGATATCAGAAGCCTCCGAAAAACAAGTGCCGCCCAACGGACAAGCAGTACAAAGTCGTTTTATAATGTTTTCGCACACTTAACAACAATACTTCGTTATTATTTGTTATCAACGTCTAGGTAAAACCTAAAAGTAATAATTATGTATTTTAATACTTATCGTGTTTCTATTACAATATTATGATTTGTAGGTATAGTGTTTTTTTTTTTTTTTTTTAAAATATTATGAATTTAGTAACGACGGAATTGTTTTAATATTACTTGTGTGGGCGGGGAGAGAAGGTGGAATGATTTGGATTGTTGGGGATTTTTATGTTTTTTTTTTTATAGAAGACTCCAACTTAGGGTTAGACACCGCCCGGTGTCTAGTTACGCCACTACTCTAATGTTAAATAATATTGGACTAATATATTATTATATATTTATACGAGTATTTAAATAATCGAGAAAGAATCAAAATAAAATAATTATATAACTTGTTAAAATTAGTATAAAATCGAAATTTAATTATAACAACTATAGATATTCTTAAATTGCGATTATTAAATGTTAACTGTAAATCAAAAATTAAGTATAAAATTCGTTGTACAATAAGTTTATTTAAACCGCTTTTCGTTTTGAAATTTTTAAACGCGTCTTGTAAAATTTGATATATTTTTCCACGGGTATATTATTTTTTATATTCTCTTTTTTAAAGTATTTAGTTTTATTGTAACTTTAATTACATATATATTTATTTATAAATAGCGTCTTGTATTTTATTTGAATTGCGTCATACTTTAAGGAACTAACTTTGTGTAAATCATATAACTACCATAAATTACTTATTGAAAATTAGTGAAAATATCTCACGATTTAAACGTATAGGTGAGATATTCCTTGAGACATAGACGCGCGTAGACATCAATAATAATGTGCGAATACGTTGCATAAATACAATTAAATTAATAGAATATAGTTGAGGTCAGTACCCGGATTTAAGAACGGATATTACGATGTCTTAAAGAAACGGACAACTAATATTATTCCAATTTTCAGTAAACGAACGCATTATGAAATATAGATAAATAGATTGTACTAGTGTTATTGTACATATCAAACATCGAAAAATAAATTTTAGACAATTTCAGAAAAATGGCATAAAAAATTGTCAATACCAATTTTAGTTTTGATTTTCACAGATTTTTTTTATTAGCAATTATTTATGTACTATATTTTTTTTCTTCTGGATTATTCTGATTTGTTTATTGTATTACGGTTAAAAACCTAACCTAAATATATCCGGAATTTTTTTTTTTTCACCGAATATGCCAGCATTTTCTAAACGTGATACAATTTTCAAAGCATTCTGTCGATTTTCGAGCAATTTTTTTAGTAAAAATGCTCGGAACACGTGGTTCGTCATAAGTTGAACTCGGTGCTCACAAAAATGTTATTTATATAATATATACATTATTTTATGTAGTATTTTTCGGTAATAAGCATTTGGAGTTCAACTTTTTTTTTTTTTATTATACATAAATTTGGTTTATACTGCACAATAATATACTCTCTTAATCTGTTTATAACATATTGAACAATACATAATAAAATATAATCCGTATAATATTATGTTTATGCGATACATGAGTACAACATAAATTATACGTTAATACATTCTAGTTTTAGTCGGTGATTTGAATACTGAAATATTATTAAAAAAAAAAAAAAAAAACAATAAAATATATAATTTACAAATAATATTATTACGAATGAATAATACGTTTTGGTTTTAAAACTGATCGTGGTTGTTGATAATTACACGCGAAAAGATCTTATATTCCAATAGGTGTGTATAATTAAATAAAAAATAGCATATTATTATAATTAATGTAAATTTTACGATAAAAAAAATAACTATTTTTCTGTGAAAAAAAAAACAAAGTAAAAATGTCAATTTCTTTTTTTCGTTTTATTTCAACCTTAATAATAATTATTGGATTCATGTATGACGTTATTACTATTATTATTATTATTATTTTTTATTGGTCATATAGAATAAAAATTGTACCTTGAAATGGGTACTCCTTTTAAATTGTAAACGTTTTTAATGGGTACCTACCATTGAAATACAATTATATTATTAGTTATTACTTATACGAATATTATTGTTGTTACTGAACTTGCATGGTATTGTTTAGTAATAAAACATTTTAGAATAGGTACTTACCTGTGAAATTGTAAGCCAAATTTTTACGATTATTATTATTATTGTATATGTTTTTTTTATTATCCGTTTTTTTTTTTTACTAATTAATTAATTTTTAACATTTTATTACCTAAAAAGGCGCACATAGTACCGGAAAATATATAATGATAGTTATAGCTAAATATTGTAGTCTTTACACATTGTTGTACAATTTTATTTTATTGAATATTATATTATATTTTATCCGCGTTAAAAATATATAATTGGGTAAAAAAAAAAAATAACCAAAAATTCAATTACGTAAGCGTTTAAATCCCATATTTATTAATCCAATAGATTGTCGTTTTGTGTTATATTTACAACACTTTTTGTTCTTTTTTTCATCGACGACAACCGTCAATTTTCAATTTTTCGTTAAACACTTATACGCACCAAGTCATCGTATCCTAACAGAATAACAGATATAATATTTTAATCGCTTAAGTATTATTAGTATTTATTTATTTTTTAAACAACCAGTGTCAACAATATTTAGATATAATATTATGTATTTTTACGAATTTTAATTTTAATCAAATATTTGAATTATTGTACCTTTGTACCGTTTTAGTTTCAATAAATATGATAATATTACATTATAATGAATTCTATTATTTTAGACACCAAGTGTATGTATAGGAAACATTAACTATTGGTTTTACTCAGATGCGTGTGTATATTTAATTCTCGAAAAACACTTTTTCCACGTGTTAGTAAAAATCTTCTGAATCATATATCCTTAAAAGATACAGATTTTATATCTCGATAGTTTTTATAAAAAATTTAAAAAAAACCGATCACAAACCCCATTGGTTTTATAGGCGTTGATTTCATTATTTTTATTGGCTATACAAGCGGAACAAACACGAGTTATCCTATACAAGTATAACCTTACCTGCAGTTTATCGAACTTTGTTCAGAATAGTTTTTCGTTTGCAATGGTTAATCGTTGCAACATACAGTGTAAAAACTAAATCACCCTCCGGGTCTTGCGTGTTTTTCAAACTACCCATCATCTAAAACAGTGGTCTACACTCACGGTGCGAAGTATTTCTGGATTTTTATCGAGGCTTCACTTTGTTTCCGGTGTTTGCTTACCGGAAATAATTACGCTAGATTACACTGTACGTACCAGTCAGGCACATGAGTAAGTGTACTTATCGGTGTAAACCGCAGCGTTCTTAAATACTGTTAACGCTAGGTGTATATTATAGTGGACTGGCGAATGACTGTATAAGTACGGGTATTGAAAATTAAGCGCGATTCCACTTGATATTACATTTGTTACGATTCATTAAACATTAAAAATCCATTCGAATTGCATTATTATCGTTAAAGTTTTAATTTCGTAATGACCACATAGGCGCATAATACATACGTGTACATACTAAATTCAATCGGATAATAACCGATATTTCACGAGTCATATTTGTTTGTTAACGCGTACGTATATTACATAAAAAAAAAAAAAAAAACGTATTTATTTTCGTTAAGGACGTGAAAGGTATAGCCGCGCTCCGTTCTCTTTTGTTTCGCAGACCTTCCGAATGCTGGCAGTCGACCGCCCCGGAACTACACTTAGCTGCAGTATTGTTTACAGATTTTCTCGAAAACGCGCAGTCACCAATTATTAAGTGACACCGCCGTCTCGGGCGGCTTGCGTTCGGACGAGTCTGTAAAAACTGCATTGCGTTTGTGCGGTTTTTCACAGTACGTTGTTTGGGCGAGTGATTTTAAAACGCTGTAATGCTTTCGGGCGACTTACACAAATCTGCCGTTTCCCTCTCGTTTTAACGGACTCTGGACTGT